TCCCTCGCTGGTAGCTTCCTCCATCTTCGTGTTGGAGAGGTATGGGCTGACGGGGGTTTCCTCTGACCAACACAGAAATAAAATATATTCTCGCGATCCCTTCTTCCCTCTCCTTCGTCCATCCCGTTCTGCGTTCATCTTCACCCTTATCCTACCTCACGCTGCAGTACTGCACTCAATCGAACTCAATCGTACTCAGCGGTCATCCCTGTGACGTCCGCCCCTCCCTTTTCCTTGTCCCTTCTCCGCACTCGCCCACAATGCCCCCAAGAAGATCGGGCAGGACAGCTGCTGCTGCTCCAGCAGCCCCAGCAGCTCAACCCCTCGACGGAGCCTCGATCGCCATCAGCGGTACTTTCACCCAGAAGCGCGCCGAGATCGAGTCGCTTCTGACCTCGCTGGGCGCGACCATCGCCAAATCCGTCTCCAAAAAGACGACGCACCTCATCACCACCCAAGGCGATTTCAACGCGAAAACCACAAAGGTCGCGGCCGCAGAGAAGAACAACATCCCCATCGTCAGCCTGGAGTGGGCCCAGGAATGCGAGTCCACGGGGTCCAAGGCCCCTGAGGACGACTTTGCCATCACCAGCGGCAGCCAGTCCAAGATGCCCCAGCCAATGCAGACCCCTGTTCCTGCTCCTGTTCCTGCAGCCAACGGGTCCCAGAACGGAGCTTCGTCCCAGGCCAGTGCTTCACAGAACGCCTCTCAGTCGCAGCAGTCAGCCCCCGCGACCAAGGCCAACGGAAAGAAGCGCACCAAGGCCGCCGCCGCCGCCGCGCAGTCTGACAATGAGAGCGACGCGCCTCCTGAGCCCAAAAAGAAGAAGACTACTGCCAATGACGCCGCCAAGGGAAAGAAAGCTGCTGCTGCTGCTGCCGCATCTTCCGACGATGTTGACGACAAGACCGACGTGAAAACCAATGTGAAGAAGGAAGCCCCTGGTGGCCAATCCGCCAAACCTAGCAAGAAGATTGTTGTCCCCGTTGACGAGGGCTGCACCGTTCCCGGCGTTGTCTATATTGCCCCCGATGGTACTATTTACGACGCGTCTCTGAACCAGACCAACGCTTCGAACAACAATAATAAGTTCTATCGCGTTCAGGTATGTTGATGTCTGCACATGCAGCCAATTTTTCGCGTACATGGACTAAAGTTGACCTTGCTAGCTCATTGAAAACGGGTCAGTCTACAAGACCTGGACCCGATGGGGCAGAGTTGGCGATCATGGCCAGAAGGCAATCCTCGGCAATGGCACTTTGGATGATGCACTGAAGCAATTCGACAAGAAATTCAAGGACAAGAGCGGATGGAGCTGGGCCGATCGCACCAACGACCCCAAGTCTGGCAAGTACGCTTACATCGAGCGCAATTACGAGGATTCCGACGATGAAGGTGCCGATGACGCCGATGACGCCAATGGCACCGTCAAGACCGAGGACGCCGACGAGAAGAAGCCTGACGCGATTTGCACCTTGGAGAAGCCCGTTCAGGAGCTCATGGGTCTCATATTCAACATGGGATACTTCGCATCAGCCATGTCGTCCATGGACTATGATGCTAATAAGCTGCCCCTTGGAAAGCTCAGCAAGAACACCATTCTTCGTGGTTTCCAGTCGCTCAAGGACCTGAGTGCCTTGATCAACGACCCGTCACTTGCCGACTCCAAGTATTCAATGACCGTCGCCGCCGCGACTGAGCACCTGTCCAACCAGTTCTATTCTTTGATCCCTCACGCTTTCGGCCGCCGCCGCCCGCCCATCATCAGTTCTGGGGACATGCTCAAGAAGGAACTCGACCTCCTCGAGAGCTTGTCGGACATGAAGGCTGCCTCCGATCTTATGAAGATCGACCGCAAGACCATCTCCAATGTCCATCCCGCCGACACCCAGTACCGAAGCCTGGGAATGAACGAGATGACTCCTCTCGACCACAAGAGCAAGGAATTCAGCCTACTTTCAGATTATCTGAACGGCTCTAAGGGCTCTACGCACCATGTTAACTACAGGGTACAAGAAATCTTCCGCATCGAGCGCAACGGCGAGTTGGAACGCTTCGAGAAGAAGAAGATCCCGAATCTGAAGTCAGACCGACGTCTTCTCTGGCACGGCTCTCGTGTCACAAACTTTGGTGGTATCCTCAGCCAAGGTCTTCGAATCGCCCCTCCTGAGGCCCCCGTCACCGGATACATGTTCGGAAAGGGTATTTACCTCGCAGACATGTCATCTAAGTCTGCCAACTACTGCAACTCGTACAGCTCTGGAGGCGAGGCACTCCTCCTCCTTTGCGAGGCCGAGCTTGGCGACCCGATCCAGAAGCTCACCAACGCAAGCTACAACGCAGGTGACAGCGCTAAAGCCGGCGGTATGCTTTCGACTTGGGGCCAGGGCAGAACGGGCCCGAGCAAGTGGATGGACGCCAGCGCCGTTCACCCTTCGCTTAAGGGCATTCAGATGGTAAGTCACTGCTAGCTCGCGGCTGCATCTTTTTGCAGTCGTTAAGTTATCCTTGTGAGCAGATTGTGCTAACCTACTTGGAGCCTGACACGACCGTCACTCCTGGCGACACCAACGTCCAACATGCAGGCCTCTACTACAACGAATTCATCGTCTACGATGTGGCCCAAGTTCGTCTCCGCTACCTGTTCCGAGTCAAGATGTAGACCTCGATCAGGTCGTAGCGTACTCAACCGCGAAATGATACTGAGGTATTAGATGTGGTGAAAACGACACAAAACTCGACGTAATTGCGGCGCTATGAATAGATCTAGTGGAAATGGGTCCTGCACGTATTTCCGAGGTTTCATTTTATTGTAAAGCTTGCTATGATGGGTAATGGGGTGCAGGTACTGGCGTTAGGTAGTGTGCAGCTAATAGGGCCAAATTGACTTGCTTAACTCTTGAATTGTCTATGGTCATCAACATACACGCGGGCTGACACTGTCTCCCGAGTCTTGAGCCTTGTAGTTGCTTTTCTTGAACCTAATGTGCAATGGTGAGATTTAGCGCCCCAGATGGATTTTACGAGAGCTGGTCCAACGACATAAGAAGCCTGGCGATGCGGTCGCTGACAGGGGCCATGTTTGGTTCGCGCAGACTTTACAAGGGTTTAGCGCGCGATTGCGCAGCAATTGAATGTTACGTCGTTGGTTCAGTGCCATCCGCGGCGGCTAGGTCACGACCCCGACATTCATAAGTCAGGGGGTTGCCGGCGAACAACATGGCTCCCACAACTCATGCTCCTCTTCCACTAGCACTTCTCTTTAGACCTCAGCTACAGCTTTCTTGGAAGCCATGCGCATTTTCCCACTCAACCGTCTCTGGCGCCGGTCCAGCAAACCAGCCTCTCGGCCCTCTCCCACAGCTGAAACCAAGAGATCGCGAGGGCAACACGAGCCGCAGACGTTCGAGACGGAGTTTGTCTATCATGGCATTGACTTTCAGAGGATGGTTGAACGCTCACACCCGGACTTTGAAGAACTTTTCTTTACAATCATGGAAGCCTTTGATGGTTTGTCGGAAGATAACATGAAGGATAGAACACAGGAAGTTGTGGGCGCAGCACAGAAAGGTTGGGTTTCATACGTCGAGGAGGCGCAGAAAGACAATGATCCCGGCCAACGAGTGGAGATGTGGGAGTTCTGGGACATTTATACGCGGATGGTCAGCTGCGTGCCATATCGTCACATTGGGCAGCGATTGCTCACCGACGTTGTGCTGGAGCTGGAGATAATTGGAGAGGAGGTGAGATACCTGCAGAGGGAATGTGCGTGTCTATGTTTCAATGCTAATGTGTTTGATATTGTAGACTGAGGACTCGGCGTGGAAGGACTTGCCTGAGCTTGGACAGACACTGAGAGAGGGGTGGAATGACGGTGAGACTTCCCTACGTGAAACTATAAGCAATATGTTTCTAACAACCCGGAATAGACCCAACACGTACGCGTTTCTCTAGGGAAGAATGTACTCTGGAGCACTGGCTCAATTTCAACTCCTGGTTCGCGCGTCTAGTTGGGAGCGGGCCGAAGCGAGCACTGAATCTCATGCTGTGGTCGATTAAAGATGGTCTAGAGAAAGATCTAGAGAAGCTCGCAGAGGATCTGGAGAGGGATAGAGAAAAGCGCAAAGGGGAGTTTGAAGAGGACCTGAAGGAGAGGGAGCAGCAAAGATTGGAGGCCGAGCTGCTCTGGAGGCAGAACCACGGGCTGGAGGGTGACTCTCGAAATCCCTTGGGCAATGAGCTGACGAAAGAGTACACGACCGCCAGGGCGCAACCGGCTGCGACGCCCGAGGGTCCGCCTGACGAGGCATCTGAGGGCACTGGGGAACATGCAGAGAAGGACGCGAAGGTGTTGTGCCCCGAAGCGGTGACGAGAGTCGCCGTCGCTGCGGAGTATTTCATCCACGCGGCACCAGTGATCTTGGAGGAGAGCCTGACCTGGCACACTCGCGGCCCTTTGGATGACCAAGAGCAGCGGATCTACCGAGCAGGACCGTTGTTTGCGGGCACTTTCGGATTTAACCTGGAGAGATGGGGATTCTGGAAGAGGCGGTTGGGGGAGTTGAAGAGTCAACTTGGAGACGAAGAGGTGGAGAGGAATGTGGACGAAGCGTTGGAAAAGATGAGCGCCGTTGAAGTGGCTGTAGCTAGACATCTGTAGTATACTCTTGAGAGAATCCTCAGTTCAAACGGTGCCTGCATTCACATGGCTTGCGTCATATCACGACCTTCACTATTCATTTTGGGAACAACTTGAGCAACAGCACCAATCTGTATTCATCGAATAACTCTACCTCGTGTACAAAGTAAAGTTGCGTTAGGAAGTGAGTTTTAAAACTCAATATCAATCCCAGCATTGCGTCTTCCACCGTCGTCAATCTGAAGTCGTCCTCCGCCACATAATAAGTCTGCGCCAGTGCCGCTTGGTGAGGTAGATCCGGTACAGCTCAAGCCTCTTGAGTTTCCGGCAAACTTGCGCGCCGAGTCGAGTTCGAGTTCCTTAGTTGCAACCGTCGGGTCGGTTGGAAAGGCACTGGCGAACACATGTAGTGCCCAGCTTGACATCACGCGACCATCCAGAGACCAAAGCATTCGCCTTGCAGCGGTTCATGGTTTTGACGGCAGCGTTGAACAAGTGCTGGGTCTTGGATCCGCTAACCCGTCTGCTCCAGCTGATGCAGCAGCGGTTGTTGGTGCTGACATGGACATCGGCCCAGCACCAATAGTTGGCAGCGGGCAGGGGCTGGTTGACGAAGGTAGGGCCGCCGAGGATGTCGAGAAGGCGGCCGCAGATTCCGGTGCGAGCCTGGTTGGTTTTGCTGCAGCTGATGGTGTTGGCACCGCAGGTCTGGCGGGTGTCGAGGTCGGCGGCCTCGAGGTCCCGTGCGTCGATGGCGGGAACGGAAGGGTCGACGAAGCCTTCGAGGAGACCGTTACCGAGGACTCCGGCGTACACGAGGTCAGGGGCAGATGCGTTGGTGGCGGCTAGGAGTTCGGCCTTGCCCTCGAGGGGGTCAATGACGGCCTCGGGGTCTTGCTCTCGAGTAGAGAGGCCCTCGGGGGCAGCGAGGGCAACTGAGGCGAAGTAGGCGACGATAGCGACGGTGAAACGCATTGTGATAGGTTTTTGAGTTTGGTCTAAAGAGAGACAAAGTTGGATGGAAGAAGGACGAAAGAGAGACAGTGATGGTTTTGAGGCCTGGTGTTTTCTTGATGCTGTTGGTGAGCTGATCAGAAACGTCGGAAAGTCGGGAGGCAAACCTGTTTATATACTTTTCCTCTTTCGAGGACTTCCCTAGACTTCTACTCCCTTGTGCAAGCAAAAGGACTTCCAGTCCGAAGCACATCCTTCCCAGTTCATCTGGAACGAGGCTGTCACAAGGATCTTCTCATGATCTCTCAAGTTACTTCTTACTACTGCATTCGATCTGGTTGAGTATTTGAGACTAGAAGCTGAGACGACGAGCTGACATGTCTCGACACATTCAAGGGATAGTAATGTGATGCTTTAACCGATGATCGTCTTAAATACTTTGCATGGCCAAGTCAATGCCTCAACACGCTTTGCAACAGCCTGCCTCACGGGGATATTGATTTAATGCCAGCTCCTGCCTGCTGAACTTTCTGAGGTGCGCCACTTGCTGCAGCATGCCAGGCGCGCGCCGTTTAGACCACTCTCCACTGTCCCCAGCTCTTCAAGGCTGGCGATAATTTCACGAGTGACCAGATCTTACTTTCATGCGGAGGTCTTGACATTTCGGGATGTAAGCCCTATGCCAATTATCTACCAAACTTGACACCTATCGACTGTCTCAGACACACTTCCAAGGGTACTCGACTTGGCATTAGCCTAGCGGGACAACCCGAAGATGCTTGCCGCAACTTAAGCCAAGAGACTTCAAGAGTTGTAAAGGCCCGTTTAAGTGAATAATCGAGAGAACTTCTGGGTCTTGTCTTGGGTGCCTGAAAACGCTTGTAGCGCGCCGAGCCGCACATTAATCTTGGACCGTTCCAGCCCGGCCGGAGCGTTGGCTGAGCTGAGACGATCAAGACAACAGGGGCGATCCTGATCCATATTAGGCAGTATGGGGTCGCAACATCGGAGCATACTTAGTTATCAAGAACGCACCCCGCAGCTCATGGACGGCAAGGTAAAACAGTCTCATCGCTTCGATGTTAAGTGGCATCTTCTGTATGGCAGGATGGGGTTCCAAAAAGACTTTCAATATCGGCCTGAGCGGGATAAAGGGTAAAAATTCGCCGCCTAACTCAAGAGGCTTGAGCTGCACCAGATGAACCTCGTGTGAGGTGCACCTGAATTGTGTGCGTGACTACAAGAGAATGTTGGCATCGTGTAAGAAAAACTGGTTATAGTGAAATATTACTGGTGGATGCAACGATCAAAAAGGCCTTTGAGACATGCGCCTCTCCCCATTACTGTTGTTGGTATTGCTACTAACACCAGATCTAAAACCTGATGGTGATGAGGGTTGAGACCCAACTAGTACTCCTTGGGTCTTCTGAACCTTACCTGTCTCATCTAACATGCCGTTATTTCATGCATTTTGCAGATTTCTTTCAGGTGAAAGCGATGATCCGAACAGAGAAGGCACTGGTAATTAGACTTCACAACAGGCTCTCATACAACTGGGCAAAGGTTCAATCCTTTGCACCCGAGGCACGAAGGTACCTTCCTAGGCACTTCGATGCAACCCAGCTGAGAGAATTCAGAAGTGTTGAGAAGCAGCTGATGTGCTAGCTCCTGCCTCCTCCTCATTGTATTTTGCGTTGCCCATTCTTACTCGGCTCCAAGGCTACCCACTGGTCCGTTCGGCGGTTTTTGGAAACCAAAAGGCTTCGGTTCGAGGCCAGGTCCTCCACGAATTGGAGACACAGTTAAAAAGACGTGCCTACCCAAAATTTAAGAGGGGGTTAAGTGTCCCCCAATAACAGCGCCTCCCGTAGGAGAGCCGGAAATGTTAGCTACATAGCGGCGACTGCAATTCCATAGGTCTCTTCCAGTCCCAGCAGTGCTGTCTGGTGTATCGGTCTTGTTTGAATCTCCTTCAGTCTCTCTAGGCGAATTTCTCCATGGCCGCATTTCTCGAAACATATTGAATCTTGAGGCTTGCGTGTATACACGTCGGCTATACCAGCGTCTGGCCCATCTGGCGGTGAGCAGGTGTGAGAACCAGCGGCGTCTCGGAGTTGTAGAAACCATGAACAGCGCTGCCAGCCGTCCTGACCATGCTTAAAAATCGGGGTTCAACGGGACTTGAAAGGAGATAGCGGGGCCCCGAACGGGACTTTGGCTCAACCGCTGAAGACTTGAAGCGTGTTCTGGTGCCTTTTCTGGATACCCCCCTGTAAGTGATCATCATATTTTCCGCTTTTTACTCTTTGATGCAGACGCTAGGGCTGCTTCTGTCCCTGTCAGGAGCGGGCCGCCATGCAGGCATCTACCGAGAACTGGTTAGCTTGGAGAGAGATCTTGGACAAGGTCCACGGAAAACAAGTAGCAGTCGTTCATTGGGAAACAAATGAGCGTTGATGAACAGGCAGCCGAATCATTGTTTAGTTTGACAACAAAGTCCACATTTGACCATGCATAACAAATGTAAAGTTCCAGAATTGCATTCTTCACTACCCCGAAAATTTCTTCATAAAATTCCACCTCCCATACATAGAATGACCTCCCGCCTGAATGTTCTCGCACGCGCGCAATAAGATCGAAAATTAAGACTCAAAACTCCAGGGCCCTGGGTATCTCAGGTGTAGACAATGATGGCGCCGACGTTCTGGTTGGATGGGACGCTGAAGCATCCGCCACCGGTGCCGGTCGCAATCTGCGTGCTGCAGGTGTTGCTGCTAAAGAGGCGCCACTTGAAGGTGCGGCCGTCGTCCGGGAACAAGAAGCGGACGGAAGCGGAGTCGGCGGCGTTGGGGTCATAGAGACCGTTGAACTTGGAGCAAACGGCGAGAGTCTCCTCGTGACCGGTCAGAGAAACTCCGTTGCCATTGCCACAGCCGTTGGGGTACCATTCGACGAGGTACAGAGAGTTGGGAGGGATCTGCGAAGCTTGACGGGCAGAAATATCCTTGACACTGTCGCTAGAGTTGCGGAAAGTAGGCGATGCCACGACGGCAAGAGCCGAAGAAAAGAAGGTAGCGAGTTGCTTAATAGAAACCATGATCACGATGCCTTGGTATGCTGGAGTTGGGTTTGACGTTGGTGAAGACAAGAAGTGAAGAGAGAGACCGGGGTTGAGATGTCTAGATGGGTTGATGAGGGCCAGATTGCATTGTTTTGGAAAGGCGGACGAGAGACTAAGTATTTGTAGAACTCCAGTCGGTGAATATCTCGAATGAGTTGCCAAATAAATCTACCAAAGTCCCTTTCGCGACTTAGTGATATTTTGTTGCCTGCGTCTCTTCAAGGGGTCCCGAGGAAACGCCTCGAACCTGATGATGATCTCAATGATGATCAGCCAGGTGGCATGGATGTGAAATCTTCAGTGACTCTTCCGCCAGTTGGGCCCTGTAAAAATGGCGCCTTCATCGGCCGAGCCCTGTAATCGTAGGAATGGTTCCCACTCCTTGCAATATTTAACGAGAAAGGGCTTCTCTAGGCATATAGTCTTATCAAAAGCCTAAATTCAGCCTTTGCTATGGACGAATCTCAACCTGCGTGTTGATCTTCTATTTCCGGAATCACTTCTTTCAACCACAAACAGAATTTTGGAAGCCTGGAGAGGCTATGTCGCTGCGTCGCGTGGGGCTGATGTGAAGCTGTAGCCTGATGCAACCCTTTGTAGATTTTGTGGCCCAAGATCGACAACTGCCGGAAACCCCTGATGGAAATGTGGAGCTGCCGAGAGGGTCACCCAAAGGGACTTTGGAGTCGATCAACAACTTCAGAAGAGCTATGTGAGCACTTAGTAGCCTGATCTAACATTAGAGAGACTTTTGGCTCAAAATCAAGATCAACAACTGTCAGTAGGATGTGGATAAGCTGAAAGCATTAGGCAAACGCAAAGAACTTTGGGGACGATCATCAATTCACAACTTCTCAGAGTTTAGACAGTTCGGATAGATCATTGCTCGTGCGGAACAACTATAAAGACGAGTGCCTGTAACACCATCATTCGGACTTTCCTCATCATCCACAACATCATCTCAACACACAAGTCTATCCTTCCACCCCATCAACAGTACTTTGATCTCATCTTTTCTTCAGCTCAACTATGAAGCAATCATTCATCCTTCCTGCGGCGTTCGCTGCCCTGGCTACTGCTCAAGACGTTTCTTGGTGTAAGTCTGAGGGATGTAACGACTGCCCTTCATCGCCAGCAGTGGTCCCGGATACCCTGAGTGTGTCATTTACGACACCAATACCGTCTTTGGTGGCCAGGGCTTCAAAGAGGGCACTGGCAAAGTGAAGTACCTTGTCTGGGGTGACTTCATCGACCCTTGCGGCGGCCAGCCCGGTAGCTATATGGTCCGATCCCCAGCCAGCTTGACTACAACTGGTTGCGGAGATCTGATCTACCACACCGAGAATGCCGAATGCTCTAGCCAGCTTCGCATGGAGGATACCTTTAGTGAGTAACACTAATTTGCAGTCTTGAGTCAAATTCTAACAATCAAATCTAGTGGTTCAATTCTGCTGCGGATCTGGGGACTGCGAGGCAGCTGGTGTACCATGGGGTCGCCGCGACACCGAGGGACGCAGCGTCGGCAGCGGACTCCAGGGTGGCTACCTCAAGTTCGCCAACGGCACCGTTATCGAGCCTCTCGCAGTCGGCTCTCCTCCGAAGGACAACACGCTGAAGGCCACTGAGTCTCGCAACCAGGCTCGTTGCACTGGTTTTAAGAGCAAGTCTTACCAGGCTAACGGCGAGCCCTACCTCACCACTTTCGACACTCAAATTGTGTCCGGATCCGTCCCAGCTGAGGAAACTGACCGTACCATCACCATCACCTACGATCAATCCGTTTCTCGCACCACCTCCTTTTCGGCCTCGCTCGGTGACCCCTTTGGCGTTGTTTCTGTCTCCGTTGGCTTTGAATTCAGCGACTCCGAGAGCAAGGGCTTCCAGACTGAGCTGACTGTCTACGCCGGAGAGACTGGCCGTGTTGGATTCACACCTGTCTACCGCTGCACGAAGGGAACTTTGGAGACATGCAGCGGTGACCGTACCTCGGAGGAACACACCTGCACCCCCTGGATACTGAACGGCATTGTCCAGGGTGACTACCGCGTTGTCCAAACATAGGAGATTCCGGAACCTATGAGGCGGAAACATTAGTATGCTGTCCTTTTCTTGTGTCATGTTTGTTCATCTTCAGCAAAGTCATTAGATATCAACCTATCAACTGTAAGATTCGGTTTGACAGCTGCATTGTGCGCAACTTGTCTGGTTAGAGTATGCAGGAGACATAGCCTGCCTTTTTAGCATTGTTTACTCATTTCAATTGAACCCGTCAGGTTTATCAATTACTATTCCAGTGACTGTGATCTATGACTTGAGCCTTTCAATCTGGAAATAGAGTAGCCAAACTTCTTGCAACACCCTAAAGTCCCACATGCGCTGTAGGTCGCTCTGCATAAAACAGCGTCCACTCAAACCTGCCTATTCTCGGGCATTGTGTCGCTTCGAAAATGGCCTCAAAAGCGCGTTTCATTTCACGATCATCCTTAACTACCGCAAAAGACTATCTGAGTAGTCCAGAATTGCATTTTCTGTGACATCTCCTCCATGTCTTCTGCAAAGCAGGAGCGATGGCCTTTTGTCACTGTCGTACCTCAAATTACAACCATCATTCCCAGATGCGATGCAATGGAAGACGGCGTTGGCGTTGGTTTCAGCGGTGACGGTGTGTTCGGCATTTTGGCGCCAGAGGCTCCTAAATCCTCGAGTAGGTTGGCGTGCTCCAAGCCTGTATAACGCAAGAGCGACCTTCCAGATGCGATCTTCTTCCTGGACATCATCTGACTTGGGAATATTTGGGCCTTCGTCATCTTTGAGGTTAATGTCTGTTCTTGCGTTCAGATCAGGAAGTGAAATGCCTTCAGTTACGGCCAAAGGGGGTTTGCTGGACCCTTCCTTTGCGCGCAAGGCGACAATGATGTTTTCTCTGAACGCCAGAGGTATGTCTTCGTACCTCTCAATCAAACCCTTCCAAGATGTTGATTTCGTCCCTGGAGGCAATCTCCACACACGGACCCAGATTTGGTGGCCAATTCGCAGTATACCGTCTATTGATTCGCTGCTTGACAGTGTGGGCAGTGACGTACTTGCCGAAGATACAAGAGCATATCTCAAGCTATCTTTTAGCAATTTGTCGACGTCAGATGTGTATTCTTGAAATTTCTCCAGTAACCATTTTGTCATCGCAAACGACCAATCCGAGCCTCGCTCAACAGCGAGATTCAAAATCGTCTTTCCCTTATACGTTCTGTTGTTATAAAGATACTTTCGAGACGACGGATGCGCAATGTCCCAGGCCAAAAGCTCATCATAAAGAGATTTTCCAGATTCCGTCGTGGAAATTTGAGCCACCATCTCTATATTTCGTGCCTGGTACTTGGCTCTGAAGTCACCTTCGCCGCCCAGTATGTCGCAGACGTCTGCATGTATACCTACATAATGATCGTGAAGACAATTCCGTCCGTATACGGAGGGATAGGCGGAGAGTAAACTCAGATTGCTTCTCGAAGATATTAGACGGGCAACCAGGCTGAGGGCTTGCGAGTGGGCGCTGGTCTCCGGTCGCACCTGCTCTGGTATCGACTCTTCATCGAAAAGAACATGGTTTGCCTGCATCAGTGCTTCAAGCAAAACGACACTGACTTTGAGACGATATTCGAGAAACATTACATTGATCTGCACCATTAAGGCGTGATGCTTGATTAGATCGGCAAACAGCATAGCTTTGTGAAGAGGAAGGAGCATATGACTCCACTCGACCCGGAGGGCTTTGGCACCTAGGATAAATGGCAAGCTCTTCTCATCAATGCATGAGATGTCGTGTGGTTGATAATTTTGAATAATGGCGTCAATCTCAGTATCTTGAGTAAACATTTGCCAGACCATGCTCTCCCAGGGGCAATTATGGCCGCATGAATAGCGCGCATGTAATATCCACTGATGTGAGGCATACTCAAAGAACGGGTGATCTAATGAGAATGCAACTCGAGATTCTAAAGGCTTTTGTTCTTGGCTTGCAAACGAGTGTGACGCGGTTTTCCGAAATCTCCTCTTGAAGGCTCGTGCAACATGACTTCCCGGCCTGCTTGGAAGTACATTCCGAATCGTTTCCTCGGCAATAGTCCCGAGATAACTACCAAGAGGCACTGATAACGGGTGTTCTATTGATACCATAGCTCTCTTGAAATCGTTGAAATTGAGATACGTTGCGCATAGTTCTCCGACGCGATGGTCCCAGAACGAATGGTTGATTGAAAAATCGCCTGTCATAGCTAGTAGGTATTGGCGGATAGAGTGGTGACTGAAGCGAACTAGCTCACTCGCTTCATCAACTTGAATCAGGTTTTCGCACCAAGAGGCAAGCCTTTCAATACCATTGGGATATAGGTCTGGACGGGAGGATTCTTGCCCAACTTCAATGGCCAATGCTTCTCTCAACTGGTCGACGGTCAGAGGGAGACGGACAACAGCTGTCCAACAGAAGATTTTCCGTGCGACGTCGGTTTTGTTATTATTTGTAATGCGTCGCAGAGCCCGGTCGAAGGTGTCTGAGAGTTTTCTTGGGATACTGCCCAAGGTATGCCGTATGTCATAGTCGCTAGTCCGGGAACAGATGTCCTGAATTGCAAGAAAGACCCAAAGAAACCTACGACATTGAAACGAAAGAGTCAGCGCCCATAGCTAATCAGTAGCCGAAACACGACCGAACTCACATTCCTTCTCCTCCGAGGCCTATTTCATCTTGAACTTCACAAAGCAACTCTGGGTCTTGAATCACCAAATCCCTTGCGTCAATTCTCTCAAGTAGAACTTCTTTGGTATATCGTCTGAGATCGTCGCTGATAGTCTGGGCGCTCAGACTGACCTCAAATCTCGCTGTGTCGACTCGGTCAAATTCGTTTCTGAAGCACTCCCGCGACGAGAAAAGGACTTTCACTTTGTGCCTTTCATCTGAGGCCCGAAGTAGCTTGGAAATAAATCCGGAAACGATCCCTCGCTCGTTTGGAGTGCACTCGTAAAGCCCATCCAGAACTAGCCAGAAGACTTCGAATTCTTGCATTGCTTTTGTCCAAAGGGTTAAAAGCGAATCGTGGTCGAAAATCCGTCCCTTCGAGATTTTGAGAGAGCGAAGAATATCTGTATCTAATAATACATGGCCGAGAAGTTGTCGAATGATTGAATTTATGATATGTTCCGATCGCTGACTTGCTAGATCATCGAAACAAACGAAGAAGAACGTGATTGCTTGATTTTGTTGCCGCCGATGCTGCATTAGATAATCGACTATGTTTGCCCTTTGCAGGTTATCAGCGTGTTTGTTCTTAGACCTGAGTGCGCGCACTTACGTGAGGACTGTCTTGCCTGCGCCGACTAATCCACGATCAGCTTCCATTTTTCGCGCTTTTGGAGTAAATATGGAAAGCTTCGTTCACTTACTCATACCAAAAACATTCAGAATGGCAGAATCTTCCGCATTGTACCAGTCGAGAAAGTGATCATCAAGGAATACCCATTCTGCAGTTCCGTTATGCCGCTTTGCCCGTGCATTTTTGAAAGCCATGGTATGGTCATAGGAAGAAAGCTTCTCCAAAAGGTGGTTCCATGCATACGCTACATCGTTATAGATTAGTCAAATATTAAAATAATTAGGATACCAGGACACCTGACCCGTTGCTCGAGCCAGCTCGTCCTGCCTCAAATTGTGAACTTCTTGTTCTGATCTCGCAAACCACCTGGAAAGCTCCCCTCGAAACCTGCTCGCGTGGCGCCGTTCATCAGACTGGAGGGTTTGCTCATGATGGTCGACCTGCGCTTTAGCAAGTCCGATTTCTTCTTTGACTTGTTTCGCCTTTGCGCGTATATCATCAACAAAAGGTCGCATTTCGGCTTGGAATGATAGCGACAGCGCCGTCACAAGTTGCTTTTGCCCTGTCTCTCGTTTCAGCGCGGAAGTTAGACAAATGTACCGCAATAAACTCACATGTGCGCCGCGTGGCGATGACCACTTGAGCACAGCACGAAATTACCGCGGCCTGGAACTCGTATGTGGCACGCCTTAAACGCGTCGAGTCAGGGAAAAGTTGTCGATACTGTGCAAGGCGTGGCACAAATTGATCAAACCCTCGGAGGAGCTCTGAAAACTTCTGGAAGTATGATGTGAAGTTGCCTAAGATCTGGAAGGAGATAAGTATTGACCAAACCATGAGACAAGCTGCCGGTTGAGATTTGTCGAGTCGCCTACCATGAACGTCACTTTGACCGAGCCCCATACCAGTGCTGCGACCTCGGGGTGAGAAGACACGTATGTGTCTGCGATCTGATAAAATTGTTCAACAGTCTGGAAAAGTGAGTACAATGTCGTAGCGATGCTTTTCCCCTTGCGGCTCGCGTCCAGATTGTCTAGCTCGTGAGTAAACTGGATGATCGATCCAGCATCACAAGAGCTCCCCCTTGTGTGTTGGAGCTTTATGCGCTCTTCGTCACTGAGAATTGACTGGAAAGATGCCAATGCATGCTCAAGTGCTTCTTTGCCATCATCAGAGTGGCCTGCGCTGCCGCTCCTACTAGCAATAGAGCCGCTCGTGGCCAACGCTAGCTTGCCGCTCATCATGAGTTTCTTGCCGATGAATAAAGCCAATTGAGGAGAGGACCGATGCGAGAGTTCACAGAGCCTGAAGTAATGGGGGGAGCCATTGGGCTTGAATGCTGCCTGGCTGCTGCGCCTCTGCGCCTCCGCATCTACGTGAATGTGACTGGTCCTTATTACTAGCGCGAACGCTGTGGGATTGGTCGTTTTTTCTTTCTTTTTTCTTCTTCTTCTTCTTCTTTTTTGTCCCTCCGAGGAAGTATCGTTTTTATGCGATCGAGCCAACGTGTGTTTTTGAAGAGGTCTGGCGGGATTGACCGTTGCGATTAACGCCGAATGGGAAGTTTCATTAACTCATTATCACTTCTATACGCAGATGTTAGGTTGTTAGCGGAATTCGCCCCAGTGCTGAGCGATGTTTCGGCCAGGGGCGGCTAGCAGCGCGCCTCACGTCTGTCTGGTCAAACGTGGACACCACACACTCCTCCATAATTCAGCATAGGTAATAGGAGCAAGGCGCAACAAAATTAGTTTCACTTCACTGATAAACCTTAGTCGAGTATTTGAGCAGTTAATTCTCCGCTATCACCTTCGTTGATCGAGATCCATGAATACTGCATGGAAATTTAGGGTGGGTACCTTAGCACGTAAGACCGATGATGTGAGAGCCCGTGCTGTGGCCCAAGCTTTTCTCGAACCCCGCACCAATCAACTAGGCTCCGCACTTTTAGTCACAAAAACAAACGCGACCTCCATCAACCGCCCACCACCATTGGCTTCCCCATCACCAGCTGGCGGCATGGCGTTCTGGAAGTTTGGAGCTTGCTTTCTCCTGGGCGCGGCCCGGGCCGTTGACGGACTGCGTCCGCAGCATGTCGCGAACCAAGAGGGCTGGAATACCCTGCAGCAGCAATTGAGCTTGAAGTCGCAGTCCGCCTCTGCCGCGGCTATCGCGGACTACCCGGAGTACAACTTGTCCGTACCTATTGATCACTTCCACAACGATTCGCGGTACGAGCCTCACTCGGACGACTCCTTCAACCTCCGCTACTGGTTTGATGCGAAGCACTACCGCAAGGGAGGCCCGGTCATCATCCTCGCGGCCGGAGAGACTGATGCCAGGGAGCGTCTCCCGTTCCTCGACCACGGTATCCTGTCCATCCTCGCCAAGGCCACCGGAGGCGTCGGAGTCGTCTTGGAGCACCGATACTATGGCAAGAGCTTCCCTGTTCCCGATCTCACTACCGAGAACCTCCGCTTCCTGAGTACCGACCAGGCTCTCGCCGATACGGCGTACTTTGCCAAGCACATCAGCTTCCCCGGCCACGAGGACTTGAACCTGACTGCGCCCGGCACTCCGTACATCGCCTACGGAGGCTCATACGCTGGCGCTTTCGCCGCGTTTCTGCGCAAGCTCTACCCCGAGGTCTTTTGGGGCGGCATCTCTTCGTCCGGCGTCACGGCCGCCATCATCGACTACTGGGAGTACTTTGAAGGCGCCCGCCTGTTCGCGCCTGGAGAATGCGCTGAAACGACCCAAAAACTTACTCAGGTCGTCGACAATATCCTCCTTGGCAACGGGAAGAAGGTCAATTCTGACGACGTCGCTCAACTGAAGGATCTCTTCGGCCTCAAGCCTCTCGAAGATGCCGACTTTGCCAACACCCTGAGCTTCGGCATTACCGGCTTGCAGTCGACGAACTGGGACCCTGCCCTTGACGACGCTTCGTTCGGAAAGTACTGTGCGACGGTCTCTTCCGACAGTGTGATCTTTGGCAGCACCCGCCACCTCAAGTCATCGGCTGAGAAGCTGCTCGAAACCAGCGGCGCTGACAAGAAGCTGACGAACCGCTTGCTCAACTACGTTGGTTATGTCAAGGACTACGTCAAGCAAGGTTGCCCTGATGGCAACCTGCTGAGGTGCTACTCTAGCAAGAACGAGGCCAACTACAACAACACCTCGATCCGCCAGGGCGCGGGCCGAAGCTGGACCTACCAAGTTTGCACCGAGTAAGTCTAGTGTTTCATCCTGGAAACTTCTACCTGCTGACATGTATTACAGATGGGGCTATTTCCAAACCGGTTCTGGCGTGACGAAGGATCAGCTCCCACTCATCTCTCGCGTTATCGATGTCGAGTACAGCTCGCAGTACTGCCGCAGGGCTTTCAACATCACCAAGGACCCCGACGTTGAGGCGATCAACAAGCATGGCGGGTTCAACTTCAGCTATCCCCGTGTCGCCATCGTTGACGGAGAGGCTGACCCGTGGAGAGCCGCCACGCCTCACAAGATCGGCCTCGATCGCAAGTCGACGACCAGCGAGCCGTTCCTTCTGATCCCCCTTGGCGTTCATCACTGGGATGAGAACAGTGTGAAGGATGACGACGTCACTCCTGACTTCCCGCCTAAATCTATCAAGGAGGTTCACGCCCAAGAAGTCAAGTTTGTGGAGGCTTGGATGAAAGAGTGGGAGAAGGCGCACAGCAATGGCGCCCCAGAGGGTACGCGTCAAGGAGCCAGCCGTATTAGTGGCATGCTGACGAGGACAGGCATGATCTCTGAAGAGCTTTAGAGTGCTGTTACAGAGTAGTCTTTCAGGTTGCTGGCTGCCACTGGCAGACTTGCACATAACCGCCGCATGTTTTAGCCTTTCAGTACCTACGTTACTCCCAGAGTAGACATACAAGTAAACTCGCTAGCCTGCTTAGGGATATGATGTCTGGAGAGGTGATGAGCATGTTATTGGTGACGTCTTCTGCAGGTGACATACCAACACCAGGTAGCTTGTTCTTCGTGGGCCATCAAAGCCAGGGGTTGAAAAAGAGTGTTGTATTAACCACGCACTTGCACCTGAATGAGTTACATGTTACTAATGAAGCCAACGTCCGTAGTCTCCGAATAAGCGTCCCATTCCTTGTTTGAGATGAATGCCCTACTGAGTCTGGGCCTTGATCATGTCGGCAGCCTGGCATAATGTCAGCGACTTTCAGCAAGTCCCTTAGGTCTCGTAACCCACTCACCTTTTCGGCCACAGCATACACAGTCATGGACGTCGTCGCACCAACCGTGGTAGGCATCATGGAAGCATCAATGACCCTAAGCTTCTTGACTCCATACACCAACAAGTTCTCATCGAGCACACCACCCCACTCACGGGGCATCTTGGCAGTCGTCCCGACAGGATGGTACACGGAAGGGATGATCTGGCCCCTGGCCCAGCTGACAAGCTGAGCATCAGTCGAGACGCCAGTTCCAGGCGACAGCTCGCGAGCCTGGTACTGCGCAAGGTCGCCGGTCGTCATGAACCGCCGCATGAACTTGATGATCTCTGCCATGACGTCAAGATCGATCGAGTTTGTCGCCGCGCGGTAATCGACGATCATCTCGCTCTCGGGCTGAGCAGTGTTGAGAAGGATGGTGCCGCGAGACATGGGGTGGAGGTTCTGCACGGAGCCACCAGGTCCGTACATCATCATCTCAGAGAAGACGGTGTTCTTGGAGCGCATGAGCCGGCCGTACACCTTCTGCTGCTGCTTGTACCCTTCGATCTGCTCGGAGGTGTAGGTGGACGGCAGATGGGACTTGGGGTCCTGGGCCTCGTATGTCCTGGCAAGTGTGTCGTATCGGTCGGGACTGACGACTGGCAACCCGATCATGGAAGCAAGAGATGGTGGGCCGCCGCCGCCCCAGCCTCCGCCGCCGGAGTTGGGAGGCTGAACGCCCCATTGGTATGAGATGCTGGGGATGTAGCTGTGGTCCTGGAAGTTAGAGCCGACGCCCGGGAGGTCGACTTTCACAGCAATTCGAGCCTGTTCGAGGTGTGCGCGGGGACCGATGCCGCTGAGCATGAGGACCTGCGGAGTATGTACAGAACCGGCAGCGAGGATGACCTCACGGCGAGCCTTGACCTGCACAGGGGCGGCACCCGTGTTGTTGCGAGAGACGAACTGGACGCCGGTAGCAGTATCACCGTCGAAGAGAATGCGGTTGACCTTCGCGCCGACGATCATCTCGTAGTTGGCGCGGTTGAGGCCGTCCCAGTGGCCGGTCCGGGCGTAGGAACGCTGGAATTGAACGGGGTCCTGCGACATTGGGTACCAGTAGAGTCCCGCCTCGCCGGCACCGCTGTCGACGGGGATGGTCATGCCGGGCATCTTGGCCATGGCGTTGTACAAGGTCTCTGTGAAAGGGTTAGAGTCACAAGCAGTATCATGAAAGAGGGTCTACGAACTCATGATAGAGGTGAGGGGTCCCTTTCCAAAGGCAGCATAGATCTTGGAGGTTGTGCCCCAGTAGCTCATATCATACTTGATGTTGTATTCTTGTGCTTGAGCAGCATCAGGAGGCGCAAGGGTGATACCCTGAGTATCGTTAGCTGTAGCTTGAAGGCCATGTCAAGTGTGATGCTTGCCTTCTTGAAATAGGGCAGAAGATTGTCCCAATCCCAAGTAGACCCAGATCCACCAAGCTCTTTCCATGCATTGTACTCGTCCTTGGTGCCCCTCAAGAAGACCTGACCGTTGACACTCGAGCTACCGCCGACAACACATCCGATACCGACAGAGAAGCTTCGGCCGTTCAGGTTGGGGCACGGCTGAGAGGTGATGTTGAACATGCGTCTGGGGTTCATGCCGGTCTGACTGTCGTAGTAGCCATACTCGACCACCAGAACAGTATCTGCCCCTGTTGTCAGACACACACTGCACGGGAGGATCATGCAACGCTTTTCACTTACACTTTCCATCTTCGGTGAGTCTGTCTCCGACTGTCAAGCCCGAGGTCCCTCCGCCAACGATGACATAGTCATACTCAGAAGCGATCTGCTCGGCGCGGGTGAGAATGTTGACATGCTCGGGATATTGCGTGGGCCAAGCGTATGTCAGCTGCGAAGCAGCAGTCAGGTATGACAGAACCAAACCCTTCACAGAAGGCATCGTGGCGGAACTCGACGAGACTAGCGAAGCTCAATGAAGACTAAAGTTCGAAGGAAAGCCTTAAGCCGTCCGGGCACTTTAACTGAACACAGCTTCCCGACTTCACTTAATCATTAAATAACTTTTCATGAGTAAGTAGTCCCACTGAGAGACGGCGATCTGCACAGGGGCTTGGCATTCGGAAGAAGCCTATTTCGTCTACCACTTCAATCTCTTCCCTTGAGCCATAGCCGCATAGTACTTGTGCTCGGCACATGAACAACATCAACCATGTCAGCCCCCATTCGTCAAAAGTTCACGATTCATCTACCTTCCCACAGGCTCAACTCGAGTCCATGCGGGGAACGACCCGGCATTCAACGCCCAATTTGCATGAGCCGCAGAAACCACGCGAGCGAGTGCGGGGTGATGTGCCGCTTTGGGGTTTGACAGCAGAGGTTCATTCTTCATTGGGTCAGCGGAGTGTCACGTTGCAGCCAAGAGCGTACATCTCTCGACCAATTCGTATTACCCCTAATGTGAATGGGGATTGAGCCGGAGTGGTGCACACTTCGAACAGGCTTGGCATCCATCGCTGCTTACGGCATTTGGAACTATCCTTTAGCCGGACTTTTGTGCCTCTTGATCAGATGTTCACTTCAAAGCGTATTGGTTTAATCGCATGGTATTCATGGCAGGACCATGTCAGGGGTATTCATGATCTAGACGAACTAGTACGAATACCCGCTCTAGTCTAGCCTCATAGCCCATGGAACCACGAAATTCCATGCCTGTATGCGTTTCTCATTAGAGAGAGCCCCGATTACTCGCAATCTGCGCTTCGCACATTGCTTGTTTCATTAGGTGGAATAATAATTTGGCATTTCCCATTAACGCAGGTGCCGGAGTTCAAGATTTGGTTGAGGTTCGTTTTGCACGCCTTGCCGTCCTTTGCCGCAGAGGCTGTACCTCCAGCCCTTCTGGCATCGATCGGACTTTCTATGGCAAAGTGTCAGTAGATCGTTTCAATCGAGGTTTGTGAAGAACTTACTGCCAGCAAAAGCTCCGCAGGCCAAAGCGGCGGCAAGAACAGTAATGCTGAGCTGCATGATTCGGACTAGTTGAAGTGACGGGAAGGTAAATATATGGAAATAGGTCGTCTGCGCAGCAGGAATCGTAGAAATTGTGATGAGGAAGATTAGAGTAATGACGATGGTCTCTTGAAGCTACTCTTGAAATGGTAAATTATCCAACTTTATAGGGTTCAAAGCTCACATTGGTCTTGGCGTAACTTGACGTCGCCATCATAAGGCCCTGTTTGAATAGCACATATATTCTGACAAGATCTTACTTATAACAAAACAACATCAGTTTGCAAGCGAACTTTCCCCCTAGTTTGAAATGGTTTCGGTGGAAGATCCTGTCTGGGATGTGTGTGACTGTGGGATGCCGATGCCTGTAACCCTGTTTTGGACCTCGTAGATTTTGAGCGGACGCCTAGATCTAACCCCAAGACGGAATCGGCGAAGGGTGGAGGTAGATACTGAGTCATACTTATTGACAATGGCATGTTGCTTTCTGATTCGATCCTTCGCCACGAAAGAACCCCCTTTTCCCTCCTGTTAACCTGCGATTTATAGTTTTGTACGTCAGGTTACCGCCCCTTGGCACCGAAGAATCTCGGGACCATGAATATGTAGTTTGCCGGATAAATGTCGAACAAGTGATTGAAAGGATGCAAGGGATCAGAAGAAGGAAGCGACAGTAGACAATCAAAAATGCCCCTGGTGTCCTCAACCTCGTCAACTCCTAGTGAAAACGGCGCTGCGTCCTCCAGTGATCGGTAGCCTGGTTCCTTATGCTGAAGATACCCGAAGATTGGCGTAAGAATGTGACAGAGAGCCACCGGCAATTTTTGACCTTGAATATAGCGGCGCCACGATTCGATAAACGTGTTCCACTGAAGGGGAGGAGTTCGGCCAGTTTGCTCAACGTCCAGCCATGGCGATCTCGAGCCTACTTCGACCTGCATGTCCTTCCATTGCAGTGGCGTTTTCGATGCCTCGCGGATCAGATAGCGGATTTGAAAACACAGCACATTGGTTCTTGTTATTTTTGTCTGTGTCAAAGGGCTCCGGAGGACCAGTTTCCGGAGAGAAAGAAGGTTTTGACTCCTGTGCCAAAGAGACATCGTTATAGGCTGTATCACCATGGTGATGCAGGCGAGTTTGTCTATTTGAACGACGATGTCGTCTAACACAAGATTTTGTACACTGGCCAACCATCCAAGGTCCGGTATTTCACATGAAATCCGCGAAGTAGTGAAGTTAGGCCGTCGAAAATGAACGAAGTCGACTGTCCAGTTAATTTTGACGCGCTCGGCTTTGACAGAGCTTTCGAGACTTCGATGCTAAGCTCCGGGCGTATTCTACCGGCAACGATGCTCGCTAGTGAGTCTATTTCGGTATCGATCGCGGTGTAGTAGTTCTTTTTGCATGCCCTGGGCTGCATAACCCATTCGACAGTATCGCCAAACCGGCTGCCCCCCTTGCCGACGACCAAAACGTATCTGGGCTCAAGGTAAAACTCCTCCCATATCATGAATTTGACACAATTGGGAAGTTTCGGGATGAGCTCGAAGCTGCTGAACGCCGTCTCGGGAACGTGGCTGGTAGACGTGGCGCTTGCTGCTATTCTCGAGCGGTTCTTTCCATGGCCATAGTGGGCGAAATGCGTGCCTTTAAAAACTTGAGATTGTTCGAATGCGAAACTTTTATATTTGCAATCACATACCGTGATAGTTTGAATTATGACTCAAGATGCAAACTTTGCGATTGGGCTTGTATGGCTGGTGCTAAACTCGATTGGCGTGACCGTTTCGAGTTTCTAAACTTTATGGCTAGTGTCAAGCTCACATTCGAACGAGTCGGAGGTTGGATAGATCAAGCGAGGGTTTGCATTTTGGTTTCAACTATCCTGCCTAGAATCCTTCACTGTCGCGCTGAAAATTGCCCTAACTGCCCGATATAAAAGTACGGCTCACTAGCTCGTTGTAATGATACAAGAATTGGACTTCTAGAGACATTGGGGAATATATGAGAAACAACAGAACGGGCGGGATGATAGGCAAGAATCCACTGGGCGAGAGCAATTTTGAAAACACCAACCTGGTATCCGTGATTTCGTCCCCTGTGACCTCAGAGGAAATGTCACGCCGCGGATTGGCCCATCGCTCATTTGCTGAACGTATGTTCTCAACGAAATGCTTCCATTGAACCTCCTCTGATCCCCCGTGTCGTTCTATATCAAGCCATGGCGACTTGGAAACAACGCTCACCTGCAAATCTTTCCACTGAGGCGGTTTCGCCGGCGCTTCACGCAGAAGATACCGGATCTGGAAACACAGAAGCGGCGTGTCGACGTCTCGTTTTCGATGCCATGGAACCCTTTTAAGGGCCAAGTTTCGCAGAGAGCCGAGCAGCCCTTTTCTTTCCCAAAGACAGAAGGCAACAAAGGAAATCATGTCGGTGGTGATTCCGCCCGGGTGGTGTGAATTTAACAGATCGTTATCAAGGACCATGTTTCGTATGTTGCTGAACCACTCAACCTGTGGTATGAGATTGCCTGAGCCCTCGTGGATGGTCGTTTTGACATGGATAAAGTCGATCAGTTGATGTTTACATGCGTCACCTTCGCCTTTCTCTTGGAACGGCGTTTGGTGGGTTTGTGTGGTTGATCCTCGTCAGTAGCCTTAAGTGGTACTTCGATGGTGAATCTTGGGCGAACACGGCTTGCAACGAAGCTAGAAAGCTGATCTATCTGGGTGTCGATTGCGTCGTGATAGGACTTTTGCTGCGGTCTGGGCTTCAGGGACCATCCAAGCGGGATCTCGGACTCATATTCTCGCGACCGCCCTTGAAACACCGGATATGTCGTAAAGTACCGTGGCTGACGGTAAAATTCTTCCCATATCATAAACTTGATACAATTTGGAATTTTTGGGAAAGGCTTGAAGTTGAATAGAGCGTGCACCGTCCCTGGGACATCAGGGGGAGGCATGGTGCTTGTCAATATCCGCAAGGAGCTTCGGTAGAGTTGTTCGTAAAGGAATCCTTGGGAGGTGCGGTTGTAGCGGGAAATCTAGAAAAGCTATCTAGGTCCTTCTTATATCTAAGAGCCGGCCTTGGCACCGTGATGGCTCATGTTGTGACTTAAGATGCGAAATTTGCGGTGGCGTTCGTGTGGTTTCGAACTCAGTCACCGTCCAGGAGTAAGTCGATGGTGACAAACAAGGTAACCTTTTGTACTTTTGACTGCTATTTCTGTTACAATTTTGCCATCTCTTTCCGCTCATCGTTCTAGCAGGAAGTTGACCAAAAAGCTTTCCGGTATCTCATCCGAGTCACTATCAGAGCTTTCTGTATCTTCCAAGTTTGACTCTTCATCAGGAGGCTGAGGAGGCTTTGGTATGACCTTGTAGCCCTGGAACGCACATTCTAGGTTCTCGACTTGGAACGTGTCTATCCAAGTGAGCCCCTTAAAGCCAGTGCAGGTGGCATTGAAGTCGAGGAAACCGTGGCTTTCCACAGGCTCTTCTCCGAGCTTCTCTTTACCCTTCCAGAGAAAATAAAGCCGTCGGCAGCCCTCAAACGTTTGTCGTGAATTTGGCTTGCGCTTCTTGCGCGTTTGCGGACGCCGCGTTTTGTTGCTAAGGGCAGCCGCGGAGCGTTTTCTTGACTTGCCCGTGGGCTGCTCAGGTGCAGCATCATCATCATCCCGATCGAGCGGTCGGTCTACAACATACGGCTCGATATTTTCCAATGGCGGAACGTCAGAATATTCATCTTCGTCAAGAAATTCTTGCGCACACCCATTTGAAGCCTTGATCAGAGTATCTTTGGAGAAAGAGAGGAGCATGATGCCACTCACGACGCCGAAGCTCATGCTGGCAGTAAGAATTCCATCCCTACCTTCCATCCCCGGGTGGTCCTGGATGTTTAAATGAAACACAGCGCCATACATCGCATACTTCATCTGTAGTTGAGGGCACTTGACGACGTATGATCCGATGGCGTCTTCGAGAAGCATTTCCTTCGGCGTAAACTCCAGAATGTCCTCTGCCTTGAGTCTCGCCTCAGCAGCTTCAGCGGATTCTGAGAGGTATCGGTGGTGGTCGTCCATGGCTTGCTGCCATGGCTTCGTTGGAGGAACATACTTCGACGAACTAGTAGGACCAGACTGAAACTTTGCGTTCTCTGCCAGACCTGTATTCTTCACTTTTTCTCTGTCCCAACCAATCACGGCGAAGGGCTTTCCGTTGAGGAGTCCAGGAGCTAGGTAAAGCCCGTCGATCTCTTCTACCATGGAGGGAATCTCAAACATCAGTTGAGGATCGATATCGTGAAGAACAATAGGCTCAGGCGTGACATTTGCATCTGGCTCTCCGTCCTTTAAGAAAAAGTGTTCTTTGAAGAGATCAATGTCCCAAGCCGCCTTGATGGTAGGGTCACTGAATTCGAGGAATATTGACTCCTTTTCCCGACGCATCCTCTCGGCATCTTCGAATGCCGAATCGATCACATCTGCCCGTTTGGCAAGTTTATCGCACTGGAGAGTATCAGTACCGCTGGCGATAGCCGTAAATGCCCCAAACATCCCAGTGTACTTACCAGGCCCATCTTCACCATCTCACAAAGGTCGTAGCGCAGGCCGCTAAGCGTCTTCATCTTCATATGCGTGAGCCGCAGGTCATAGAACATTGACTGCGCTTTGAACCACTCCTTCTTCTTAAAAAGCCTTCTGGCTTCGTCGATTGTTGATCTCCTCTTGTCGGGATCTCCAATGCCATCGGGAAAACAGAGCTCGCGCAGCCGGGCCCCATCGACGCGAGCGATCCCTTCGAACAACAGCGTACCGTCTACATACTCGAAGCCCTCGACGCGGCATTGCATCACGAAGTTTCGACGGTACTCGAGCTCGCTTCTCAATTCGGCCGCCATATTCGCATAGTTTTGAGAGTCTCAGCGGAGCTTATGCGCAATAGACTGTCGGCCGATGGAGATGTTGAGCGTTGATGACAAGGGTGTAGCGTCCAGACGCGCTCGCTAACCCCATATTCAGCTGACGCGAATGCATGTTGGTCTGGGCGTCAGGGGCAGCACGTGACCCTGTCTCAAACTCTCGCGATGGCTTGCGGAAATTACCTCATCATGGCCTTATTGTTGTTGTTTATCCTCTTATTTTCATATCACATCTTTTAACTCTCAAGGATGTCATTTTGTTGATGGCCTGCACTTGGTTTTTCATATACAGCATCAGAGCTTGGTCGGCACCCTAAGTCATTGTTTTCCATCGCCTCCACATCCCAGTAAGCGGCCCGGATCAGGACAAGCTTTCAAGGGATAGTTGAAACAACTTGCCTGGAGACTTCAAGTTGGTTGACTTACCAGTAAGAGCTCATGCGAAGTCGACAGACAGAGAGGCCGCAGACGCTCGTCAGGCCAGTAACAGGGCCCGCAACTCGCTGCCGGCAGTCATGGTGCTGTGGAGGCAATCGATCTGCATACCCACTCATGAGTGGATTCCATACCACGGCGTTGTGGCAGAGTGGTCTAATGCGCAAGACTAGAAATCTTGTTCCTTCGGGAGCGTCTGTTCGAATCAGGCCAACGTCGATGTTTTGCTTTTGGGCGCCAAAAGTTGTTTTTGCAGTAGCAGACTACAAAGTATCGTAACATTACTTCATAAGCTCATCTATGCTAGAAAACTTCAAACTTTCTGCGAGTACCGCTAGCATATTTCCTGCTTATCTCGTCGTAAAGCGCTCTAGTCAAAATCACACCGTCCCATTTACAATTTTCCTGAGGGAGAGATTGATGTAATCTCGTCATACAAAAGACTATGGAAAAGAAATTAGCAATTAGTTGTCATTGCGGCAATACCGGGGAGCACTCACGTTGTGACGAAACTGGCATAGTCCTCGCCTGTCACTTGCGGCCTCAAGTACTTAGCAGCGAGCTCAAACTTGTTGTTCGCAGGTGCAGAAGCAGCCAGCTCTTTTGTGAGTTGGTCGAGGGTGCCAAGCACGTAGGTCTTGTCGAGCTTGGTTCCTTCAGCGGTGCTCACGCCGTGCTTGACCCATTGCCACAATTGTGTTCGAGACACTTCGGCAGTAGCAGCGTCCTCCTGCAGCATCGTTAGCCATTCATCCATGAAACCCTCGTGAGTATCGAATGACTTACCATCAAGTAGTTGATGGCGCTGCAACCAACACCGCGCAGCCAGCCCTCCATGTAAGCCAAGCAAATGTGCAAGTTCTTCTTCACACCATCGTCCGTGATCTTTCCAGGAACAACTGAGTTGAGCAAGTCGTCTCTCGTAACGTTCACCTCTGGCCTGACGAAGATCTGGTTGGCAGTGGGCATATGCTCGTTGAAAACTTCGCTCGCGATGGATGCAAGCGCGGGGTGCGCGACCCAGGTACCGTCGTGACCGGCCTTGACTTCTCGAAGCTTGTCCGCGCGGACGCTCTCCATCGCCTTGGCGTTGGCAGCGGGATCGTCCTTGCGTGGGATGAGGGCAGCCATGCCGCCCATTGCGTGAACGCCACGGCGATGGCATGTGCTAATCAGGAGCTTGACGTACGCGTCCATGAAGGGGACGGTCATGGTGACGTCGGCGCGATCGGGGAGGATGAAGCCGGGGCGGTTACGGAAGCGCTTGATAAAGGTGAAGATGTAATCCCATCTGCCGCAGTTGAGGCCGGAGCTGTGGTCTCTAAGCTCGTAGATGATCTTGAGAAACGAAGTTAGCAAAACAGTCGAAAGCCGCTCTTGGAGGACTACGAACCTCATCCATCTCAAAAGCCGCGCTGATAGTCTCAATCAAAACAGTGGCTCTGATTGTTCCCCGGGGAATGCCGATGTAATCCTGAGCCATGTTGAAAACGTCATTCCACAATCTAGCCTCGAGATGCGACTCCATTTTCGGCAAGTAAAAGTAAGGACCAGTTCCTCTTGAAATCAATTCCTTGGCGTTGTGGAAGAAATACAGCCCGAAATCGAAGAGAGCTCCAGACATAGCATCTCCGTCAACGGTGAAATGCTTCTCGTCCAGATGCCAACCCCGGGTTCGGCAAATTAAAGTGGGCAAAGTACGATCAGTTCTGAGCTTGTACTCTTTCTCGCCTAACTTGAAGTCAACCTGACGACGGATAGCATCGTGCAAGTTTGCCTGGCCCTGAACCATGTTGTCCCAAGTAGGTCCATTTGAGTCTACAATCTGTTAGTCATATATCTCAAACGTAAAGTTGGCTCAATTAACACACCTTCAAAATCCGCCATGTAAGCCCAAACGTCAGAGTTGAGTGCGTTGACAACCATCTTGCGATCTGTGGGTCCAGTAATCTCAACTCTGCGATCAACGAGACCAGGCGCTGGCGCAGCGCCCTTCCAGTTGTTGTCATCGCGGATGTGCTTAGTTTCGGGGAGGAAGTCGGGTAACCTCCCCTGGTCGGTCTCGATCTGGCGCTGTTCCCTCAACTTGAGGAGTTTCCTGCGAGTAGGCTCGAAACTGCGGTGGATGATTGCCAGAAACTTGACTGCCTCTTCAGTGAGGATGAGCTTGGTGGCTTCGCTACCAGCGCCAAGGATGGCGACGTTGCCCGTTGATTGAGTCATTGTGCGATGTGGAAATTTGTGATAATTGACCAGTGATCAGTAGATAGTTTCTGTCTTTGGAAGGCCTCGAAATGATGTCAGATGCGATGTAGGTTATTCTTAAATATATTCGAAGCCGAATCGCGGTCTCCCATACCTGTTCGGCTCATTCCCGTTGGTGTTTAATTCTCGCACGCTCACCCGAGTGAAGCTCGGCTCCATGCCGAGCTATCTTTAATTGTGTGCGGATGTCATCCGATTGGCCCCACTCAATCTCTCCAGGTCGCCGGCGGTCGAACGGAAACCTACAAACTCGTAGGGCAGGCCAATCAAACGTGGCAAATTGAACTTCGGAGGTTTGGAGTAAAGGAATTATCTCGGGAATATGCGGCAATCACTTCAATTAGATTCGGCTGACTGAGACGCATCATGATCCGTATCCACCAGGTGCCATCATCTTCTCCAGCTCGGCCCAGTCCAGTTGATCGACTCCGGTAAGCGGAAGCGTCGGGTCGTTGAAACTGGCGTAGATACCCTCGGCCTCCAGGCTGAACTCCTGGCCCAGACTTCCGTTTAAATCCAGACCGAACAGCTGGTCAGGATCATATGACTCAGCCGACTCGGTGCCAAACATCTCGCCATCCCACGACGGTTGCGTCGAGGGGCTCGGGTCGGGCGGCGACAAGACAACCTGCGAGCCCGACCCCTCGCCAGATTGCCCCGGAGTTCCCTGAGCCCCGGATCCTCCCGCGTGGGGTTCCCCGTGGGGTGTTCCAGAATCTTTCATCTGCACGTCACCATCCTTTTCGGGTGGGAAGTACCTCGACCCCCACACATGTGCCTCTAGCTGCTTGATCTCCTTTAGACGATGCGAAGCCGCATTATTGCCCGCTGCAGAAAGATACTCGAGGACTTCCACGGCTTGATGTAATTCTTGAGGCGGTGGTTTTTGGCTGTCGTTCTTGTGAGCGAATCCTCGCATGATGAGCACGAACGCTGCTGAAAATGCTGCGTCCAAATCAAAGAATGCGAAGGGGGCTAAACCATAGTTAGCATCAAGCTGAGTTGTGACTATTGATCGCGGCAGGTCTGTACTAACCAATCTCATCTTGCTTCTTCATAGCGTACAAGATGCGGATAGTCCTCAATGCAGCCTCGTTGCAAAGCAAACACAGCTGAGAGATTGCGGGAGTGACGATTTGCTTCTGGGTATCTTGCACCTTATCCTTGACTTTCTGAAGTAGTATCGGTCGAATGCAGAGGATGATTGCCTTTGATAAAGTTAGTGGTTTCACGATCAGACTTAATTCTATGAGCGTCATACCGAGAACAACCTCAAATACAGCGAAGAACCGGATCTTGTGACCTCAAGCTCCTTGCTCTTGAAGTCAATTGCAATGTTTAGTGGAATAGAGCGGCCCGTGTCGTATAATGACTGAAGAACGTTGCGCATCTTCTTAATGAGATCACCCTGAGATAGGCCGCCATTGCTGTACAGTGCTGTAGACTAGTGTTAGTCGAAGCTTCTTACCATGTGGGGCTGTTTCGACTATGAGACTCACAAGTCATGATCTCTGAAGTGGCGCGGGCAATCCGGACGTTGATGTTCAGTGCCTCTGGCGACTCAAATCCAGGCGATGGTCCCGGAAGGTCGAACGTAATTTGGCGGTCATCAACAGATGCTGGCAATCCCAGACCTGCTGATATGCGTCTATAAAGACGTTAGAATGATCTCCTAACCCCTCCTCTGTGAATACATACTGGTCGAGCATGTACGCAGTCCACCATATCCTTGTGCGGTGGGCTCTTTCTGAAGGCAGACATTGCTGCTCGGCAAAAGGCAGGTTGCAGCCCAATGTCAGAGCAAGTCGTACAGCAGTGCCGACCTGCAGCTGTTAGTCTTCGTCCACAGGCTTGAAATGAGGCAATGGACGTACGAAGAAGTATGAGTCCTTCTTCCTGTCACACCATTGCAGATATGTTGTCGCAAGACATAATATCTCGACTCCCACAATGCCGTACTCGCTGATACTATGGAGCGGCGGAAACCTTTTCATAGCTTCCGCGAAATAGAAAGCTCCTGGCGGGCCATCGTAGATCCTCCTGTCCGCCTCCATCAACTTGCCCATCGCCATCACCAACAAGTACAGTGTGAACCATGGGGTCTTCATCTGCTTCGCTCGAGTAGCCTGATTCTGGAATAATAACGTCAGGTTGTCTGCAAATGTCCTCTGGTCGATGAAATGCTGGTTGCCGCTCATATAGTCATTGAAGAGACCAAGGAGTCGATTTGACTCTGCCTCCCCTGGCATGATTTGAGGCGGGATGCCTCTGATTAGCTCTTCTGTTGAAGTCCATTCTGGAGTAAAGGGTGCGTCTTGTTGCTCATCATGTGTCGTGCGCATTTCTGGCGAGTCTTGTTCTGGGGACCCCGTGTCTCTGCCAGAGTTCTCATGGAACAGGTTGCGGACCCGCTGCTCGAATAGAGGGCCAGGCGCGCGTTCTATTGAGGCTATCGCAATCGTGTAAGTGTTCTCGCGCATCAATGATAGAGAGATGTGTGCATACAATAGCTTGGGGGCGGTGGTACTTCGCCTGTTGGTTCTGTAGGTGCAATTCCCAGAGTGTTCTCTAAAGCCACTGAAACACCGCCCGGGGCTGGGGCTGGTGTTGATGACTTGAGCTCTATGATAAGACGAATGTGAGTTTTCCATTCTTCAAAACCATTAAGAATATTGTCAGCTTGCGCACCTCTTATTTGAGACTCATATCGTGTGACTGTTGCCCTCAATTCTTGGACATATCTAGCGGGACAGATTAGCTTATCGGCGATTCCCAAATCTGGCGTCAACCACCGAAAAAGTCAATTGGGTCCTTACGCTTCAGAGTATCGCTGTCGCCCCGCGCCAAATTCACAGTCAAGCTTATTCCTGACGCAGTTGCGACACGGCTGCTCGCCTGAGCATTTCACCTTGCGACGCCGACAGGTGTTGCAGCTGTGCGTCGCCAAGTCAGCAGCACGTCTTTTGCGATGAGGTCATTGAAGACTGACGCGTTGGCCGATCGCTGTTTGCCGGGCGGTTGCTGAGGCATTATGGGCGCATTAAAAAACGTATGTGGTGTATCGTTCGTTCCCAGCGGCCGTTTGACCGTTACAGAAGTTTCTCTCACGCTCGTCGGAAATGCGACAAAAGAGCTATTATTACAATCGGTTCACGGGTCGTGTGTTCCCAATTGAGAGGCGCAAAAGTCTTCCGATGCCGTTGAGGTCGATCGGTGGGCGGCCAATGAGAACACTGTGAGAAACTGGGAAATGAGGGGTGGCACGGGTCTGTAGCCCGGGATACCGATCCCCGATAGTCGGCGTATCTTGATAGCCAGTGTAATCGCCCCGCATATGAGACTCCTATCTATCTATCGCGAGTAATGCACTGATACAATGTCCGATCACATGACGCTTAGGTCTTCCTTTCCAGCCATCTACGCTTTGATTTGCGAATGATAATGATAGCGGTCATCATGTCGAGCATTGTGTGATCCTGAGGGTGCATTTTTGCAGCACCCAAGGTTCCAATCTGGGTGAGTGTCTCACAGCATTGACTTCAACAGGCCGTCGAAGACCCATGTTCACGAGAAGAGTGGGAGGTATTAAATGGTGGGAAGAACTGGTATTTGTAGGTGTGCATCCCTTCAAAGCACAGGCCTTCGGGGGCTGTCCGAATCTTATGTTCGGTCGAAAGGGCCGAATCGCCTCCACGGGCCAATTTTGAGATGGCATTTCTGTATTCAAACCAGGTCCAGAAACGTCATCATTCTTGCGTGTGTTATTCATGCTTGTAGCGGATATCTTGGATGGTGCGACGGATGGAGAGCCGAGGACGAAAAAAAGTCGGCCGTCTTCCGAGGCGCCTCAGATAAGCCCTGCGGCACCTGCGATCCACATTGCCGACGGCCAAGCCAGCTGGGACGCCGAAGCCGCTCTGCTGGGACACGCGGGGTTGTTCCCTGGTTACTCCACAAATGAGGCGCACGACCCCAAGATCGTCTGCAACGCAATGTTACCCTCGCGATTCTATTTCCGATTTTGACTGTCTTGGCGTCAAGACAGCGAACGTCGAAATGGTTGTAAAGTGGCCATAGGGGGCAGTTTAGTCCAAGGTTGATGGATCGTTTTTAAATGAGCTCAAGAACAGTAGCCAATGCAAAAGTGCTCTCACATGTCAAGTGGTTTTCGCGACGCACGTGATGCGCATTACAAAAAAGCATGTGAGATTGATGCACAGCAGGCGAGAATTTGATGTCAAGAGGGACGAAAAATGTTTCAATAATCTTTAAAGATTACGTGAGTTACATCACGGCAACTATTTACTAGTGTTCAAAAAGCTAAATACTGAATCGTAAGTTATCGTCTTATGTGCATCCACTCTCAAGCATGCCCATTAGACAACAGGAGAAAATTGCCCCGCTCACAGTTGTCGCACACCCGAAGCAGTCATTGGTCAGTCCACCCTGTGAACTCTACACTTTGAACAAGGCCACCTTAGTAGTTGTTGGGGCAGCGCAGAAGCTGGTTGGAAGCGAGAACCTTGCTGCCGCAGCCGTGGTTGCCCATAGAGTAGCACATTCCGTGGGAGTCTATGACGAATAAGTCAGTCAATTGGTCATCGGGAATGAGAAACATCGAGGAAATGGTTTGACGTACTAGAACCACCAGCATCGCTGGCCTCATGCATAACGTGAGCCTCGTAAGGAGTCACGGTGGGGTTGCTGCAGGCTCGCTTGGAGTTGACGTCGATGTGCTGGGTCTGTTCCCTTGTGATTAGCAATTGTCGTTTGTATGTATGATACAGTATCGAAACATACCACAATGACCCCCTTGTCAACGCTGAAATGGGGTCTCTCCCACAGGAAGCAGACATTGAAAGCACCACAGGTGCCAGAGTAGCTGATACCGGTGGTCACACTACAAAGATATTAGCCACAATAAGACGCCCTGGAGACGTCCAGGGGTTGCGTACCTGTCCGGAGTGTGGCCAATGCTCAGGCCAAAAGTGCTGAAGAACGTAGAGGCAGCCTTGGTCCAACCCTTGCCGAACTGGAAGCCAGTCAGTAAATTGAAAACTTGCGCGTGGTGCTTGCTAGACTTACTGAAGGGATCTGGCCAGTGCCTCCAATGGTAACGCCCGAGACGTGGGTGACAGAAACAGTCTTGGTGACGGAGCCCGTACCGCACTGAGCATCCGAGACGTAGTGGTAGTTTCCGTAGACATTGTTGTTTATTGACTGCCTGACACCGCGAGAGATCAGGTCGGTGCAGCTGCTCGAGCAACGAAGCCTGTCGTCGTAGAAGCACATGTCGGGGAAGGCCCGCTTGCTGACATGTTTAGTGGGCATCTCAATGGCCGCATTGGGATCGTCTGCGTGAGCAATGAGAGAATCTCTATTCAACAGGTTAGTAAAAGGCATTGGAGAGCTAGAATGAATGCGCAGTTGATAAACATACTGGAAAGCCTTGACTTCCGCGTCCGTGGGAATGAAGTTGCCCTTCGCATTAAAGTACTCGGGGAGGTTCATGTAATGGGTCTTGAACTGCTCCGTGGTGAGGGCAGAGACGTTGAAGTCCTGGTACGTCAACTGCTTGCCGTCAACCGTGACCTGCTTCTCCAGCATGGGAAGGCCATCGTAGAGAGTGGCCTCGGGAGTCCAGTGGTTGTAGTCGAACGCATCGTAGGGCTTGTAAGTTGTCAAGTTGCCCTCGACCTCCTTGGTGAAAAGGGGGGTGCGGGTATCTTGGTTTGAGTCCTGGCGCGTCACCACGCGGGCTTGCACGTGGCTGATGGCCAAAGCGAGGGAAAGTAAACGAAGCATTGTTCAAGGAATGTCGTGGCTGCGCAGGGGAAAAAACAAATCAAGCTCGGAGAATGCGGAGGTATTCGAATGACTTGGCGAGAAAGCTTGATCGGAGCAAGCGACATTGTCATCTATTATAACTTCTGTCAAGCTCATCCATTCCAAGGAGTAATCCCGCCGGCAAACTCCGTCCGGATAATGAGGGGTTGTGATAACGGAAATGCTCACATGAGTTATGCTGACTCGGTTTTGAGTTCACTCTATCTTCAGCCGGGTTGCTCATCACGAACCTCTGTGAAATGAAGATCTCGAGCGCAACTACCAGTTCTAATGCTTAATTCTGCCCTAGTCTATTTCTCAGGGACCGTGTTTAAAGTTCCAGAAGCTTAGACGCCTCACTTATTGGGACAACCTGACTCGCAAATTAATTGACTTATCTTGTTCGCTCATTTTCTATACTCTCTAGACTATAGGCTAGTTGGGTTTTGCGGGGTCTCGGCATAATTTTCCCGAGCTACCTGACTCAACTCTACGAAAACCCATTGAATTTCAACGAGAGATGATATCAATGTGAGAGTTTCACTGATATTGAGCTGCCGGTTAGCCTCGTGATCAAGGAAATTGTAAGAGATAACAAGAGTTACGGTGACACATGGCTGATGAGGATGTTCCCAATGATTTACCTTTCCCCCAGGAAGCACAGATCAACCCGTAAAGATAAATACCACGGGTGTAGATCATAACAGAGAGCGAATAGACACACCCTCAACTTCATCATTTGCACCGATCAACTCTTCTCAAGATGGTTTCTTTCTCATTCTCCAAGGCTGCCTCAGCCCTCGTGCTCTTGGTCGGTCTGACTGACTTCTGCAACGCCGCCGTGCAGTGCGATGTCATCAGCAGCTCCCACTGCGGCACGAACAGCCACCGCCAAACCCACAAGCTCCCCACGAGCGTAGGATCGACGTACTACATTGACGGCTTCCACGGCGGCGTCATGAATGCCAAGTTCCAGTCGAGGGTGCAGTCCGTGCCTGCGTAAGTCTTTTGCGCAGCCGAGTGCTCACCCGTTGCTTGTACTGACGCTTTTCAAGCAACTCCGAATTCACCGATATCACTTACAACTTCAACCTTGGTGCTTATGACGGCACATACTGGATCCTTCTTCCAACTTCATTTGGCGGTGCCAATGAGTGCTTCGCTGTTTACAAGAACTGCGATGTCACGATCAGGTTCTGGGACAACAAGGACCCTCTTCCCGGCACGTACACCCTGGTGTAGATGGCCAACGGGTAAGTGGCATGGCTGTGTGGTCTGGCATGAGTGGGATGGGATGACTGACTGTTTCTAGAGTGTTGAGAACGCCTTGTGGGGTATGAGGCAACGATACACCCTTGACACTTCAAGGGGAAGTTGCCGTTACCCGGGCTAGTGATGGAGTGGCGGGCCGGGAACCCTTGCTCAAGGATGGGGAAACGCTGCGGCGGCATCGGTGGCAGTGGGGCTAGGGCGAATACGGAGGGTTCGCTTTTCTTCTGCCCTTGTCGGGAAATTAGGACTACCCTTTGGGCTTCAGTTCACTTTATGTGTTACCAGCGGGAACCGGATAATGCTGGGGAATACTTGAGGCGGTAATATTGTGCATATGATATAGGTTTGAAGATATGAGCAGACAAAGCTTCTGCATGACTTGTTCAGGTTTGGTTGGCTGTGCAAATATCATTCTGCTCCAAATGACTCGGTTTGATCAATCGTCCTCGCTATATTTCCAAAGCCTGCGGGGATTGTCAATCCAAATTTTGTTGATCAGCTCCTGATCTCCTCCGCACCACTCGATGCACTGCTCGATGAAGCCGGGAACGTCAGGAGTCATGAACTCCTGCTGCTGAAGTCTGTCCCTGCCAGGGTTCCGATGAGGACCTCCGACATGCGGCCAGTCGCTCGCCCACACAATCTTGTCGGGCGCCGCCTTCAGTACCTCCTGTACGTACTCATCCAGCCCGGGCGTGGTGGAGAAGCGGTACGTCCCGCTCATCTTGATCCACGTACGACCGGATCGGAGCGCCTGCAACACAGCTTGCCTTCCGGCTGGGTCAAGAGTGGGGTTCTTCGGGTCCGGATACCCCAAATGGTCGACTACTACGTCTACGTCGAGGTCCGGGGTGATGGAGAGGATAGCGGGATACTGGTTCATCGTCCCGAACACTTGTAGAACCCAGCCACGGCTGCGAATTTTGTTTGCGTATGCGGTGAGCGTGGCTCGTAGAGAGTCCTTATCGGGAGTCGCGCCGAAGCTCCACAGATTGAGACGGACGCCAACGACGCCTGCACGGTTCAGTTCGTCCAGCTGCTCTTCGGTGACGGTGTCGGGGTTGATGCAAGCGATGCCCCGTCCCTTGCCCTTCATTCGATTCAGACCGTCGATGAGACTTCGGTTATCGTCACCATAGACTGAGACGGCTACGATGACGGCATGGTCGATGCCGAGGCTCTTCTCGAATTTGAGAAGCTCATTCACAGTTGCCTGCTTTGGCGTGAACGGTCGGTTAGGGCTGAGTGGGAAGTTCACCTGTGCGGTTCAGTCAAGATACTGTGATATTGCACACTGAGAGCTGACCTCGTCGATGACGTGGACGTGAGAGTCCCACGCGCCCCGCGGAAGTTCGTGTTGCGGCATTGTGACGATAGGGGAACGCTCAATGTGTGTAGTTGTGCGGTGAGAAATTTGAATGGTGATGAGGTGTAACGTAACCGGCAGCTGTTATTGATAGCATCGACCCCAAAATGGTCATCAATCCGGTTTGACGGCGTTTGTGCCAGCCCCGCGTTTTGAATTTTGTAGTTGAAGTTGGCAGACATGATTTAATCCCATATTTAGTCCTCGGCACATCGGATGGCTTTCGTAATCATATCTGCCTATCATGCCCCATGAAGAATGAGCGGGGTAAGCCAAGCTCTTGGATCAACACCGGATAACTTTACCTCGACCACACATTTTTCCCAGTGCAACCCAAAGAAGCAACTCCTTTCTTTTCGGAGACCACCGAAATTCGCCGCAACTATTTTTCAGCTCCGGCTAATAACTTAGTTAAGATTCGGGTCGGGGCCTGAGAACAATACTAGGTAAGGTATGTTAGCAAAAGAAGACCACTGAATTCACAAATGGAGGAAAGACGAATTTCGAGTAACAGCGCTGTTATTCTCGGGTTTTGTTGCTATAATACAGATGCCCACATGAAAAATCTCACCAATATCTACAAATCCAGAAAAAAGGAAAAAGAGGCACAGCTCGCCCCAGATGTTGTTGTTCCGCAAATCGTTCATCAACCTTCACAATGTTTCTCATCTCATCTCCCATTTTGTGTGTGTTTGTGATGCTCCGAAAATTTCTCTCTTCTTCAACTGGCCAAGGCCCAGCGTCTCCTGGTAAGACAACCCAGACTCATGTTGTGGTATCAGATTCGCTGCTGTATGGGCAGGGCCGCCGGCTCAGTATCGATGATAAGAGAAAACGCTTAAGCGCTCTGGGTGGCGGCGGGAGGGGCGCCAGAGGGAGGAGGGCCAGAGGGCTGGGCGCCGGAGGGCTTGGGGGGAGGAGTGCCGGAGGGAGCAGCGCCGTTAGGAGCAGCACCGGTAGGGCGAGGGCCGCTGGGAGGGGTGCCGGAGGGGGGAGCGCCGGAAGGGGGAGTGCCGGAGGGCTTCTCGGCGGGGGCGGACTCGGCGCGGCGGGCGTTACCGGTGGGAGCGGGAGCGTCGGAGGGAGGAGGGCCGGTAGGGGTGCCGGTGGGCTTGGGGGGAGGGGTGCCGGAAGGAGGAGCTCCAGAGGGGCGAACGCCGGAGGGAGGAGGTCCAGAAGGCTTAGGGCCGGAGGGGGCGGCACCGGAGGGCTCAGCACGGCGGGCGTTGCCAGTAGCAGCAGGGGGGGCGCCGGAGGGGGGAGCACCAGTGGGAGCAGCGCCGGAAGGAGGAGCACCAGAGGGAGGAGCACCAGAAGGAGGGGGGCCGGAAGGCTTAGCACCGGAAGGTCTGGGAGGGGGAGTGCCAGAGGGCTTCTCGGCGGGCGCAGACTCAGCACGGCGAGCATTGCCAGTAGGAGCAGGGGCGCCAGAAGGAGGAGCTCCAGAGGGAGGAGGTCCAGAAGGCTGGGCTCCAGAAGGTCTGGGGGGAGGAGTGCCAGAAGGAGGAGGGCCGGAAGGCTTCACACCAGAGGGCTCGGCACGGCGAGCGTTGCCAGTGGCAGCAGGGGGGGCGCCAGAGGGAGGAGCACCGGAAGGAGGAGCGCCGGACGGGGGAGCGCCCGAGGGGGGAGGACCGCTGGGGCGAACACCAGAAGGCGTCGGGCCGCTAGGGGCACCAGAGGGAGGAGGGCCAGAGGGCTTAACTCCAGAGGGCTCAGCGCGACGAGCGTTGCCGGTAGGGGCAGGAGCATCAGAGGGGGGAGCTCCAGAAGGAGGAACACCGGTGGGAGCACCAGACGGGGGAGGGCCGCTGTGGTGGCCGCCGCCGTGAGGGCCACCGGAAGGCTTCGCAACACCAGAGGGCTGGGCCTGGGCATCGAAGTTGCCCTGGCCACCGCCGGGGAAGCCGGTCGGGCGGGCTACGCCGCTGGGGAAGTCGGTCGGGGCACCGCTAGGGCGAGGAGGAGGAGTGCCGGAAGGAGGCGCGCCGGAGGGGGGAGCACCGCTCTGCTGGCGACGGTTGAACATGCCGCGGCGGCGAGCGGCCGGAGTGCCGGAAGGTGGGGCGCCGCTAGGGGGCGGGCCGGAGGGCTTGATAGTTCCGGTGGGGCGAGGGGGAGGGGTACCGCTCGGGGGAGCGCCGGTGCCGTGGGGCGGGGGCGGAAGGCCGGTGCCGGAGGGGGCCGGGGGCGCAGAGCCACCAGAAACCTGGGGCGCCGGCGCCGCTTGGCTGATGGCCGCGATGGCGGTGACAAGAGCGAAAATCAAGTTGGAACGCATCCTGGCGACCGAATGAAGGTGTTTTTGAAAAGTTGGAAAAAAGGCGGTCGAAAAGCTGCGCGAGCGAAGTCGTTCAAGGAAAGAAAGGAGGTGTTGCTGAAGTGAGTCGTTTGTTGAAGAGAAGGAAAAGAGATGTTGATGAGATGAGTGTGGTGAGGATGAGAGGGAAAAAGAAGCTGGATATGCCGGACATCTCGAGTGTTTATATCTTCTTTTTCGCCTTATGGTGTTCTCTTCCTCTTTGGTTGTTGCAAGGTAAGTAAGGTATGACGCCTTTTTCCACATTGCACAAACCCTACTCCGTGAATAGATTGGCACGCCTTGCCTTGGAGAGAGCTCCTCCCAGGAGCACAGCTGGAGACAACGCGGCGCGGCTCCGCAATCAACCCCGTGGCTCCACGATGTTCTGGGCCCGTCAGGCAATATTCCGCCGCGCTATGATCGAAGGGCACGGAGAAAAGCCCCGTTGCTGCGGGACCAGACAATGCTTGAACCACTGCTTGCAATCTAGAGAGAACAGCTACAGCCAGCGGCTGGGCCGTGGCATGTACGCTTGCGCGGCTCCTGTGCCGCTGATGGCTGTCACTCCCAGTCGGGCGGTGTCAAGTTGAGTGAGGGTGGTTCCATTGGGCGCGGTTGATCCAGGGATCGGCCCCCGACAAGGAGCGCGTTCGTCGGGGCCCTAGCATCTGAAGTCTGTGAAAATCGATTGGCGTTCCGAGACCGTTTGTTTCGAAACGTCTGGTTTGGAGCATCGCGGTTTGTCGACTGGTGGTGGTGGTGGATGTGGTGGACGGTGACAGTGTTAGTTGGCCCCCTGTCCCTTGCTGGTCTGGACACGCAAGCCCGCCCACTTCCCGAATTAGGATCCCGGGTAGCGCCCCGAAAGGCTGGTCTCCCACTGGGGCCAGGGGCGGATGAGCCAACCATTTCGAGGAATGTGGCGAGGGCTTTGTCTCTACAATGTCGAATTACTTCTTTTTTTCCATATTGCCTGCATAGCGAAATTGATAGAGAACATCGGACGACGATGGCCGAGTTTTCCCAAAACGGCGTTTTCGGAGTTGTCAAGTTTTGTTAGAGTTCCAGTGCATGATTGCCGTTGCGTTGGCTAACAAACGCGCAGTATGGCGAGCGACGGAAGATCCCATGTAGCCTCCTTGATAATGGAGCCAGCAGATGACGTGGACTTTTTTCGCCCTTTCTCTGGCGCGCGTCTTTTCAGCCCAGTTCTGTAAGTTCTGGCGCAGACTCCTGTGCCTGGCGTCTGTCTATTCTTGGAAGAGGGATGGGAACATGTTCGTCACAACAGTTCAGTTGACTTTGTCCCAATTGGGACGGTTGACGTCCTCGAGTGGAAATGGAGAAGGCTCTGGTGGAGTGCAAGTGATGAAACCGTTAGCTCGGACAAGGCAACGTACACCACAATCAACTTGATTCAAGCTCTCCTGCTGCGTCGATCAACCGAAATGGGGGATAAGAAAACACGGACATGGTTAGAGGTGAGAGTCCACATGCTGGGCCCAATGGCGGCGGGTTTGCTCACTTTAGCCTCCTGCACAGAAGCATAATCGACGGCACTCATCACACCATCACGGAGAATATCCTGCCATCGATGGATCGACATATCAAAGTTTATCCATCCAATAGTTCCCAGATTTGTGGGTTTCCATTTGATGATGATGGTCAGTACGGTTGCGTGTAGTACGAGACAGAGCCTTCACGATGTATCAGGCTGGAGCTCCGAGAACGGCCTTTACTTGAATATTATGACATTGTGTATTTTGCTTCTTTTTCCAGAATGCCACCAAGCAGATGATTCTCCGCTGTATGAGGCAATATCCAGCGTTTCTCTCGGGATCCCTATTCCGTTCGATCGTCCCTTTCTCATCTCTCCTGCGTATCACCACGTCCCGGGCCATGATATCCCACCACTCTCCCGCGCCATAAACTTGCCAAAAGCTGAAGAAATAAGCTATGTACTATGATACCATGAAATCTTGAAACAAACTAGGCAAGATAAGATGCTAGTGGTGAAGCTATTTTGATCATCCCAGGTTGATGGGTGCATCTCCAGGTTGACGTGGACAGGTCGATCTATACCAAACAAACAAGAACAGGTCTGACCGCTTGCCACCCATCGGTACCCCTGACATCAGACTCTTGGGGTGATACTGCAGCTAGTTGAGCTTGTTATGAGATGAGCAACAGGTTTGCTTACCTGTTAGCCATCAATGTTGCTGAATGCTCGCTGAAATGATTTCGTTTACAACTCCTGCTCAATCTCGTCTGGTCCAACGTGAAACCAATATGTTGACAGTAGACATGGAAAAGACATCTCTAGAAGATAGCTTGAGTACCTTCAAGTTGGGAGAGCTCCGCCTGTCCACATCCCACATGGGATTCAAGATGGGCCAGCTCCATTGCGTGTAAGCTCGGCTCCTGGAAGCCGGAGGGAACCCAGCGAACCACAAATCTGGGCCCATCATCCCGCTCGAAACAGCGGGGCTTCCCCCTGACGCAGCGCATAAGCGCCCTATAGTATTCCAGCCACGGCAGCGTAAGCTTCCCCTAACTCCCCTACCTCAGCTGTCAGCGGGTGCTTCTCAGCGGCAGCCCGGCAGGGGAAGCCCAGTGAACGGCCCCCAAGCTTCAATTGGCCACAGCGGCCTCCCCTATCCAGCAACACCCCGCCTCAGTTGTCGGCCCGGCCCCACCCCCCGGAACGGGGCAGCCGCCGCTCCAGTGAATTATTTTTCGAATTTTTTTGCTGCTGAGGCTTTCGGCGCGGCGCAGTCCGCAGCCGCAGCCACCTTTTTCTCCCATCCGCCACATCACGCACGCAAGCTCCCTATCCTCACCCACATACCCTTTCCTAACTCCCCCCTAGCCTTAATACTATCCAACCAACCCTTCGCCCTTCGGACGCTTCCGCCGGGCGTGGCGATGCCTTCTCCGGGCCTCGGAGTCCTCAGCCCGCAGCAGCTCGGATTTGGCGGCTTAGCACTCTACTGCTTCCTGGGACCCGTGGCCGTCACGTCACTGGTGCTGTTTGTCGTCGCACTCATCGTCATCGCCTATCGCCTCGTCTTGCACCCCCTGGCACGCGTGCCCGGACCGAAGATTGCCGCGCTCTCCAACATCTGGTATGCGTACCACGCCCGCAATGGGCGCATGCTGGAGCTGGGCAAGACGCTTCACAGGCGGTATGGCCCTATGGTGAGGGTTGGGCCGAATGAGGTCTGGTTCGACTCAGTTGACGCGTTCAAGCACATCTACAGTGAGTTCCAACTAGCCAGCTTTTGAGCCATGAACGCCCGTTAATTCGTATGCCGATAAGGAGCTGGAAGTGGCTATGAGAAATCAGAGTTTTATCGTACGTAGTATCTTCCACTTTTTTCTCCCTCCCTGACTATTATGACTCGGCTTACAGTCAGGCGACAGTCTCAACCGCCCTTCAGCGGCCGGACATCACGTTTACCCCCTTTCCAACCTTCACGTCCCCAGAGACGTTGGATCTCCTCTCGGAGCGCAACACTGCTCGATACCGGCTGCAACGTCGACTCATCGGGCCCCTCTACCAGACCAACCACCTCAAGCGCCACGAGCCCGCCCTCGATGCGGTGCTGGCGCGCGTCATCTCCACCCTGCGCGCCCTCGACGGCAAAGAGATCGACTTGAAAGAGTGGATGCACATCATCGCCGTTGAGTCCCTCTCCGCCCTCGTCATCTCGTGGTCGCCCAACTACCTCAGGGACGGCACCGATCACAAGTCCAGCAGCCACGGGTACCAGGGCTGGCGCCGCAAGTCCGTCTTCGGCCTGTTCCCCCTGGCCGTCAAGGCCGAGCTCTTCTCAAAGGCCTTCGGCAGGGCTTTCGCCAACCTGTGGCGCGTGACCTACAGGACGCCCAAGAACTTCAAGCCCTTCTTCACGGGCGTGTACCGCCAGGTGTCCCGTCGCATCACGAACTCGCTCGCCGGCAAGCCTGTGCCCAAGAACGACCGCAAGGATGACTTCCTCACAGACCTGATCCAGCTTCACAAGGACAAGCCGGATTTCTCGGAGCAGTACCTCCGCCGCATGGCCATCACCAACTTCGGCGCCGGCCATGAGACCATGTGCTCCGCCCTCACGTCCATCATGTCCATGATCGGCTCCCACCCGGACGTCCAGCGGCGGATATCCAACGAAGTCTGCGCCTCGCCCTCAGATCCGAAGAGCTACGACAACGCGGTGCGTCTCGCATACACGCAAGCCGCCATCAAAGAGGCCCAGCGCCTCTACCCCGTCCTCGGCATGGCGCTGCCCCGAACCGTGCCCCCTGAGGGCTTCACCGCCCACAGCCAGTTCTTCCCGGGCGGGACGACAGTCGGATGCAACCCCGTCTCACTGCACCGCAACACGTCGATCTTTGGGCCTGACGCGGAGGAATACAATCCGGATCGCTGGCTAGACGAGGAGAGGGACGTCAGGGGTATGGAGCGGTTTAATCTTACATGGGGTGGGGGCGGAAGGATGTGTCCCGGGAGGCATCTGGCTGAGTTGGTTGTGTACAAGACGATACCGGCTTTGATGGAGCATTTCGACGTCGAGGTGACGATGCCGCCGGAGGAGGAGATAGAGTACTACTTCATGGCCATGCTCACAGGCGTGAGGGCTCGTTTCTTGCCGAAGGCTGGATGAATGGCGCCATTTTTCAGCGCAAGTGCGTTTGGAGTTGACGGACACGGAACCTGGCTGCGCGGAATTGGGCGCGGCCGGGTGATGATGAATGAAAATCACGACATAGAAGGCCACCATGAGGGAATTGGGGATAGACAAAAATTAGATTGGCTCTCGCGGGGCCGTACATGAATGATTTAATGAAGGACTTTTGCGTGATGCGTGGATTGTATCGAACTGATGTCCCAGACTTTTCGAAACTCCTCTGTTTTCGTCATCCAAGTACGCTGTCTAATCCTTCGTGTTGTCCGCCGCCGACAACAGAAACCTCATGTATCCCGCAGCAGCCTCAGCAAGACTGCTCCTATACTGCTCGCTGGTCGGGTAGAACGGACAACCACCCTTCCGGGCGATGGCCCCGGCTTCGGCCCTCGTCCGACCGAACTTCATCCTGAAGGAGAATATTTTGGTAGCCGTGGTGTTGACGATGTGGCGGCTGTACGCCCAGTCCGTGGCCGTTCCGGACGCGCTCAGCTCCAGCCTCAGCATCTTGGCCAGACTCAGAAGCGGATTCTTTACGCTAATCGTATGGAACTGTCTTCCGAACACGGCCATCATCTGTCCCTCAATATCGTGCTTTCGCTCGAACACGTGTCTGTAGTCCTCTGGGACCATGTACTCACCGTAACTGCCTTCATCGCTACGGAGCAAGCCGCGCTTGCCGTCGTAGAATTTGTTCCGCCAGTTCATGGATGAATTATCGCTCATCGTGGTGTCAATATCCCATCGGCCCTCGACGCCGGGGGGAGACTGCGGGCCGGCGTTTGCAAAGTAGCCGATTTCGGGGTTGTTTTCGATGACCCATCTGACGTTGCGCGACTCTGCTTCGGAGAAGGGTTCTGTTCCGTGGTAGAGCTCGTGGCTTGGCATGTCAGATGCGACTTCCATGGCGTCCTTGGAGAAGTAGCGCTTGTAGTCCCAGACGATGTCAAAATTTCGGTCAACATTGACGCCTAAGCCGTTGCGGTTGTTACCCCAGCAGTTGTTGTGTCTCTGGTCCCAGACGATGCCGTCCGGGTTCACCATTGGGATGGCGGTGAGGCCCTCTCTGAGCACGGTTTCAACCTGTTCGTGGGAGAATCTTACGCGGCCGTAGGTCAAACCCTTCTTGCTCTTGTGGGCGTGAAGCAGGTCCGACAGGAAGTATACGAGACTGTCTGGGCCGCCGCGCTCGCGGCCCTGGAAGCCGGAGGTGAGAAGAACACCGCGCGGGCGATTGGGATCCAAATGAGAAGTCTTGTTCTCCTTCTTTTGCGTATCATTCAGATCATCCTTCCGACCATGCGTCGGGGGGATACTGATGACCACCGTGGTGAAGCCCATGGCGCTTTTGTACGGGGCGGCCGTCAACGTGACGTTGAAGTGATTTTTCAAGCCGTATATCGCCGATTCAATTTCCCTAGTGCTGAGGATGGTGTCAAACTGGGGATGAGCAGCGCCCAACATAGCAGGACCGGCAGGAGGATCGGAGCAGTTGGCGAAGCGATCGATTAGGCTAACCGGGGCGAAGTCTGGTAGAAGTCGATATGTGGACTTTGTGGCTGCGGCACAGGCTGCCCCGGCCATGCAGAGCATGGAGACGAGTTGGTTGGGTGGCCTCATGATGGGTGACTTTCTGCGGCTGTTCAGTAAGCTACGTGTTCTGCAAATTGCTTTCGACTGTTAGATAGGGGGATCTCAAGACGTTTATAGCCCTCCAAGCTTGAGACAATGAGAAAACTTTAATAGCTGCAAAGCATATTTTCCGTCTTTTTTTTTTTCTTTTAGTTTACCCTGATGTGATTTGGCTGCACATTGCACCGTTATGGCTCAACGTCAAGCCGTAAACAAAATCTTCAATGTCTCTGCTGAGTTTGAGCCTATGTGGCTCAAATGATTCCGACTCTCATAGCTTAATTCATCATGTGCCCTAAGTATCATATGTGATAGTAGGGAGTTTCAAGAAATTAAGTTGTTCGTAGATTCAACATCAAGAGGGGTGTTATTAATGTCCCATGGTTCCGTGAGGCGTTCAAACGGGTCCAAGCGAATTTTCCAATTTCACATGATCAATGTATAAGCCTGTCACCAGAAGTTCCAGTACTTTGTGGCTTTCACTGCTGCAAGGCGCAGACGTTATTTTCAATCGTTCTTTCACCGGGGCTTCTAACGTCAGCAATCGAAGCATGTCTTGAACTTAAAGCAAGCCTAAGAGAAATATTGGAGCAGAATATCACCGTATGTACGCCAAATCAAATGTTCAATACAACATGTGTCTTAGGTGGGACGATTCCAGCATGAATATGTCCTCCCCCACAGTGCATTGGATTTCTAATTATCTGATCAAGAGGACGAATATTGCCCAACCTAGACAAGTGTGATTACAAGGCTTTAGCGTTCATATCAACGGAGAATAAAGAGTGTCAAGGACTGTAAGGTGAAATTTTAGCCTTAAGCCACTGAATTGTTGATCAACAAGTACATGCCCCTAAACTCATCGGTGATAGCCTCACAGTGCAGAAAGCAGTGTGTATCAATTGGATCCAACTGTATACGTACCTATAAGTCTGGAGAAATAGTGTCTCCGACGCCCCACTTTGGCCTATCAAATGGACCCCAGCCAACTCCACCGCAGAGACTCACCATTCAGACGCATGGAATTCGGTTCGGTGGCACTGGCTTTGGACGGCCTAGCGCAACAATCGAGAATCCACATCCCACCTCGTAGCCAAATTCCCATTTGCAACGTCGCCAGCCCAGCCGAGAGCATCACGAACCAACACCCCCAGCCTCACCACACCACCCAAAGTCGGCGCCGAAGCCGCACCCGCCCACCATGGTTCTCCAAGATCTCGGCCGCCGCATCAACTCGGCCGTCACAAATCTCACAAGAGAGGCCAATCTCGACGAAAAGGTGCGCGCCCTTCTCCCCCTGCCCCGCCGCCGCCGCCGTCTGTCGCTGTCGCATTGCCACCAGCGACTCACCTAGCTAACCACGTCCCGACACCATAGGCTTTCGATGCAATGCTCAAGGAGATCTGCGCCGCCCTCCTCGAGGCCGACGTCAACGTGCGCCTCGTCGGCCAGCTGCGAAAATCGATAAAGTCCACCGTAAACTTCAAAGACCTGCCCCCCGCCGTCAACAAGAAGCGCCTCATCCAGAAGTCCGTCTTTGACGAGCTCGTCAAGCTCGTCGACCCCCACTCCGAGCCCTTCAAGCCCAAGAAGGGCAAGTCCAACATCATCATGTTCGTCGGTCTGCAGGGTGCCGGTAAGACGACGACATGTACGAAGCTCGCCCGCCACTACCAGGCCCGCGGCTTCAAGGCCTGCCTCGTGTGCGCCGATACCTTCCGTGCCGGTGCCTTTGACCAGCTGAAGCAGAACGCGACCAAGGCCAAGATCCCATACTACGGCTCCCTGACCGAGACGGACCCCGCGGTGGTCGCCCGAGACGGTGTCGAGAAGTTCAAGAAGGAGAAGTTTGAGATCATCATCGTCGACACGTCAGGTCGACACAGGCAAGAGGAGGCTCTGTTCCAGGAGATGGTGGATATCCAGACGGCGATCCGGCCCGACGAGACGATCATGGTGCTCGACGCATCCATCGGCCAGCAGGCCGAGTCCCAGGCGAAGGCGTTCAAGGAGGCGGCAGACTTTGGAGCCATCATCATCACGAAGACCGACGGACACGCCCACGGCGGTGGTGCCATTTCCGCCGTCGCCGCAACACACACGCCCATCGTCTTCATCGGCACGGGCGAGCACATGCTGGACCTCGAGCGCTTCGCGCCGCAGCAATTCGTGCAGAAGCTGCTCGGCATGGGCGACATGGCTGGCCTCGTGGAGCACGTGCAGAGCCTGAAGCTGGACCAGAAGGACACGATAAAGCACATCACGGAGGGCATCTTCACGGTGCGTGACCTGCGGGACCAGCTGTCCAACATCATGAAGATGGGCCCGCTGTCCAAGATGGCGGGCATGATTCCTGGCATGAGCGGCATGATGCAGGGCATGGACGACGAGGAGGGCAGCGCGAAGCTGAAGCGCATGATCTACATCTGCGATTCGATGACGGACAAGGAGCTCGACTCGGACGGCAAGCTCTTCATCGAGCAGCCGACGCGGATGACGCGCGTGGCCCACGGCTCGGGGACGTCGGTGCGCGAGGTCGAGGATCTGCTCACGCAGCAGCGGATGATGGCCGGCATGGCGAAGAAGATGGGCGGCAACATGAAGAACATGCAGCGCGCGCAGTCGGCGATGGGCGGCGGAAACAAGGCGCAGCAGCTGGCGGCGATGCAGAAGCGGCTGCAGAGCATGGGCGGCGCCGGGGCCGGAGGCGGTATGGGCGGCATGCCGGATATGGGCAGCCTGATGAAGATGCTCGGCGGTGGAGGCGGCGGCGGCGGTGGCATGCCCAACATGCAGCAGATGCAGCAGATGATGCAGCAGATGGGCATGGGCGGCGGCATGCCTGGTATGGGAGGCATGCCCGGCATGGGCGGCGGTCGCGGAGGAAGACGCTAGATTATTACTGAACCCAACACGACGTTCGTATAAAGTGAGGTTTTTCGTCGAGAGCGACTTGACAGGAGACACATGGATGAAGACATGATATTGGAGTCGCTGAAGGCGGTGGGACCATATTCGGAGCTCTCGTATTACATAGGACTGGCGTTTGGCGGAGGGGAATACAATCAGACCCATTGCTGTCGACACTGCATTCATCCAGCTTCTACTGATTTTGCCTTTCAAGATTTCACGGACACTTGCCTGGCTGATGACCGATTCAAGTTCCAGACAGCCACTCGTGTGCTAATAATCTCCTGAACTCTTGACTGGAGATGTTTGGCGCCCATTGATTCAAAGGCAGTCAGCCATGTTCTCCTTGGGTTTTACTTTGGGGTTTGTCCTCTTGGGAAGCAGCCCCCATGCCCGATGGGATATTTCAGCCAGCTCGACAAAACCTTGGCCTCATCACCAGTCCATCATCTTCCTCAGCACAGTCACGGACCGTTTGCAATCGCACCTACAACAAGGCAGCGCCCGATCGGCGACATGTAAGCAAACATGACGTTGAAAAGAGATATCATGTCACACGTGAACGAGCCTTGAAGCCTTTCGGGAAGTGAGGTGCAATTGGCGTGCGGAGACGGTACGGAGCCGGCCGGACATCCGGCTCGGCGCTGGGCGGGGGATGACGTTGGTGCAGGATCGGGGACGGTAATGATCATGGGGCGGTGATTGGGCCTGGGGCGGGTTGCGCTGAGATTTGAGACATTATTCAGGGGACTCAGTTGGTAGCGACCGCTCATCCGCAACATATTCGAGCTCTCTGATTGCTACGTTCTTTAATTTTGATAGTAGCCATGGGATTAATGAGCGCTTTTTGGCTGTCCAGTACAAATTGCAATTTCTACATCATCGTCTAGTCTCCATCGCTACGCTTGTAGAGGGCCGAGCGGGCCTGCGCGGACCGGAGAAATTGAAACTCTGTTTTATCAGATGGAAGGCTTCAATCCACCTGGCACAATGTCCCTTCTCTTGCCGAGGTGCTGTCTGATTTACGTTCTCACGCGTTATGCCATGAGCGTGTCTAAATCAATAAGCTCGTCGGGGGGCATGAAATTGTTCCATATCAATCCGCATCAAGGCTAGTTCTCTTTATTGGCACGAACCGCCGTTAATGCTAGGCCTCCCTACCTAAGGTAGCTAGGTGTACGTGGTGTTGTTTGTATTAGCGAGAAGCCGCGCACATGGCGCCGGCTGTAGATGTCGACCATCGTGGCCGTTGTTGTGATCTAGCCCTTCGGAGGTGTCGTGTTTGGGATTCAAATCCCGTGTAAAATCCACTCTGCCGGCCTCGTATCGGTCAAAATGCAGCGCCAAACAAAGTGACACCAACATCGACATCACCAGTGGAGCAACCCGGTCCACCACAAAACGCTGCTGCATCTTTCGAGAGCCGCGATATGTCACAAGACGTGGACGCGTTGGCTGATCGGCGCCCCGTTGCGAAAAAAGGTGAATCGCAGGCAAGCCTGGAACTAACCAGAGGGGTCGGAGCAAAACCTCCCGCCGCCCTGTGCGTGCCGTCGACCATCGGTGCCATCGTCCAATTTCAACAAAATGTTTCGACCGGGGCTTGAGATTCGAGGTATTGGTAGCGCCTCATGGTTCTCTCGTATGGGCGTGGCTTGCCCTTGTGGCATCATCGAGTCCAGACTTTTCTCGACTGCTGGCCGTCCGGGATTTTGATTGGCGAAGTCGGATCTGGAGTGCCGTGACAGGGGGGGTTGACGACGGGAACGGGCCCGTTGTTGCCAAGGATGCCCACGCGTCTGAGGCGGGATGACGTCGATTGGCATTTTTCAGACGGTTGAGAGGCGCAAAAGTTTGGTTCTCGTCCTGCACCACCACACCATCATGACCGCACCGGCTCACTTACTAGGCGGGCAACTGCAGTCTGCCACAGTTCAGCGCCCACAAGCAACAACGGCGGCAGACCACTAGCCACAATCCGGGGTACTAGTGCGTAACAGAAATCCCAAAAGAAGCAGGGAAAGTGAACCATGTCTCGCTGTGCTACCCGGCTAGGCAAGTTGTCTGTCTCGCCCTTCGGGCCCTTTGGGGAGAAGTGCCTGAAATGAGGTGCGGCTGGACGTGGTGAATGGGTGAAATGAGTGAAATGACATACGGAAAACCCACTATTATTGCTGCACGGCAGACGCCTCGTGTGGCCTCTTGTGGTCTCTGCTTGCGTGTGTACTGATTGCCGCTTGCTCTTTCCTTCCCTCGGTCCTCCCTCCAACGAACGGCAGGTGGGCGGGCAGTCCTTCGTACCTGCCTGCCTGCCCTTCGTCTCAAATCGACGATGCAGTTGCCCCCAATCGGGACTTCCCTTACGGCTCACCCTCACCAGGACAACCTACCTAAGGTAGGTACCCAAGGTAACCATGACGTCAAACAGCCTACGGAGAGATTGCTTGCCTGCCCCTTTGCAAGCTCCCGCCTGCCAGACGAGCAGTGCACCACACTTTATTCCTTAAGCTTAAAACTGAAGTCTGCCCTCCCTTCGTTTTCGACGTTGTCTCTTCAGCCACCCATCATACATCTCGCCAAGACTTCGTGCAGCAGCTCTTCGAGGGACAAGCACAGCCATCCCGCCTTGGCATTCTCTTGTCAGTCTTAGTTCGACAACACCCATAGGCAGATCATCGCTATCACCAACCAACACCAAAATACCACGATGGGTTTCTTCAGCAGACGTCCTCGCGACGCGCCCGCCGACGGCCACCACGGCCACGGTGTGCGCTCCGACAGGGGAGAGCCGTTAACCATGTCCCGTCGCCCCAGCTTCGGACAATGGCTGAAGGGAACGCTGCTCGACATTATCACCATGATCTGCATGGGTGCCATCGGCCTCGGTGTAAGTCCTCCATCAATACCTTCGTTAGCGACGCGACTTCTAACAATCACCAGATCTACATGGCCCCTCCCGCCCCGAACCGCTCCTTCGCCGTCACCTTCTCCGACGGTGAGGTTGTCTACCCTCAATTCGCCTACCCTATGCGCAACGAAGTCATTCCCATCTGGCTCGCTGCCTTCCTCGCCTCCGTTATCCCCATCGTCATCATCCTCCTCATGCAGATCCGCATCCGCTCCTTCTGGGATGTCAACAACGCCGTCATCGGCCTGCTCTACTCCCTCATCTGCGCCGCCGTGTTCCAGGTCTTCATCAAGTTCCTCATCGGCGGCCTTCGTCCCCACTTCCTCGAGGCCTGCCAGCCCGATCTGTCCCGCGTCACCTCCACCCAGGGTGGCATTGCGCGTGCCGGCTACAGCCCCGCTGGCTACGCTAATTTGTACGTTACGAAGGAGGTTTGTACTGGCGACATGAAGGAGATCAACGATTCGCTTGAGAGTTTCCCCTCCGGTCACACCACCGCCGGCTTCGCTGGCTTCGTCTACCTCTACCTGTACCTCAACGCCAAGCTCAAGGTCTTCTCCGACTACCACCCCGCCATGTGGAAGCTCATCGTCACCTACATCCCCATCCTCGGTGCCGTCCTCATCGGTGGTGCGCTCACCATTGACGAGTTCCACAACTGGTACGACATCTTTGCTGGTGCAGCCATTGGTATTGTCTTCGCCTTCTCCTCCTACCGCATGACCTATGCTGCCGTCTGGGACTTCCGCTTCAACCACATCCCCCTCAACCGCGGCCAGGCCTTCCACTACGGTTTTGACGCTGAGCTGTACGACGCGGTTTTCACACGCAAGGCTGGCTGGGGCAAGCGCGGCGGTGGCGGTATTTTGCACCGCGATAAGGACGCCCACCACCATGGCGCTGCTACTGGCACCCACGGTTATGACAACGGAGTTGGCGCTCGCAAGCCTGTCGGTTCGGGGTCTAGAGCACCTGACACCATGGTCTAAACGGGGCCGTCAGCGTGCCCAAGCACCCTTTTGTATGCTATAATATGGTAAGGCGCCTAACGGCGTTGGGAGCCTGCCACAACTCCAACCTCGGTGTCTAAGGAGTTCAAGTCATGAGTAAACGGCCTGTTGCGTATCAAAATACCCCATAGCACAGACGCTTGTATGATAGTTCTAGTTGATTGTTAATGAAGCCATAATCCTGCATCCTCTCGCTGTCGCTGTCACAACGGTTCGAACCTTGAAAGGATTTTCGACAATAAATGCGTTTATAGGCCTCGGTGGGTGAGGTTAATGATATGGTGGTATATCCACTTGACATGGTAACCATCACATTCCACAGAGCACCATTATGCCAATTACCACACGCATCAAGTCGTCTTCCTGTTGGTCAATAAGTTCCTATTGACATAGAGAGGATCGAGGTTCCACCCATCTGCGCGACTCATGGCTTACGTGGTTGGGTCGTAAAGCTGCCGGGTCCTGCTCCACGATTTGCCGCAGTACGGCACTGACTGTGCAAGTGGTTTTCGTTACCGATGCCCAATGATGCGTCAACACGTTTTGTGGCTTGAGGCCTGCGTTCTGATAAGCAATGTGGCCAAGGCCAAGCCTTTTGGCCCCCAATCTTGCGCCTTGCTGACGAAGTAAACGAATATCTTACACAGTCAAGCTGACATTACCCCGCAGTTTATTTTATTCTGCCTGATGGCACACTTGAGCTGCTATGAACAGAGAAGTATAATTTTTTTAAAGACTGCTTCCTGCATTTCGCCAGAGATTTGGTTGATCCTTGACGGCTCTGGGTGGGCCACTGATCACCACCAGTACAATACCGCACAATCTCGCAGACTCTTCGCGATAAAACAAGCTTCAACATAGGATGATCCAACAAGAGATTTCAAATCGTTACTTGAAGAAGTCTACCGTTCTACGGTGTTTGAAGGAGCTATTTGGGAACGAAGAATTCGCTATTGAGGTGATCCTACCCGCTGATCTTCCGCGGCCCCAAAAGCTTACCATGTGTCTTCAGATGAGTGATGATCGATGGGTATTTCAAGTACCACGACGAATCAAAGAGGAAGAGGAGGAATATCTCCGAACATCCTCTGAGGAGTATTCCAGATGGCGTGAAGAGAATGAAAGGTTTGGCTTAATTATTGCTGCCTTGATATTCGGATTCAAAATTTGATAACGCGTTGGAAAGGTTAGCAGGCAGAAATCGAATGATCAACCGGACACTGGAGGAAGCGGCTTTCAAAAAGATACCCCAAGCTCAATCACTCTCTCAATTCCCAGGTTTGCCAACGAGCGAGGCCGTTTCCGTGGAAGCCATATCATCATCTTTCCCGAACATCACCCTTCTTTCTCAAGGCAAGGATAAAGTAATTGAGGGGCTCTATGGCGAAGAAGTAGAGTCCGGACAGACCTCACGGGTCTTCAATGTCAAGGGGTTCTTATCTTCCGTATCATATGATCATCATAGGCCGAGCATTATGAAAGTAGGTAAAACTCAGCGTCTTGATATTTTCAACTCAATCCCGATCTATAGGCCAATGCGGCTTCTGACGATTCTAACTGCGTGTAGTTCGCAGTCAAACGACTGCATCAAAGTACAACTTTGAGAGAATTTCTAGATGAGTTCGAAAGCCTCAAACGAGTACAGTCCCTCCACCATCCTCATATTGTCGAAACCTTCTCAGCATTTCGCAGCGAAGTTCAAGGCACTTTGTCCTATGTGTTTGCCTTCCCTTTAGCATTGGGAAATCTCAAACAAATGTTCAGAGGAGACCATGACAGTCTGGAAATAGCTTCGACGCAGAGATCTTGGCTGTGGCCCCAGCTCATTGGCATTACAAGTGCCGTAGCGTATCTCCACGAAACGTCGAACACGGCGCATAGAGATATAAAACCCTCAAACGTACTTGTCTATGTCGACGCGAAGAATGAAGGACCAACTCTCAAGCTGGCTGACTTCGGCTTATCTGTGGACCTTAGCGATGCGATAACATGGCAAAAGGGAAGCACCGCTGCAAAGTCCGCCTTGCCCTACGATGCCCCAGAATACAGATCAGCATACATGGGAAGGCTGGAGACTGTCCCTCAGTTGCCATCCCCCAGTATCCTACTGTCAAACGACATATGGAAGCTCGGATGTGTGTTCACAGAGCTTGCGGCATTCATAGTGGGGGGATCCAAAGGCGTCAAGGAATTCAGACACTCCATTCTAACGGAGACACGCATTGACAAAACCAAGTTTGTGTCAGACTCGTTCGAAAATGTGGACAATGGCAAAAGGATGCAGTTTGACAATGGGGAAAGAGTCAAGCCAGAGGTTATCCAAGCAATTGAGACCCTCAGCACCAGCTGCGAAGAGGTAGCTCAAATACGGTATATGCTTAACGCTATGCTGGGAGAGGCCGATGTTCGCCCAAAAGCTCGAGAGATTTGCCAGTATTTGATTCAGGTCAGTAACAATTGTGACGTTCAGGCCTCATAGCGTTCGGGGGTTACCACGATGATGTCTATAATCGACACGAAATGCATACTGATAACCAAATATCACATCAGCACACTAACTGGGCCGGGAAGCTCCACCACGATGGAGCACGACTTGTCGAGCTGCATGAAGGAGTCTCAAAACAACAACTGTCTTCATTTGATGAGCTCAGACTACGGATCGACGGCGGACAGAAAACCCAATCGATTGGGCACCAATGCGACCACTTCCACGGCCTTGCATTGAAGGGGAGACGAGGGTTGAGTGGCAGGTACGGCGACACTATCTTTAATGCACCTGGTTTCTCTGATCGATGCTGACGCGCACCTCGTCTTTACCTCTGCAGTACGGCGGAAAGCAGCTTTCAGTCATACTATCGATTGACGAGATTCGACAGTACAAAGAATACTGCGTCCCTGCATTTAGGACGGGCAAGCCAATCTTGCCGATCGCCCAGGCATCCGGTTCAGGGCAGGTCACGGTGCCGCCTAGAAGCTACCAACCACCATCACAAGGAGCCAAACAGAACGTCGTGGGTACTGGAGGACTACCGGGGGCACAGGCAGGAGGCTCTGCGTCGAGTGGCACCACTGGAAGGCCACCTGTGCCGCAACACCTACCATCAAGAGAGGTTTACTGGTGCATAGACAAATTTTTCAGTGAACCAAAAGAAATTATGCTGCACCCGGTACATCTCAGACAAGCTCAAACAGACGACGAGTTCTTCACTCCAACGAATCAAGCTCTGAACAGGACGAGGGGAAACATTATGAATGGTTGGTTTGGCTGGCTTAGCTGGCTCCCAAATCAACTTTCATGGAAGATATGCGTAGGAGTCGACTTCAAAGAGGTTCGTACACGGTCTCCTGCGGATCTCTGTTTCCAGAACGGGGCAAAGAGACACGAGTAGAGCGGGCTTAAGTCGTGACCTTTACTTAAACACTGACGCGATGCTATTTGTTGTGTTAAGCTAATTATTCTTCCCAGTTCTACATCATCAAAACAGGACAGGACCAGGTTCATCTAGGGGACGTAGGGCTACCGCCTTCAGCACAAGCAAACAGTAACATCCCAGAGTACGAACACGGTATCAACCCACCCGACGCGATCCAGATGAAGCTTGTTGCCGCCCAAATTGTGGCTGGTCTGAGAGATCCTGGAGCAGTTCGGGGGCAAACCGAAATGGTATCCATGCTTCCCAAGAAGAGGGTGCCACCGGACTTCAAGAAGACAATGAGGGCCATGGGCTGGGGAATGCATGCGAAAATGGGCTACTCTGCGAAGAAGATACTTTGGTGGCTGATGTTCTGTGTTGTGTTCCTGGTCATGTCTGCCGCTCCTTGGCTCATATGGGTAGACCACTTTGATCTGCAGAACGCCTTCATGCCGGGGTGCACTATCCTCGCAGTGCTCACAATCTGCGTTGCGGTTGCGCAAACAGTTGGTTGAATGGAGTTTTCATGTATCTGGCTGCACCTGAATTCTACACTGATTAGCCTTAGACCAAAATAAGTGCTCCGGTGGGTGAAAACTTGTTGTGTGTGGCGTTATGCAGAGAAATGAAGGACCTCAGACAATAGTACAACACACCGACTATACATTTACCTAAGCACCCACGCAATCAAGGTACCTCATATATACATAGTGGCCTTTCGATACTGCACTCTCAGTGGTCTACACAACAACACAACCTCTCTGCGGCTGCAGATCTGCTGACCTTGAGCTAAATGAACGGGTACACACTCCCCATCTTGTCCAGGGGGGACGTTGAGACGCTGATTGCCTAGGGCCGCAAGCTCTTCATACTCGACGACTTTGTCATCAAGGCAGACGCGTGGATTCCGTAATTACCACCCGGGCGGCGACAAGTCGGTACTTCTTCACATGGTCGGGCAAAATGCCACAGATCCCGCGTATCGAGGGTACCATTAAGCATTACTTGTTGGGAGCACTTGCTGACCAGCCATACACCACAGTCTTCACTTAATCGAGTCAAAGCAACTTATGAGCCGCTACCGCATCGGGACCATTTAAGGCAGATGGGAGAACTTCATCCCGCCTATTCAGGGTGGCACGTTTCGTGCTAGCTCTAGTGATGACCAGGATGCCTCTCACAATGCCGATATTGCATCCCCTCCCGCCTCTTTGCGCCGCTCGAATATCCCTGACATCGACAATTCCGATGGAGTCAGCTCCATGCACCGGAAGAGCCGCACCACAGTCAATGCTTCCAGGTCATCCTCTTTATCGTCGGTTCCTTCTACCCGTACGGAAGACGATGCCATGGCACACCTGGATTTCGTCACTAAGCAAAAGGTCTCCCTCGACCTCGAAACCTACCCTCCCTTGGATCACGCTACCCAGAACGCCATCGTCGCCGCCTACCGCCGCCTCGATGACCGGTTGAGAGCTCAGGGCCTGTATGACTGCAACTACAGGGCGCATGCCACTGAAGTATCCCGGTACACCATGCTCTTCGCCGTCATGCTGCGTTTCTTTCATTGGGGCTGGTAGGTGGCCAGCGCAGTCTGTATGGGGGCCTTTTGGCATCAGATGTCGTTTGCTGCCCACGACGCTGGCCACAGAGGCATCACGCACCGCTTTCACATAGACAGTGTCCTTGGAATCTTCATCGCCGATTTCATGGGCGGTCTGTCCCTCGGCTGGTGGAAAAATAGTCACAACATCCAATACACTAGGTGATAATCCGCATTAGCTATCGTCCTCAAAATAGGGAGTGCGTTGTCACTTACTCTGGCATGCCTCTTCCGATGCGGTTATAGATACCCCCGTTCGCTCCGATGGGCGATGAGTCGTTGTGTGTGGCATTATGGAGGGAGCTGAAAGACTTCAGGCCCGGGTCATGCTTGGCGAAGTAGTCACTGATGGAAGCGCTCTGGTAGCTCGGAATGGAGTAGATGTGGCTGAAGCCACCGCCGCTGGTGTACGTGTGATCGGTCCCGTCTTGTTGGGGGAAATAAGCGGCAACCTCGGGGTCACTGACCGATGCGCCAGGGGACATCATAGTTCCACCGACGGTCGTGGTGTACGGACAGTTTCCAGGGAAGTTGGGATTGAATACGGTGTTGTTCTCTCCAAGACATCCATCGGGGAACGGGTCCCAGGGGTGAGAGGCGACACCTGCATCTCCTGAGGCGACCAAAATGGTGTGGCCCTGCAAAGCCAGCTTCATGAACTCATTGCACTGCCTCGGTTGGTAGTAGAAGGGGAGGTCGACTTCAGATTTGCTGTAAGAGATGGAAATCACATTCGTTAGAGTTGAGATACCGCACTGCACTTTACCCTGATAACCGTCGGGGCTCGTGGTGTCGGGACTCGGGATACACATCGTCAAAGTTGTCATCGTTTCCCTTTTCGCCGAAGGCGTCATAAGAACAGTAAGACCCATCGACAGCGTTGAGGAAATTGTTGAACAGGCCTCCCGCGCCGCTGATGGTGTCAATTTTGTCGTCTGTCTGGTACAGCGTGACAGCCTGAGGGTGGATTAGAGGATAGGCTACTTGGAGGTCCAAGTCCGACTCGCCATCAGCGAACTTTGGCTCAGCCGGGGCAAAGCCACCGTCGATAGAGACCAGAGTGGGGTGCGTGCCGTTCGGGTAAGTGGGGGTGTACTTGGCGAAGAACAAGTTGAGATCTTCCTGCGCGTAGTAATCTCCCGTTTCGTAAATACCCAGGCTATTAGGAGAGTGGTTCAAGGTGTTGTCGGGAATTCTGTAGAGCGCTTTAATGCAGGCCGGAGTGACATCGTCGTTGCATGCGGAGGTATCGTTGGCAGCCCGGTCGGCTCCGGCTTTCTGGGCAGAAGAAAAGCCCCGTTTTCTGAACTTGGTATTGAGTTGGGGAGTCTTAGGAGCGGCAAGAATGACTCCTGGCTGGATGAAGTCGATGTGACGTTGGATATTCTCCGGGACAGAGTACTCTTCGCAAGCCACCGTCGAGTGGTTCCCAGCTGTCTGACGGTACTCGTAGTACTGAGCGTGGAGCATTCTCTCTGCATCCGCCAAGGTGGTGTTGACATGCAGCCATCCCCTGTCCTTGGATAAAGTCGAGCTTGCGCCGTTTGCTGAGACCCAAGACTGGACGGCGGTAATTGTTTCGTCAGATGCTGCAAACTTGTCGATGATATCCTGTCGGGTGTAGTGCTTCGCGTACTGGGTCGAAGATGGGTGAGAGACTCCGTAAAGGAGGGTGTCTGCGAGTTCAAGATTCTGCTGTTGCAGCCCGATCCGCAATACAAATTGGCTTGTGGGAGGGAGTCGATCTCTTCTAGTCCAGACTACAGATTGGCCGCTTCGATTCTCATGGACTTTGTGAGAGCTTTGAGAAGTGGATGCAGCCGCAGCCAACGACAGCAAGACTATCAGCGACAGCAGAGCGAATGATCTCATGATCCCTTCACCAGTGATATCGAAACACACAATGCCTGGAGGTAAAGATGTGTTGTGAATGACTGACGTCCATGGCTCTTCTTAACTTCCTCGGCTAGATTGAGAGAAGTTTGCACGAAGCACATCGTGATGCCACCTTCCTCAATTTGCTAGGTGATGGTGTTAAGAATACGATCATGATGAACTTCACAGCATGTTTTCAAGGCCGGCTGCTACCAAGATTCAGAAAATCCGTCTTGCATTTGGCAGAGCGAGAACGAACGCGAGTGCCGGATTAACCGTTCGCACGCGATGTCAGATATTACAGATGGCAAGCTTGTAGGAATCGATCTTCTTCATTAATTCGACCTGCCTGTTTCGAACTCCGGCTTGAACATTTAGCCCATGTCCCTGTTGACCCGAAAGAATACGAGACCCAGCAGGATACGGACTTAGTATGCCCTATTGCCCATTGGTGGTTCAAGGAGAATGGAGAAGCTTAATTTGAATGCCACCCCTGACAGATGTGCCGAACTACCGAGGTGGTTATTTGTTTATAACCAAGATTAGATCCGGTCGTGGTCCTACTCTTCCTTGTGTTATGACATCGGCTCATGATGGCTGGAATTCCTTGCTTGATGACCTAAAGTCGGCTCGTCTATTGCTGCGACCGTTATCATGCATCGTCCCAAAATTACAAGCGACTGGGCATTCTCGCAGCCCCATCCAAGCGGATGACAGTGCCATTGAGCATCGAATTATCAATAACGTTCTCGACCAAGCTAGCAAACTCCTCCGGTTCTCCAGGTCTAGCGGGGAACTCCAACGTCTTGTCTAGACTCTCTTTGGCTTTTTGTGGCATACTTGCCGCCATGCCAGTGTCGAATAACCCAGGCGCGATGCACACGGCTCTTATGCCCCAGCATGAGAGATCACGAGCCAATGGTAAGGTCATAGAGGCTATGGCGCCCTTGGCTGCTCCGTACGCTGTCTGGCCTTCTTGTCCATCAAATGCAGCTGCCGAAGAAACTGTGACCAGTACGCCCCTCTCACCTTTGGCATTTGGCGATTGAGTGGCGATATAGGGAACGAGTTGTCTAATCAGGTCGACTGTGCCGATCAGGTTGATGTCAATGACCTTGGAGAACTGATCGAGTAACATAGAGGTTCCCTTCTTCGAGATGATCTACGAGATTTGTTGGTTAGCTTATTTATCGATGTACCGTGTCCAAGAGCGTCGGTCTACCTTTGAGGGCCCCAGAAATCCAGCACAACTAACAACGCCAGCGATGACTGAGCCAGTTGCCTTATTCCAAGCAACTATCTCGTTGACAGCTGCAGTGATCTCTTGAGTCTTTGAAACATCTGCATTGAAGTGCTGAACGCGAGACAGTCCCTCCTTGGTCTTATCTGGCAATGCCAAGTCTATGACTGCTACATTGCCACCAAGTTGCGAAAGCCTTTCTACAGTAGCTTTACCCAGGCCAGAAAGACTAGGAACGAGTGAGCCGTGAATTGAACCCCGATCGAAACTGAATCATCTTACCCTCCTGTAATAACGAACGTCTTCTGGTGATATTTCATTACGCAGAATTGGGGGAAATTGAGCTGTCGAGTTAGTGTCAGCTTATGGTACCCAAAGATGGCAAGGGGTGTTTTTAGGGATGTCAGACTAGCATAACATTGTTGTGAGATTTTTTGGGGTATTCGAGCGGGCATCTAATTAGTTCCGACTTGGTGGGCTATCGCGTCTCGGGTATCGCGTATCGCCTGTCGCGATCGGCGTAGGCTGCAGACTGGATTCGGGGGGACCCCGCATATCCGGCAAAGGCCAGATGCCTGTTCGAGGACCGTCTCGATTCATTTTGTATTGATTACCGCCGATAAACATGGATAAAAATTGCAGTTACGACTGCCTAATGGTTATATGTAGAGTAATTGTGAGATCACCTGCAACCACCGCTGTCAATGTTGGCATCCACGAAAATGGCCAACATCGAGACAGACAGAGCCGGAATGGCTGCTTTGGCAAAGGTAGCCAGGAGCGGCGGCTCCATCATACATGGTCCGGACCAACCGGGAATCATCAACAAGACATTCGGCAATCTCATACGTGAACAAGCTCGGAAAAGGCCTGACGCATTGCTGGTGGCTTCTCACCATCAGCGCAAGAGTCTCACATACGCCCAGGCGAACGACAGAAGCGACCGTCTTGCACAGGGGCTGGCTTCACTTGGTGTCCAACGTGGAGACCGCGTGGCCATACTCATGGGCAACGAGATTGAGTATGTGGAAATCTTCTTCGCCTGCACCAAACTCGGAGCTTTGGTGACCCTAGTCAACTATGCGTACACTGAGCAGGAGCTTCACTCGGTCATATCATCTTGCGGAGTCTCAGTCCTTGTCATGGTCCCCGGTTTCGACAGGTATGACTACAAGCCATGGGTACGCAACTTAAAGGCCGGAGTTCCGTCCCTGGAAACGATCATTGTCGCACACTCGAACGGAGAGTTTGGCGATGTATCCCTGGACTACGAAGAGGTTCTCAGAAGCGGTATGAAAGACGTTGTTGATCTACTTGCAATCCAAGATACCTTGGACGGCAGGGACATGATGAACCTCCAGTTCACCAGCGGCTCCACGGGCCTTCCCAAAGCCGCTGCCCTGACTCATCAAGGGATCTACAACACGGGAAGATTCATTGGAGATACCATGTATCTAAAGGCGTCGGACAGAGTGTGTCTTCCAGTTCCCTTCTTCCACAGCTTCGGGCTCATTATCGGTCTGGCCACCGTCGCGGCTCACGGAGCCTCAATAATCCTTCCCGACAACCATTTTAACATCGAGGCGACTCTGGTCTGTATTCCAAAATATCAATGCACTGGGCTGTACGGAGTCACTACCATGTTCGTGGCGGAGATGGCCCATCCCAACTTCAGCAGATACAATCTTGACAGTCTACGATTCGCAATACTTGCAGGTTCAGCTGTTCCCGAAGCGCTCATGAGGCACGTGTGGTCCGTTTTTGGAATCACCCAAACACACACAAACTGGGGCATGACTGAAGCTTCGTCCATCGTTACGATGACGCGGGATACAGATACGATCCCTCAACGCACTATCACTTCGGGACGACTGTTCCCCGGATTCTCCGCACGTATCGCGGATCCTTCGACCGGAAGAACTGTACCGTGGGGAGAGCGAGGAGAGATTCTGCTCCGCGGATACGGCGTTCAGACATGCTACTATGGGAATGATGCGATGACTGGGAAGGCCCATCAAACATCAGATGAGGACGGGCTAGAGTGGTTTCATACCGGAGATGAAGGGTATTTGGACGAGGAGGGATTCTTCGTGATCACGGGCCGCATCAAGGATATGATCATTCGCGGCGGAGAAAACATCGCGCCCCTAGAGATCGAAGAACGCCTGGTAGCTCATCCGGCTATATCTCAAGCAGCTGTTATTGGCGTGCCAGATGAGAAATATGGGGAGCAAATTTGTGCCTTTGTTGAGCCATCTTCCGACAGCAGCAGTGGCAGCAGGCCAACGGACAGAGAACTACAGACCTGGGTAGCAGAGACGCTGGCAAGATTTAAACAACCAAAGTACATAATATGGCTCGGCTCGCACGCAGACTTTTGCGTTTGGCCTAAGACGGCGAGCGGAAAACTGAGGAAGCCGGACTTGCGGCTCCTTGCTCCAGGGATCCTGGCAACAAAAGGGGGCGAGAATGCGTTGCCTAGACCCAGACTTTGAGGCCAATCTACAATAAACGCAAATTGATTTGTCCAAATGTTGTGTGGAATGATTAGGCAATGAGAAAAGGCAGTTCCAGCAAGTGCAGACGATTCGGGGTCAGCCAATGTTCACCCCGCAAACTCCACGCTATCCCCGTGGGGTAATTATCTCCTTGGCTGCGTGCGGATCATTAGCTCATGAATGAGGAGACAGGCATAGCATTCAGGATCGTCTGCTGTGCCCTCACCCAACTTCCCCGCTTCACAAAGCGAGGAAAAGTCGTTTCGTGTCGACAACATGTCAACATGCCGTCTCAAGGAGGCGTAAGGCGACGAAAAACAACAGGCCTTGGAAGATCTGGACCCCGTTCTCGGAATGGATGCCAGACTTGCAAATTACGACGGGTGCGATGCGATGAAAACAGACCAATCTGTGGACACTGCGATCGCCTGCAAATGGATTGCGTTTTCGTGGCACAACAGCGGCAGTCACAGAGACGTTCTACGATCCAAAGAGAAGATATCCCCTCTCTCGAACACACTGCGTCTGTGTCACCAGAGCAATCCCACTCCGACGCATGCGAGACTCTTTTTGAAGAGCCCCGAGAATCCGAGGCGCTTGCGTCCTCAGTCACATTAGATTGTACGATGAACAATCTGCCGTCTATGGAGTTAGCGAATTTGGACTCTTTAATAGCCCCCGGCGATACCTTGGGCAGTACCGAATTGGCATGGCATAATGATAATCCCATGTCATTTTACGACTACCTGCCTATGCCAGATCCCTCTTTCTCGTTCACGTCTCTCACCTTCGCCGGCTCCCCGCATAGGCTAGATTCAAGCCACAGTTTCGATGCAATTCAAGGCACATCGCGAAGCCGCGCGAGCCAACCTGATCATGAACGGAATAACCGGCTATCCCATCTTTCTGTTCTGGACAATCTGCGGAATCAGACCAGTGGAGGCGTGGTCACTCGTAACCAAGATGGTGGACGGGAAACCCTGCTCGGCGACATACAGAGAGGACGACCTATGCTTTCTGTTTCACCGCCGCTGTTGTCATCAGATATTCAAAAAGCATTATTGAGGCACTTTAAAAGCAAATTGCGTCCTCCAGCATCACTCGTTGGTATTGACCCCTTTGGTTGGAGAAGAATCAAGCGTTATGTCATACAGAAGGCCAAGGAAGGCAATGAACATGTCAAACACGCCTTGTTCGCTCTAAGTATGATCACCTTCAACTTTGGCCACGCAAACGGTTCAGCTCCGGCCGGTGGAACTTCAGAAAGTCTGTCGTGGCAACTACAAGAAGCTGCGCGTGTTTCAATGGAAATCGCTGTTCGATCCGAGGGCTGGGAAAACAAGCACAGCAATACGCTTCTTGTTGCTTTATTCCTTCTCGCTTGGTTTGAGGTAAGTGTAGTGAAACAATTACATCAATTCATTATGATTTCGGTAATCATTTCTAATGCTTGATAGATCACCTGTGACAATGCAGATAACGCCCGGCCCTCTTTCCCCTCCACTCTGGCAGAAGACATTATTGTGAAAGGTCGAGACTGGAACTCGGGGTCAACCCACGTATTCCAATGGCTTACGCTTCTTGATTCGAAGATGTCCCATATGGGAGGCCGCCATCTCTTGACCGAAGGTGCCCACAAAGTGGCTTTGCAACCAAGACCTACAGTGTCTCCTGACGAAGACGTTGACGATGAAGATAGCGAGATATCTGTGGAGAGCTGGGAGCCCTCGTCTCATGACAGCACAAGAGTTAATGGATATCCAGAGACTCCCCAGAATCGTCTGGCCTATTTGCTGTCGTCGCAACCACCACTGTCACCGTCGCCAAGGGTCATCAGGGCGGACATTTTCAACATCATCTTGCAGCCCGCGTTTGAGTTTCATATAAAATCACAGGCATACTCTAGACGCATCGGATGTCACGATCGCCATCACAGAATACGCGAGACACCTGAGGATGAGTATGAAGTCATCACCGCCTGCAGAGGTTATGAAGAAGAGCTGCAGGAACTTTGGAGGCACAGACCAGGAATATTAAATCTCAGTGCACGCCAACTGAAGCATTTTGTGAGCGAAAGCATCGCCAAGAGGCTGGAGCAACTTTTCAGCGTCTATATCGCAACCTTCTGGGCGCATTTTCTTTACATTCACCGAGTTGCATTCTGGGCCCTGAAGCATACGGCCATTGCAAGGAAAGCCGTGAAAGAGACGGGAGACATGCTCCGTCGTAGCGTTGGGCAGGCAGCAACAGATGTTGCATTTGATGCAGACGTCCCCCGCCTGTCAGACAATGTGATACATCCAGGGCTTATGTGGACTTGTTATCTGTTTGGGTGCGAGGTGGCAGATCCTGTGCAGCAGGATTGGACTGTTCGTCAACTCAGGGCGCTAGGAGAGCTGCAGCCAACTTGCGAGGGTGGCTCCAATGACGAGGACGCCGCCAGGCTACAATCTCCGCGTCTGGACACAAAGGGTGCGCAGAACGCCCTCAAAGTATCCGAGCTACTAAAAGCTCTCGTTGACAGGCAAGAAAGTACCGGCGCTCGAGTGGATGGGAAATATTTGAGTCAAGAGATCTTTGGGTGTCACTTCTACATCATATAATCTACGCAGGAACCGTTACACTGAGGTTTGCAGAGAAATAGTTTACTATCCAAACGGATACGTGTTTGTTTGTCATTCTCAATGGATGCGGACCTTCACAAATGTTCTTTCCTAAGATAGAGGCTTCATGGTCCGCCGAGGGTAGAAATGAAGGGGGGAACTCAAAGAAAGAGAAAAGTTGCTTGTTACTGATCGCTGAAAACAACCCCCACAATCGGAGGCAAATATTTGCCTAGGCGGATCAATTGCCGGTATGCATCGCTGATTGGCATTGCCGATTTCGGTAACTTGAACCCCTCGAACCCCTCATACCCCTCGTCGTATATCGGCTCTCGCATCAGCTTTCCCGACGGAAGCAGCCCTGTCAAAGAGCACCCATGACAGACTGCATACTCGTTTGTAACCCGTTTGCACAGTTAATGATGTCTGTAGGCTAGAAAGTATTATTGCTCGCCTCATGTACTGGAATCAATTTCACACAAAGATTATGCGTTGATGCACGCCTCTCCGAGGTCAAATCACCCAAATATTGAATCTTCCAACCGAACCCTTACGAAGAACGCCGCTATGACAAACAATATACAGATTGAAAAGAATGAAGAGAAAGATGTGGAAATGGTTGAAGATGTCGAAACCCCCCGTTCCACTGGAGCTCTCTGTCCGGATAAAGACATGGAGAGAAGGTAGGCACTTCATGAAGAAATGGTTTCGATGCGATGATTGATAAATATGGACCAGGATTGTGCGCAAAATTGACATTCGGCTGATGCCTTTTACGGCACTGATTTACCTGCTATGCTACTTGGATAGATCGAACATCGGTTGGTCACGACTCACCCTTCACCCATAGCTACGAGACAAGGGCTAATACATACGTTTGTGATATTATAAAGGCAATGCAAAGATCCTCAACTCTTCCACTGGAGACTCTCTCCTCGATTCGACTGGTATGACCAACTACCAGTACACAATTGCCCTCATGGTCTTCCTCGTCTCCTACACAGTATTCGAGGCTCCCAGCAACTTGGCGCTGAAGGTGTTTTCACCTAATAAGTAGGTTCGGATGGGATACCAGACACAAAACTCCGCAAGATTGCCATGGCTGACACGACTATCATCCGTCCAGATGGCTGGGCTTTCTCATTATTGGTTTTGGCAGCTTTTGTACTGGCATTGGTGACGCCAATAGCTTTGCCTCTGTCGCGGTTCTTCGATTCTTTCTCGGAGCGTTCGAATCAGGGGTGTTTGCCGGAATGATCTTCTACATGAGCTTCTGGTACAGGCCCGAGGAACGTGCCTCTCGCATAGCCATTTTCCTCGGAAGTGCCACCCTTGCCGGTGCTTTCGGAGGGTATGTCTCGAGAGACCAGATTGTTCTATGACTGAGGCTGACGCTGTTTCAAGGGTTATTGCATATGGGGTGGGTCACATGAACGGTATACACGGATTGGAAGGTTGGAGATGGCTATTCATTGTCGAAGGTGTTCCATCGGGTAGGTCTCCAAAACTCGATCGGTTACGACTAGATTGAGTGCTAATCTTGGTGGTTCGTTTAGTGGTGATGGGCGTCGCAGTTGTCCTCTTGATGCCAAGTTATCCGGAGAGCGCCAGATGGCTTTCAAATGAAGAGAAGAGTTTCCAGATCCAGCGGCTAGGAGAAAATAGCTCGAAAGGGTAAGCCAAAATGCTTGTGGGAATGATTTCTGGGCTGTCACTAACGTACAACCCGAAGCAATGCTAAGTTGAATTGGCCTGACGCCAAAGAAACGCTCAAGGACCTACGACTATGGGTACACTACTTCACCTATCTCTGTCTGGGTGTAGCTGTGTCTTCACTGTCGCTTTTTGCCCCCACCATCGTCTCTGGACTTGGGTATAGGGATTTGCAAGCTCAACTCTTTACTGTCCCTCCTTATGCGATAGCGTATGTTTTCACTCTTGCTTTTGGAGTCTTATCCGATCGCAAGAAGTCACGAGGAATTGTTGCAGGAAGTATGTTGGGCATGAGCGCAGTTTCGTTCCTCATCCAAGGTAAACTCTTCGGTCATTCAACTTATTTCCATATCTTGTCTCCTTTTCTTCAGTTGTTCGTCGTCGAGCGACTATGATGGATCCTTTTAGACAGTGGAGCTTCATAAAGTGCTGACTCAGCCTAGCAACTCTGCCAGGCGAAAGCTACGCGGCAAGATGCGCATTTCTGTGCATTAGTACGGCTGGAACTTTTGCAGGACTGCCGTCTCTTTGCGCTTGGGTGTCCGACAATGTGCGGAACACAACGGCCGGCTCGTTAGCGTCCGGACTTAATATTGCATTCACTGGTCCTGGTCAGATTATCGGAGTCTGGATATATCGAGCCCAGGACAAACCATTCTACCGGTTGGGACACGCCATTAATGCCGGGTTTGTGTTAGCTGGAGCACTGCTGTCATTCGGGCTGTCATGGCACTACATGCGTCTCAACAGGAAGCTTGTGGGAACCAATGCTACAAGGTGGGTCCCTTGAGTCCAACTAGGAACTATGAATTGTGGTCATCCAAGGTGTTTTGAAGAATACATCAAGTATCTTGCATACGTAATGTACTATGATCAGACCTGAAGGTGATTTGCTGGTGAGCCTATGTCTGGTGGTATGCAACGGAACCAGCCCAATAATACCAAGTATTGGCGTATAATAAGTAACAAGACTCTAAGATTAGTTCGTAGCCATTCATAGTAGTTTCTCGACTCGTTTGTCTCCCTCTCGTTCTCGGGCCTCTTCGGGCGGCTCTGGGCGTCAAGGTGCCAGAACTGCAACAGCCCCTCCTACTCTTTGGTTTTTGTTTGCTAATAGCGTGCTATAGCGCTTATTCCAAATTGTTTGTGAATGAAAGTGATCATAAACCTGGTGGCCAAAGCGCAACCCTGTCTGTCCTACACTTATCCTCGCGTGTCGCATATCGGGTATCGCGTCATGTTACATGTACTGGCTTCCTTGTAGGAACCCCGCTCGCTCGGCTTCTGGTATTTCTGTGATGAACGATACCTCGTTCTTATTGGTTTAATATGTCAAAAATGATATTTTCCATTCGGAAGTATCTCGTCAGTGTCGTCTATTGCTTTCTCATCGATCATTTGTGGGATGTGATAGCGCAAGTCTCACCCATAGAGACATTTTAAGTCGTGTCTATCATAATCTGCAAATCTTCCTCCAGCTTGCCCTATTTTCATGAATTCATCTCTGTTCGTCATTAGATCTGACTTTAGCATTGGCCCTCTCAAATATCTTCTAGGTCGTCATTACATGCTTTACGATCTCCACTTCGGCAGTATTTCACCATGACAACTCAGGCATTCGTTGTTGGTGTCGGGATGACACCATTCAACTCCCCTAAGACATCTGCTTCTATTGCGACAAACCCTGGCTCAGATTATCTTGATCTTGGGGTTGAGGCAGCTGTGAAGGCTCTTCTTGACGCTGGAATCAACTACGACCAAGTGGACCAAGGAATCGGCTGCTATGTCTTTGGAGACTCTACCTGCGCCCAGAGAGTCTTCTACGGCCTTGGAATGACCGGAATCCCAATTTTCAACGTCAACAACTACTGCAGCTCTGGCAGCACAGGCTTGTGGCTGGCTAACCAAGCCATTAGATCGGGAATGGCTGACTGTGTTCTTGTCGTCGGGTTTGACAAGATGTACCCTGGGCCACTACCGCAAGTCTTTGAAGACAGGACGAATCCTTTATCACGAATCCTGGACCTTTCGAAGACGCAGATTCCGGTACAAGACCGAGGAAAGCGGTCTCCTGGATGGACGCCGCAACTCTATGCCAATGCCCAAGCCGAATACTTGCAGAAGTATGCACCATTTGGAGCAGAAAAGAGAGACTTCGCAAACATTACCTCCATAAACCGGTCACACGGGGCGAGGAACCCGTACAGTCAGTTGTCTAAAGAAGTCACTGCAGAAGACGTATTAACCAGTCCCACTGTTTCTGGAGACATAACTCGGTTACAGTGCTGCCCGTCGTCAGTAAGTTCTCTCACTCCATCGTATGCATTCTCAATCGACGCAAAGACGAGTTTAACAGGCTGATTGCCAGACTGGAGCGGCTGCGGCTGTCATTGTATCGGAAAGATTCTTAAAGACCCACCCCTTTTTGAAGTCGGGTGCAATACGGATTGCGGGGCAAGCACTCGTTACAGATGCCTCACATTTGTATGAATCGGCTAGTGCTATTGAGCTGATAGGGTCAGACATGACGCGCAAGGCTGCAGCCCAGGCGTACGAACAAGCCGGGATCACAGCGGAGGACGCCACTGTGATAGAGCTTCATGACTGCTTCACCACGAATGAGATGTGCGCTTTGGAAGGGTTAGGACTTGCAGACGAAGGAATGGGCTGGAGGTTGGTCAGAGATGGTGGAATTTCCTACGCTGCAGATGGTCGTGCGTCTCCGGGTGGGAAGCGGTGGATCGTCAACCCAAGTGGCGGACTGATCTCGAAGGGGCATCCACTTGGTGCGACAGGCTTGGCCCAGTGCGCCGAACTCGGTATGTGTTGAAACGAAGTTGGTTAGGGTTTGAATGGCTTACTAACACCTCCAAAACAAAAGTCTGGCATTTGCGTGGATGGGCTGCCTCGCGATCAGCGCCTGGTACTAAATACTGCGTTCAACATAACATGGGATTGGGTGGTGCTACTGTGGTCACCATCTACAAGCGGTTCGATAATCAAGTAGCCCCCGGACTGAACAACATCAAGCCAGAAGATGATGGACGTGGGCGTCTCGGCTACAACCCTGCTGAAGTGGCTCGCTCAATACGTCGCGTGGATTGGGAAAGTGTCAGGTCTCGAAACAAAGGTCACTCTGCATGGGCAACATCTCTACTTCCATGGAATCAAAATCCCGGGACCTACGAGGACAGGGCAAAGTTGTGAGAATTTGCCAGCCATGGTCGGGTGTTCGCAAAACACTATGAGTGACTAGTGGATTTAGGGATTACGGGCTCAGATGGATAAGTATGGCAACAGTGTCTTCTACAGCCTGCAGAAACATGTAAGTGATAAGGTTTCCGCTGTAGAGAAATCAAAACACCAATGAGCCGCTACCGTTGTGCATGCTCATGGAAAGAACTCATGCATGTAAGTTCTGATTATATTCATCTTGCTATGGCAATGTCTTGTATTTAAATGAAAGAAAAGGACGAAACGAAAACATCCCCATGTGATATGCTATCACAGACCAACGAGATTGTCCTGGAATAAAAATGTAATGAAGCTTCATGACCCTGCATCCGATGAGGCTTAGGCGAGTAACCCAGGCGCACGTTCACATCAAGAATGCAACTCAAATGCCACTAAGCTGGTTATCCAACCACTAAGATTCGGTCTTTTCCTCTTCCGTCCTCTTGCGTGCAGCGTCCTTCAAATCCTTGTCGTCAGGTCGGCTCAACTCTACTTGTGGCATCAGGAAGAATGCAACCAAAAATGCCACTGAAGCAAGCCCAGCCATTACGAGAAATATGATGCGGAATGCTTTTCGATAACCTGGCAGCAGGACAGCCCTTGCCTGATCTGCGTCGGCTTGAGACATTTCTGACAGGACATGCTGGGGATTGGCAAGAAGTCTTCTGGCTTCATCATCTGCCAGACCAAGACCAGCTATACTTGCTGACAAGATATTGTTACTAATTAGTTCCATTAGCCATCAGGCAAGCAAGAAGAGAGCCATCAGGAATAGGGATACTCACATGAGTGTACCCGAGATTGCCAAACCAATCGTGCTTCCAAGGTTTCTGATAAAACTTAAGAACAATGTGAGTATGCAATATCATGCGATTCATAACGCATCATGACTTACTTGCGGAACGAGGTTACTACGGCCATGTCTCTGCGGCTAACGCCTGCTTGGATCGCAATCAAGGCGCTGTCGGAACTTTCAGCGAAGCTCAGCGCACGACACATCGGAGAAGACTTACGGCTGAAGAGTATTGCCAACACCAGCTCCAATAAGTAAAGAGTACCCTACTTGCTTGCCAACACTGGATTTTTCATCCAGGGTAGACATGAGACCGACGCCTACAGCCCACATCACCCAACCGAGGAGGATGCATTCCCTGTATCGACCGACCTTGTGAACAACGAGACCAGACAATGTGCTGAATAAGGTTTGTGTCAGAGTGACGGGAAGCAACATAGCGCCGGCTTTGGTTGCTGAGTAGTTGTACGCCAGTTGATAGAAGGCTGGGATGTAGTAGACCTGCACAACGAAGTTCCAGCCGTTGATAGCCATTGTTATACAGGCGCCGTTGACGATCTTAGACTTGAAAATATGCACTACAGCTTGTCAGTGAAGGTATTCACGATGAAGGACAATCCAAACCTACAGGGAACAAGTGGGAACTTGGCCCCCTTCCACTGCCACATCACAAAAGCAACACAGACAACGAAGCCAACAACGATTGTGGCTATGACATGCGCCGAGTTCCACGGGTACTCTCCGCCACCCCATGTCAGACCAAGCATCAGAACTGAAGTTCCAGCCAAAGCTAAACCACTTCCAACGAAGTCCACTGCCTTGAGCTTCCTGGATTCGCACGGACGTGAGCGACTCTTCACGACAATGGACAAAAAGGAGGGCGACGCGATGAAGAACCCACATTTTCCAATCTCCTTCCACCTTTCTGAGTGGCATGAAAAAGATGACACAGACAGTGCACAGCAGGGTCAGAGGCATATTGAGACGGAAGATCCATCTCCAGGAGTCTCGGGACTGCGAAGCTAAAGCACCGCCAATAACGGGACCAATACCGTTGGCAATCGCCACAACTGCTCCCTGGCGAGGTTGTTAGCAGGGAAAAATAATTACGTGTAGTTTTTGTTGCTTACCAGAATTCCCTGATACTTTCCTCGTTCTCTCAGGGGAACCACATCACTGACAATCATCTGTGCCACGGTCATGAGCCCACCGCCACCAATACCGGTCCATGCTCGAAATACTATGAGCTGCGTGCCGGTCGCTGCAACGGAAGAGGCTAGAGATCCAGTGAAGAATATCGCAAGACCAATCAGAAGGATAAATTTGCGAGACCAGATGTCAGACAATCGGCCATACAACAGTTGACCTGTAGTCGACGTTCTAACCTTGGAATTAGCGGTTGATAACGTCTTCGTATGATCGAGACTCACATGAAATAGCCACTTGCAATCCAAGCGGTCTGGTTGCTAGAGTTGAGAGCATTCCCGATAATGTTCAAACTGGCGGCCAATGTCGTCTGATCCATGAGGGCCACCAGATCAACGGTGGCACAAGCCAGAAAGATCTAAGCGTCGCAAAGCCATCAGCATAGTTCTCGACTCTTCTCTTCACTCCACTTACCGTAATGATTGTCCTTGGCCGCACATAATTCGTCTGCTCATTGAAAACATGGACGGTGGTCTTCTCTTCGTCGGACTGATTCAACGTCTTGCTGCCACTGTCCGAGTTGGACTGTTCCATCGCCGAGTTCCTCGGGTTCTCTGAAGCGAGGACTCCGCTCGGCTGTTCTTCCTTCATGATGAGGGATATTTTTGGCGACAAACTTGAAAGCTGATCACTCAAAAGATGAGCCGAAAGAGATTTCGCATGCAGCGGCTGGAATCAAAGTAAAAGGGCAAAGAAATGGAAGCAGGAAAACATGACCGGGGTCGGTGCCAAACATCGGAGACCGAACGCTGGCCATCCGGGTAATCGGCCAATTAAGCATTCTCGCTACTGCTTGACGTCCTAGGGCCATTTAGAGGACAGAGACCCTTGTTTCCTGCCCTTAGACTGCCGGCTGCCAAGTCTGAACTATTGTTGAATCCTACGATCGTCATCGCGGTAAGTGGAGGCAACCCCCGGTCTAGAGGGTCTGATGCGCTGGGCAATTGACAGGGATTAGCACGGAAACAAGAACCCTTGCGGGTTGCTCCCGTGAAACAAGCTCAACTGGGGAACCTCCCGAAAAACCAGCTCAAACTCTCTCTCTTAGAGCGTTCAACTACAGGGCTTTTATATAACATCGTCGAATCAGCCGACTCTAAAAATGCCCCCCACGGCTACGCGGCATCTTTGCGATAATTTGCGTCTAAAGCTATGAATTGCGCACGACACTCGACGTTGCAACCTTCTCATAATAGATCACCAGGAAAAGATTGGCGACGCGGCCCCCCCTGGCTGACCGACATGAGCGTCGCATGGTGCCATCGAGACGCCGCAGGCTCGCAGCCGACCTTGATGAGTGCTGCGTCGATCAATCCTCTTCAACGTCGCGTTTCGTGATGTCGACATGCTTAGGGCTTGGTGCTAGTTTCGGGATCACAAGCCAATCATGCTCAGAATGGACGCAAACCCCAGGCCCTGAAGAAGGACGGAGAAGCCTGCCCAGATACTAGCGCAAGTAATCGGTTCTCCAGCCTGCCGTGTTGGGCGTCATTTGACACGTTTCGAGACTCCATCGTCAGAGTCATGTTGATTTCACGCATGTTTATCCCATGTCAAAGTGAGAACATTTACGGCAAATGTAACCTCACGGAGGGGTTTCCCCGATTCTCTTGTTCATCCGGCGTCGATGTGACTTCAGCTCGTGCGTCAGCCTACTTTGTGCGCCCTAGTGCGTACCAAGAATGGTGAATCTCTGCAGCAGTTGATCTCGCAGATATAAATCTCCTTGTGCCAGACCTCCGTTATCAGATTCCCTCAACCAGATACCCGGGCAGGATCAATAACTTTATTCTTACTACTCCAGACGACTTGAGAGTAGGTCTTTAATCATGGCAGAGGTTAACCATCTTAACGTTTATAAAGGCCCTGACGCCGTCAAGGACTATTTCAACCCGGATATTGCTCCTCCTCTACCCCTTGTCGAGATCCCCGACTGTCTCAACCCATACCGCAGTGATGGAGTCCGAATTTACGCCAAGATGATGTCGATGCATCCCGCCAACAACGTCAAGGCTATGCCAGCACTGAACCTGCTCCAAAATGGTGTTGTGCCTGGCAAGACCGAAACAGTGGTTGAGTATAGTTCCGGATCGACGGTCATCTCGATGTCTTTGATTTCAAGAGTCTACTACGGAAACTCGGATGTCAGAGCGTACCTCAGCAATAAGACAAGCCAGGCGAAACTGAGGTTGATGCAATTCTTCGGACTGGATATGTAAGTCGCGTACCGCTCTCCACCAACTACGCATTTCCATCTCTTCAAATAGGGATCATCAAAGACCAGGCTTAGCTAACTTGGTGCCTTTCCCAGTACTTTGTTCGGCGGCCCATCACAACCCGAACCTGCAGACCCCAGAGGCGGTATTCGAGCGGCGAAGGATATTGGCGAGAAGTCAGAAACGGCCATGAACCCGAACCAATATGAGAACGATGATGTGAGTAGTCAAGGTATGGTTTGGTCAGTTCACTACTGACAAAGCTTGCAGAACTGGAAGTCACACATTCGTTGGACTGGTCCTCAAATCCTCAGACAGCTACCTGAAATCAACCTTATCTGCGCTGGCATGGGGACTTCTGGTAGGCCAAACCTTTGGATACGAAACCATACCTCGAACTGACATCCAACTTCCAGGAACCATGACCGGTCTCGGAACCTACTTCAAGAACAACAAGCCTTCTGTCTATCGGCTTGGTGTTTGCACAGCTGCCGGCGACCGTGTGCCCGGCCCGCGCTCATACGCACTACTTCAGCCCGTTGAGTTTCCGTGGAGAGCTGCTGTCAATCACATTGAGCACGTTGGATCGCATGACTCCTACTCATACTCTCTCAACCTGACTAGGGAGGGCATCGTTTGCGGCCCTTCTTCTGGGTTCAACCTCAAGGGGCTCTTCCAGTTCCTCGACCAGCGCAAGGCTGCCGGCACGTTGAGCGAGCTTGCCGGCGAGAATGACGAGATTCACTGCGTCTTCGTATGCTGCGACCTTCCATACCAGTACATCGACGAGTATTTCGCCAAGCTAGGCCCTGAGCATTTCCCAACGATCCACAACGAGGTGAATACCCAAACTCATAAGATTGGCGAGCCTCACGGAGTCCACATTGCTGACAGTCACTCAGAATCTCCAAAAGGTGGACCTTCACCGGTATGATGAGGCATGGGAGAAGGAGCCTGCGGAGGCGTTCATGCACATTCCCGAAAGCGTAATCCCGAACGAGCTCAGCGAGAAGCTGCCGAGCACGCCTCGATATGTGGATACGAGCAGCGCGTCCCTCATCCCGAGGTCCCCCAACACCGTCATCGTTGACTTGAGGCGCCAAGAGGATTATCAGACACATCACATTCCCGGGTCCGAAAATGTTCCCGTTGTGGAGTCGAAGGACTGGGAACCCTTTTCAGACGCAAAGGTTCTTGAAACCCTGTGGCTCAAACTGGAAGCAACATTCGACGCGACAAGCGAGATTGGGATGAAGATGGAGCAGCATCGCTCAAAGCCGATATTGCTCCTCTGCTACAACGGAAACAACGCGCGGGTTGCCGCCAGTGTTTTGAGAGCGAAGGGCTTCGAGGCAGACTGCGTGCGTGGAGGCTTCAGCTCGTTGGAGAACTTGCAACAGAACCAGTCTGTTGAGCCTCCGACATTGACTAAGACCAATGGACACATCCACGTTCAAGAGTTGGTGGCGGGCGAGAAGCCTTACCTGAGGCTAGCATGAGAGCTGAAAAATGGATGGGGAAAAAGAATACGATGAGGTAGAAAAAATACCCAATTGCATGTGAACGTTTTGCTAAATTATTTCCTTTATGGTAATGGTGAGGTCATCACTTGTTCGTGTAACCCTTATCAAGTATGCACGGTGAAACGATTGAAGTCCTCGAGAGTCTGCTCAAGGACGTTAGATCTCAATATGGGCAGAATTTACTGTCCTTAAAGCCCCTCGTTGTGGGTTATCGTACGAAGCCAAGTCTTTTAGCGTGAGTCATCCGCATGAGGCTAAACGTTGTCGCCCGAGACCCTTGGCGACGTCTCCGCCCTTCCGTCTGGAATGGTGGCTTCAAGAGAATGGTGGTAGGTCTCGGGGTGAGCTTTCAGCTAACCTCCTCGACAGGGTGTTCTGGAATGAACGCTAGACTTTCACCAGAGCAAACAGGTCCTCGCCTACCGTTCAAGCTGCAACTAAGGCTACCAAGGGGGGAGGCGCTGGAATCGTTGATTCAATCTCTCACAGCCTATAATCCTTCCCACGCGCCATGATGCCATCCACCGCCCGACATTCTTGATTTCCCGATGGCGCGGAGAAGAGCTCCGGCTAGCTACTCAACATGTCTATACGGGACTGGCCGTCAGAGGTGGCAAACGCGATGTTGCAGAGAACATTCCGAGTGACATTCGGCCTGAAATCTTCGTCATGGAAACGTCGGGCCGTGACAATAACGCGTCTTCCGCGTCAATGTCTGTGATTATTTCGAGAATGCCTTGCGGCTACTTGCGTGATTGCCTAGTTCCCGCGCGGAGCGAGCTAGCCACGAGGTGTTTTCAACTCCGCAAGAGAGCAAGATCATCAGATCGTGAGACAAGGGAGCAGTCCGGGTGGGACCCGCTTCCCCGGCCGCCCTCCGTTAGCTTACCAGCCACCCACACCGGCCGGATGTCGCCGACCCGCATGCCGTGCATTCCCCTTCATGGCAGATAATTAAGACTGCGGAGAAAAGTGCAAAATTACAGGAAGCAGGAACCTAGGCGAACTGCGTCGGCGGCTGGCTAGGGATATGCTGTCAGGTTCCCTGATCTACAGGGGGGACTTCGTAGATCCTCCGTGAAAGAACCACCAGGACCGTTGAAAACTTGCTTTTTGACTGCCATATTTTTGGGGCAACGTCTGTCTTACATCCTTCTGTTCCGGAGAAACGACAGCTCGTGGTTCTGAGTAATGCGCCCAACATTTGCTAGTCGTTTCATCCCCAAGGTTTGGAATGTGACGATGTAAGACCAAGTGACTGAGGCGAGACTCTCACAGCTGAACCGAATGGCCTCCCCCAACTACGTGTGAATTGGAGGCTCAGGAAGAAGACGAGAGTTCAACACTACTTCGTTTTTCTATATAAACTGCCTTCATGACCCTTTCATCAGTTTCTAGTTCCTCATCACAACGAACACAGTCATTCACTACCCTAGCTTCAGACCCCAACACACAAGCGTCACTCGCTCTTCGCTACAATGAAGTACCAAGTCTACCTCGCAGCTGCTGCGGCAGCCTTTGGCGCCGCCGATGCCCAGTGTAACGCAGTAAGTCCACAAAATTAAGGATAGAAACCATGTCGTCAGCTTTGTCGTTAGCTGGATACACTAACTAACTCGACTGATAGAACAACTGTGCTCGAGCCGTTACGGGAACTCGTCTTGGTCCCCAGACTCAAGCTTCCCGCAGGGCCGACTGCTCATCTTTTCAGAGGACCACTATCACCCGTTTCGAGACGACCACCTTCGTCACTGTCACCTCTTCCGCGACTTTTGACGTCACTCGCACATTCGCCCCTTCGACCGTGACCGTCACAACCACCGTCCCGCCAATTATCATTGATCCTTCTTTCTCAATCGACTTCCCTGAGCCTCCTGTTGTCACCAGCTTCTCGGGCCCCGACCGGCGTGACCTTGAGAGCCGTCAACTGGTGTCCTCGGCCATCTTCCCCCCTGTCCCATTCTACGCTTCTGCATGCAGCGGTGCGTCTGCATACCGCTCTGCTTGCTCTTGCTGGGGTATCACTGCCAGCTTCGTCACCAACAGCTTCCCGGGCACCACGACCATCACTATTACCGACCTTGAATTCGAGACTATCTCCGTCATTGGAACTGGCGTGACGACTACTACCGTCCGCATCACATCTACTCCGACCAGCTTCGTCTTGCCCTCGTCCACGTCGACTGATGACGACGTTTCCGAGACCGTGGAGCCAACTTCCTCAGAGACTGAGGGCCCCTCTTCTACCGACGCGGAGCCCTCCGTAACCTCTACAGATGAGCCATCGTCTACCGAGACTGATGTACCCTCTGCTACCGAGACCGACGAGCCTTCTGCCACTTCCAGCGACGAGCCTTCCGCCACTGAGACTGATGAGCCTTCTGCTACCTCCACTGATGAGCCATCGGCTACTGAGACGGACGAGCCCTCTGCCACCGAGACCGATGAGCCCTCGGCCACCGAAACTGATGGACCCTCCGCCACCGAGACTGACGAGCCGATTCCCTCCACTACCGAGGTCTTCCCTACCAGCGTCCTCCCGGACCCTACAACCTTCGCCACCAGCCTTCTTCCCGCGACCTCTGATGAACCCACTCCTACGGTAGGCGAGACCTCGATTGAGATCTCGCTAGAGACCTCGATCACCGGCCCCACGCTGACCATCCTCCCCTAATTTAGTCCTCTGACGTTGAGCCCTCCTCCACCGCCGGCCCTGATATCTGCACAACCTTCGGATCCAGATTCCCGTACACTCCTTCCACGCTCTTGACCTTCTGCTCTTGCAGCTACAGCAACCCCACCTGTGCCGAGGGTACCAGCCAGAACCAGCGCACGCTTCCCCTCATCCTCAGCATCGAAATCTGCGCCAACTCCTGCGACCTCTTCGCCAACTGCGTCGCCTTCTCTTACAACGCAGTCACCCTGGAGTGCCGTCTTCTCGACGGTGACGGCTTCGGAACCACCACCGGATCCAGCGATTGGGTCCTGGTCGACCGTACCAGCGGATCTTGCAGCAGGGACACGTGCGAGCCCGGCGCGGCCTCTCCCTCACCTTCAGCTACGCCCTCGACGCTCCCTTAAGCTCCTGGCTATGAGCCGACATCATGTTCAGACTCTTTGGCTTTTTCACACTCACACTCTTTAACCAAAAGCTGCTTTCTACGTCGCTAGATATTGACTTAGTTGGGGTCTGGGTCTGCAATACATGTCGTCGTTGTCTAAATCATCTCTCTTCAAGTGACTGTCGTGAATGATAAAAGTACCTTCATGATTTTAGTGCAACTACCTTTCAAATGAAAAGGCACCATCATTTCTATCATACAGAAATATTAGTTGAAAATTTCGACTACATATCGACTACCCGGGACAGTCTTGTTCCAAGTGTCAATATCAACAGGAACTGGCTGTCCAGGTTCCATCTCCGCCTCAAGTAGCATTGGTCGCAACACCTCGAACACCGCATCGGCAACTTTCTTTGCACCACATACATAGACGCGTGCTCCACTCTTCCACATTTCTGAAAGTTGGTCCTTGAAGTTTGGCAGCTGATCAACGACGTATTTCTGTGGTGCCCCTCTTGCCCGACTGAAAGCGCGGACGACTGTTACCACGCCTTCTTTCTCAAAGTTGTCCAACTCATCACGATACATGTCATCCAGTCCCGGTCCACGGCAGCCAAAGAATAGGGTCGCCGGCGCCAAGGGAGCTCCTTCCCGCAGTGCAATTGCGCGGTCCTGGATAAACCCCCTGAAAGGGGCGAGACCTGTGCCAGCTGCTATCATGACCACTGGTGTCGAGGCCTGGCTTCGAAGTTCGGGGAGACAGAAGTTGACTGTCGGAGGCATCAGAGAGATTTGCACCGCATCCCCTTGACTCAAAGATGCAAGATAGTTTGATGCAACGCCCTTCTCCTCAACGGTATAAGTCAGCGTCGCAAAGCCAGACTTCCAGGAAGGCGAAGACGAGAAAGAGTAGGTTCTAGGGCGCATCTGCGGCAACATAGAGAGAAATGATGGGACTGAGAGCTTGATATCGGTAAAGGTCATGAGTAGGTCGACGATGGTAAGACGCTTGTCGCGGACGTCGGATTTCTTACTCGACAGGGTCCGCAAAGTAGCGCGAGTCTCCCCTTTCTCAGCTACCTCTGCCAAGATTTCGATGCTTCTGGGCGTTGCTGTGTGTGTGAGTTCGAGGTAGCTGGCAAAGAGATCCCAGGCTGTGATGGGCTTGTTCAGAGGCAGACTAGATGAACGGTCCGACCGAGATGTGATCATCAGTAGAGTGTCGCCGGTAATGTTGAACCTGGACAAAACTTTCTGGACAATCTGTGGGTCATTCTGAGGCAAAACCTGAAGATGACCGCCGGCTTGGTAGTTGACCCCTTCTGGAAGTCTGAGTTCAAGATGTCGCTTTTGAGGGACACCTTTCGCTGACAACACGCGGGATTCTTCGACGAAAGCTGGGACAAAGCCTTTGCGCACTGTGGGTTGACTGTCAGTCCCAAATGTGACTTCGATATCGACATCGGGGCTTGGTATATCCCCGATTTGCCCATGATTGTCCAACAGTGCTGGCCAAAGACGGCTATCAAGCCAACTTTCGAGCTCGGAGAAGACATCACAGGTCGCAGTGTCTGCGGTGCCCAGAGTCGTTAGCCTCTGAGCTCCAGCCGCATCCAACATTGCATCCAGCGCCATTGGCACTTTGAAAAGTGTAGCAGGCCAGTCTCTGTGACCTGAAAGGAAGCCCGTTAGCACGCGCCACAACAAAGCAACACGAGATTCTGCTTACCACAGCCAAAAACGGCGAACCGGACGCCTTTCAAGTCGCCAGCTTGAAGACTCTGAGCCCAAGAAACAAACTTGGTCGCATCCCGCGATGGCAGCCCGTTGTAAGATGCAGTGATCATGACAACTGGGCCATCCTTGGGCAAACTCCCTGCAGCATCGTTCATAGACATCGACTTAGGGGTGAAGCCTCTTCTGGACGTTTCCATGACGAGACGCTGTGCCAATGCCTCACATGTGCCGGTATCAGACCCGTACAAGACTGTCATCGGGCCTCCTTGAGACAATACGGGTTGCAGAGGCAGCCTTGAAGGCTCTTCGGCATCATTTGAGCGGGCCCTCAGGCTTTTCAAAAAGTCAGTCGGCCTCTTGTCGTCTCTTAAGCTGACGCGGACCTTGAAACCGGCGGGCTTGATTGTGAGAAGATGCTTGACCTTGAGCTTGTATCCAGGATCATCCTTCTTGATGTCGAAGTTGCGCAAAAGCATCGCTATAACCTGCAGGAACTATGTGTGAGCACCTGCGCCATCCTCTATTTGTTGTGGCTCCACTCACTAGTTGCGCCTCCTGCCAAGCGAATGCTCTCCCGATACAGCCTCGCATGCCGTTGCCAAAAGGCTTCCAGGCATGTTTGGGGATGCTATCGAGGTTCCTCATCCTGTCTGGTTTGAATTCTTCTGCATCTGCACCCCAAACTGCAGGATCTCTGTGAAGGGTATGTAACAGCACACACAAGGCCTCGCCAGGCTTGACGAGATACTGCCCTCCAATGATCTCGTCCTTGAATGGGGTTACATAATATCCAGGCGCAGTCGGCATCAATCTCAATGTCTCCCGGAAGACTGAATCGAGGAAAGGAAGCTGCTGTAGATGCTGAACGTTGATGGGCCCATCTCCAATAACTCGGTCGACTTCCTCACGAGCCTTCCTCATTTCCTCCGGGTGCTCCACAAGATAGTAGATGGAGAAAGACAGGAGACCTGACGTAGTCTCGTGACCTGCGACCAGAAAGGTAATGATGTTGTGAACGATGGCCTCTTCACTCAAGGAATCCCCGGTCTCGGGATCACGACCATTGAGCATGGCGTTAAGCAAGTCATTGCTCTGATCTTCGGTGGGTGACTGACGGCGCTGCGCGATGATCTCGCGGCATGTGCTTTGCATCTGCTCAATGTTCTTCCTGAATTTGGACATTGCCCGTGGTCGAAGTAGACTGACAAAGTCTGGGAGGACAGCTTGCAGGTCAGCTTCTCCAAGTACCGCAATCATGCTCTCAACAAACGGGTGCGTCTTCTTGTCCAGGTAGAAGCTGTTGAAGCGGTAGTCCATAGAGCACAGCGCGATAGTATCCAGGGTCAGGCGAGTGAAATCATCAGCGACCTCGACTGGCGCTGAAGGACCAAGACGAGCCCTGAAATTGGTGAGCTAATTGTGGGTGGACGTAGGACCGGATGACTGACCACTTCAAGCAAAGTTGTTCAGAGAGATCATTCATCTCGTCGAACATGCTCCTGATCTTCAAAGGACCAAAGACTGGCATCAAAATCCTGTGCGCGACACCCCAGGTGTGGTTGTTGTGCTGTGCCGTGAAGAGACCATCTCCGGCAGCCGCCCGCATGGTCTCAACGCCGCTGGTGACGATCTTGCAGAAGCGGGTCTCATCAGAAAGTTCCTCTACCAATTCACGGCTTGAGACAGTGATTTCTCTTTTACCAGCAAAGGTTAAGGAGAATATTGGGCCTGATATGATAAGTCAGGCATCATCTTATTGGCTAAAATTGCCTGCGACAAGGGCGAAGACGAACAAATGCGAAGGCCACATACCATGCTTTGCCACGAGACTGATCAGGGAGTCCAAGGGACTGACGAGGTCGATATTCAAGATGTTCCCCAGAACCGGCAACGCTAATTTTCCAGAGTCAGCATTTGAGAGAGATGGTAAGGGATAAGCAGCACTAACGTCGCGGCCCTGGTATTGGGAAGATCGTGTCAGGAAAGTTCTTCTTGGTACTGGACTTGATGCTTTGATCTTCTTCCATCGTGTTTGCTTGTAGAGAATGAGGAATATTCAGAGGCAAGGTTTAAGTCGCATACACGCTCCGGATGTCCTGAAAATATGAGGAAGACACGTAAGACTTGGTGAACTTGCAAAGGAACACCAAGGGAAAAGTGCGCTTCCTGGAGATTGATGAATCGCGGCGGGCTTCAACGTGAGGTCTAAGCTGCGCATTCATACCACGTGGTTGCCGGTATCCGCAGAACGTTCCCAGTGTTTTCTCATGATAATTCCCTCACATCCTGAATGCATCACTTGACCGGCGGGAGTCAAAAGAAGAAAACTTCTCACCGCTGCATTGCCGATGGCGAAGCGAGGAACCATTGTAACTTTCACGATGCGTATAATGAGGCTCCACGGTGTCGACATGAGATATCCCAGATTGCTGAAGGTTTCACTAGATTGTTCTCAGGGCGCGACGCTACGACCTCAGTGGACTTCGCAAGCCAAAACTGAGTCCGAATCCAGATTTGCGCCGTGATGACAACGGAGACTGGGTGGTTGGTTGCGCGCGTTTGGGGATCCATCAACGCGTGCGGCTTTTGTGTGAGGGATACAGAGCTGCATTGCATGTTTACACATAATATCCACCAAACACAAACGAGGAAGGTGGCTGTGCCATCAAAGACCAGAATAGCTTGAGGGGAAGAAAGGTATCGGTTTGAGGGGTTTTGCCATGTGACAGGTACACTCCCATCATCGTGAAAAGCCTTGTTTACATCCCAGAGGCCTCCGGATACACAACTAGCGTAGCCCGCATCCTCACAGCGGGAAGGGCACATGGGATTAATACCGCATTGCATATGTGCACAACGTCCTTGCCTTAACCCCAGACAACGGAGTTGAAGGACGAATGGGAGCAGCCCGGGGAGACTAACATGGTCCAAAAAAAAAGCTTGGTCCATTGCGGGAAGCGCCCGTACGAATCCCAACCCCAACCCACTAACTGCTGAGCCGCCAAGACAAATCCCTCATACAAAACCTCCGCAGATGCTCCCGTTGTACTTGTCTAAATCTCCAGAGCTCATGATACTTGCACTCGAACAAATATTTTCCGTCCAACGCTCAACTCCCGCACAAAACAGCCTTTTTCTTTTACGGACAGCCGCACTATCCCCCGTCGAGTCATGCCGTGCGGGCGCAACGCTGTCGCAGTTTCAATGACAGATCTTTCCAAATGTGTCTGAAATCGCTCACGAGGATCCAGTGCAGCAGGCACATTGCTGCATGCGTTCAGAGAAGAGAGGAGAAGCGATGGAAAAAATCACGGAGATTACACAACGGAGCATGGGCTGGATGAGGCGGCTGAACGGGTGATATTCTGGAGGCTGGAGGGTCTCGTGCGAGCGCTTGCACGTTGCCATGCTGGTGGCCCTCGTGCTCACTCCATCGTCCCATCACGTTCACCGCCAAGACAACGAGTTGCAGTGGGTTGGCGAAGACTGCAGAGTCTAGGATGCAAGTCATCTCGCGATGATTAGAAAAGCCGCCCTGCTTCCATGAGGTCATTCTCAGCTACCCAAGTTGACTCTCTCATTCACTCGACACCCGGATAAGCCTTTTGTCCTCCCCCTTTTCCGACTTTACCCCTTGCTACTTACACGCCTCTTACCAGGGCTGAGTCCTCCTCGCTTGTTGAACTGATATGGGAAACGACAAAGCTGTCACCGTCACCGTAGCCACCGTGGCCGGGGACACAGAACGCCGAAGGACGTTTTCGACCCTGTCAACAAGCACCGCCTCGAGCCTTGTCTCCGTGAAGTCGCGCCGTCCACCTCACGTGGGGAGCACCGAAAAAGTGCGCGAGCTCGTCCGACTTGCTCTGACCCGTCTCCGTGTTCTTCTCAGTGAGCGCAACGGCACTCGGAAGCCTATCTCCCAGAAAGGCCTCTTCGCTTACAACTACGTCGAGCCTCTCTTCAACTGGTGGGGTGCCAACTACCGAGTCCTCCTCACCCAGTGCCTTGGCCGTGTTGAAGCCCGTGACGCATTCGGATCCGCGACGAAGCTGGTGAATGGCGCCTCGCACAACTATGCCGGCTTCTACAAGGCCACCGCCGAAGCCGAGAGGCTGCAGCGTTTGTGCCTCGAGATGCTCCCCGTCTCTGAGAGCGATGCAGTTCCCTTCCTCAGGGACGAGACACACCAGGCCATTGCCAAGTTTCTTGGTGCCGACTTCTGCTTCACCACGAGCACGGGTTACGGCTCAAACTACATCGCCCTTCCGGCACTGGTCGACTGCGCTACCGTCATCATCATGGACGAGAACTGCCACAACTCCATGTTCACTGGCGTGTTTCTTGGGATCTGCCCCAACCTTCGCAAGTTCAAGCACAATAATATGGACCACTTGGAGACGCTGTTAAGTGGGTGCATCGATGCAACGGACAACATCATCGTGGCGATCGAGGGTCTTTACAGGTTGGTACATCTCAACACTATCGTTACGCACCATTTACTAAATTTGAACGATGACAGCATGGAAGCCGACGTACCACCTTTGGATGAAATCCATCGACTGAAGAAAGAATATGGCTTCACATTATACTGCGACGAAGCGCATTCTTTCCTGTCACTCGGCAAAACCGGCCGAGGATGCTTGGAGTACTGGAACGACTACCATCCGGAGAACCCCTTACCATGGGACCTCATCGACATACGCACAGGTACCCTATCCAAGGCTGTAGGGGGTATTGGAGGTATTATCGTCGGAAAGGGCCAATTCCAGGAAAGTGTCAGAGAACGCATAGAGAACCTCGACGAACAGGAAAATGCCTCCCTGCCCAGTTCCACCATGGCGCAGACTCTCTGGGTTCTCGGACAACCTGCTCGCATCAGCCGAAGTCTGCAGCGTCTCGCGAACATCTCCCGCTTTTGCCGAGAGGAACTAGAACGCTTCGGTATCTTTGTCTATGGCGACATCGGTACACCCGTCCTTCCTGTTTACACTGGCAGGCCCAGCGTCTCAGCCAAGCTATCATATGCTCTCCGCTGCGCAGGTCTCCTCGCCACGCCTGTATGCACTCCTGCCGTCCCTTTCTGGGAAAGCAGAGTTCGCATCAATCTCTCGGCAGACTTTACTGACGAAGAAGTCAACCGCCTCGTCGAGGCAGTCATTCGTGCAGCCGCCAGCGTCGGTATTTGCAGATCCCCAGGCACAGTTCGCTTCCTTTTCAAGACCGATCAGGAAAATTTCACGGTAGACGATGATCCCGAAGAGGCGGAAAGGTCGTATGACTGGGTGCGCGGTTTGATCAAGATGGACGCGACGATGGGTCCGACGAGCCAGCAGAGACAGCTGTTTGACACCACATGTGGCCCAAGGATTCTTGAGATAGGCCACAAATCCCGCGTACAGTATGGCGTCGGTGCCGGAGGTGCGCGCTGGATCTGCGGGACATTCCCTCCTCACCTCGCAGTTGAGAAGCTCATCGCTAAAGCAACTGGCATGGAGGCGGGCCTGACCTATGCGGATGCCTCAATCGGACTCGCATCAACCATCGCTGCACTATCGCGACCGCTATTAGGATACACCAAGCACTATCTCCTATTTGAGAGGGGCGCAAGTCAGTTTGTGCGCGATGGCATCGTGATGGCGCCGAAGAAGGATGCACCCACTTTGCTCAGCTACATCGACTTATTTCAGCTCGTGCAGCAAGTCAGAAAGCTTTCGCGCAGTAACCAGAGACTGTGTCTCACGGTATACGTCCGTGTCGGCGAAGATTCGGCTCATCACTTGCTTTCAAACGTTCTTGAGGAGATCGCGACTATTACTGGTCCAGAGTCCTCTATGACCATTCTTCTTCACTGCACCTCTCATTACCTGAACCCAAGGGAGCTCATCTCGTTCCCTTGCAGGTCCAACATCCATGTTCTTGTGTGTGGTTCTTTCAATCGTATCTTCGGTCTGCCGGCGGGTTTCCTTACTGGCCCAGATAGTCTCATTAGGGAGTTGAGGTATACGAGTAGGGGGTACATGTTTACCACCTCACCACCCCCATTCGTGATGGATATGCTTCGTGCTGCGTTAGAGTGGAACTTGTCGACCGATTAAGTATTATTTAGGCATTGCAAGCGTATTATTCCCTTTTGTCGTCTTGCAGGTTCGGCGTTTAGGCTGTTGTGATGTTTTGTAGTTAATCAACTGAAGTTTTTAGTTCAAGTGCAAATCCAACACTCATGGCCGTTCAAAGATCTTCATTTCCAAATGGTTGCAAGGATATTGGCGTCTGCAGCTGAGAGACAACGGACCAATTGCATATGGGCCGAGAACATGTTAGCTTCTATTGAGCGAGTCCCACTCGAGATTGGAGTATCTTTCGCTCTGCTATAGACCTCCTCTGGCCAAGCCACACGACTATATCAATGAAGAAGTCCACTGCAAATTTCTTCCGTCGTATCCGAAGCTATCTGGAAGCAGCACATGGCTGTCCTGTGGCAAACATACGATTGCGGGTTTGCTTCCCGCTCCGCACGCAAACCGAACAATTTAACGCCTCATGGCATCAAGAACGATGCTACTTTAGTCTTTCTCCGCGATGAGCTTATGTCGTTAATAGAGTTTGGGAGGATGCGGAGGTTCCAGACCTCCATTTGGCCATTTTCGCCGCTTGCGGAGCACGGCACATGGCTAGTCAATTCTTCATTTTTCCCGAATACCCATCCCCCATCATAATGGGATTGCATTTAGAAAAATGCCATTGAGCCGGATGCCACGTTCTCGGATGTCTCAGCGCCACACCTCATTCAAGCCAGCTGAAGCTTAACTACGGATTTCAACTGCGGCGGCACACTACATCCGGATGCAAATCCCAGACTTGTCTTCAAGATATTTAAATATCAGCAAGAATCTCGAGATTCAAGAACTTATTCACCAGGCCACAACACCATTCCTTCGAAGCAAACAGCTCAGCATCATGCATATCACCATTTCTCTCCTTGCCCCGACGCTTTTGCGGCTTGCCGCAGCGGCATCATGCCCGGCGTCAGGATCTCCGACCTATCCCGAGGCCACTGAGAAGAACACCGCATTGATCCCTTTTGTCAATACACTTCCACTGATAGACGCAACACCACTCCTCGACTTCAATGTTGCCGCTGAAGTCGACTCGGCAACCAAGACACTCTCATTCCCCTCGACTGGCATGGACACCGGTTCTACCGGGATCATGATCGGCGCCGGCCGATTCGGCATCAATAAAGACTCCAAATTCAACATGACCAACCCCGGAACGGAATACCTCTCCTCCAGCCAAAGGCTGTGGGAGGGATACTGGGTCGAAGCCGACATCACATTTCCCGTCAAGTCTGATACACGACGCGCGCTAAGCAAAGACGTCGTCGCAAGAGTGCCTATCATGATCGTGACCAAGGCCAGCATATGCACAACGTGGAAGGCGAACGGCGGCAAATGCACGGATGCACAGAAGACGAACATTGAGGAGTACCCGAAGGACATCACCTCGAGCGGTGCCTATGTGGGTGTCGGGTTCGGACGATCCAGCGACGAACAGCCTCAGGCCCTGCCTGACAAGGTCGCCTTGATCAACATTGTTTCCATCGGCGGCCAGGCGGTCGAAGACATGCACCAGGGTTACATCCTTACCGAGAAGGGGGTTGAGGTCGGCCTGACAAGCGCCAACACCGAAGGCTTCTGCACAACAAAGCTCGGCGTCATGGCCTCCAAAGTAGACAAGGACTGGGCTCCGCCCAACGCTGCTATCAGCGTCAACAGCACTTCTTACGACCACGGTACGGCTCTCTTGGACACCGGAATCCCGCAGTCTTACGTGCGCGTGAGTCAGGAGATGTACAAGAACACGAGAACCATCAGGTCAAAGTACATGCCGAAGCACCCCAGGGTCCTGGTGAAGGGAACTCGGGTCCTTGTCGCCATTCCCGACGAGAAGAATCCGATTGCAATTTACGACGTCACCTCTCAGGGTGCTGGCGCGCCTCAGGCTGGGACGATGCAGCCAGCTGGGTTCGTCAGGGAGAACTACACCATCCCGTCAACCCCGTTCATCAACACCGGAAGGATGATCTACAGCAAGTTTGACGCAATGCTTGACGCCGACTGTGGCTGGTTCGGAATGGCTGAGCGTTCGGAAGGCACCAAGAAGATGAAGAAGAGGGCAGCGTGCCCTTCACCTGCATCGGGAGCTAAATGATTGTTGAGAGAAATGGATATTAGAAGTAGTGGTATTTCGGAATGACAGAAAAAACATGAGGGGCTATCAAAAGTAGTTGTAGGAGTTATCATAGGTAGTATGAAGACAGAGCTAAAGACGAATGAATTCATCAATGATATTGCAAGCTGAATCGGTGTAGGTCAACCATGCTTCACGGTGTACGTCTCGTTCTGTTGACTTTTGTCGGGCCGTAATCGAAACCGTCGTTGTCGTTCGCTACATCAAGGTCCTCCTTCAGAGAAATATTCCACTGTTACCTCGCAAATTAATGCTTTCGAGATCAATCGGCTTTCTGTCTTTTCTTTCACTGTGAGGACTTCACGGAGACCTGCCGGACACTCCCGTCGCAACCTGGACCCACACATCCGGCGCCGGCGCCCGGATTCAGCAGGAGCTTAGGCGGTGTATGCAGCAAAGCAACGTCCGGCCGGCGTGGTTGCCGAGAGCGGTTCGTCTGACCGACGGAATATCCACCGCCAAGGGTTCATCGTTTCTGATCTCTGAAACACTCGGAAAAACTCCACATCATCGCTTTCGAATCAAATTTCCGGCGAACCCTCTCTCGCGAAAGACATGCTTAAGACTCCAAGTGCCGCGGCTTAATTTTAGAGGGCGTTTAGCGAAGTGTCAAAAGGTCATTTTTGTGATCTTTCTGTTGCTGTGGTCGTACGATCGCCGTCGAGTGATCGTGCTCTTTCGCAAAGTGTGTTGGATAGTCTCCTTGAGAGCAACCTTCTTCTTTCTCTTCAGACTTGGTAACTTCCGCCTCCAGAGCCCGCCTCTCTATCCGATCATCGTGCTGCTTATTTTGGGAAACACAGCCTGGGAATACGTGTACACAGACATCAGGGCCCCTCTCGTAGCAATGCAACGTAGCGGTCGATTGACGAGCCTCCAGAACCGAATGCAACAGCATTCTACCTGTAAACATCGCCTGTGAACATTTCTTGATTCTGCCGTCCTTCATCTCAAAAAAGAAGGAAAATCGGAACAACGGGCGACGGAAATCTAGATCTCGTGCGGTCGGACGTTCCCAAGACAGCGGTTGCTGGAGCGTAATTAACCCAGCCTGCCAACGGCGGCAACGAGCTCATTAATCTCCCGCGGTTGGCGTCCCAGGAACGGTTTTGGAGCAGGGGTGGTGTGCGTCCCCGGCGACGGACAGGGGTCTTTTGTCGTGCGGCGGCGCTCTGCTTCCTCTTTCTCCCAAACAGAAATGGACCGATTGTGTGTGCCTGCTTGTGTGTGGCCGAGCCGCGAGAGTCTTCCACCTGCACGGATCACGGCGAGGCATTCTAGGCGCGAAGGTGACACACGTCGATGAGGCGGCAAGGCTGATTTAAGTTCAACACTGCCATTCTTCCATTCTTCTAGACTTTGGGACCACGCGGCCGTGTGATATCTTAGTGGTTTGATGTCGTGTCAACTATTGCTGCTCAGTGCTTGCGAAGAGTGTCCGGCGGCAGTTTTCCTTGGGAGCTGAGCCCTGACTGAGTCAAGACCACGAGGAACATGCGCGCGCCGAAACGGTTTAAGCGACACAGGGTATCCGGTCCGCCGGATTGGGAAGAGTCAAAGACAGAAAAATGTCCGTTCCCTTGGCGCTATCTCGCAACATATCCGAAATGAGACGTAGCGAGAGTGAAGTTGTCCAGAAAGAGAAAAAGACGAAGCGCGGTGCTCACGACAATTGGGGAATTTCCAGGGGGGGGCTGGGAAACTGAGATGATACCGAGTAAGCGACGGTCCAAACCACACCGCAAACACGGTGCTGTCTACTCTGCAACAACAGTAACTCCCGAGTCCCAGTAATCCTCCGACTTCATCGCCCTCTGGCAGATCCTCGGGAGATGTTATTTTGGGGCCAAACACCGCGCATGGAAAGCCTTTGAGCTGCCGCCTGAGCCCACGCGGAGCCGCGTCAGTCGGCTACTGGGCGATTTTCAGGGGCAACGGGCCACCTGCTGGCACCATTTTACTTCCGAGAGGGGAGCCGGGGGAGAGTTGGGAAGGATGACCCCTACACGCACTGTGTCTCAGTTGACACTCGCTCTGTTCTCAGGTAGAGGCGGCGTCTCACTCACCCTCCATTATTGTCTCTCTGTCGTATTGCGGTTTTCTCCATCGGTATCCGTATATGCTTTCGCTATCGATCTCGGGCTGAGTGTTCACTCATAGCTGCTGCTCTTATGGCTGTCGGCTGAAAGTCTAATGTACTTCAGGCCTGCCAGATCCGAACAACTCGAGATGCGTGTCGTAGTGGACGCAAAGCACAGAAGAGAGGTCATCCTCGACTGAACCGGACGAGGCTTATACCCTCCCAGCCTCTTCCAACTCGTCGGGACCCTGTGGATCGTGAGCTGAAACGGCCTCACCGCTCGAGGCCGCTGTCAGCCGTAGGCATAAACCATCAGTTGCCGCGCAAAATATCCCGACGAAGGGCAGTCCCGGCGGGCCAAGCGGCTTCATGCTGGCGGTGCCTGCGCTCATCTAGCCCTACCTGGACCCGAACCCGTCGGGAGGACTCCGCGGGATATCTTCACTCATCACGGTCAAGATGGAACATTTCAGAGACAAGCAGATTCGCTCCCGGCATTCTCGAAAGTCCATCCGTCCGGCCTGAACTCTGTTCCCATTGACATGATTCGTCGTTGGTGAGGGAATCACGTCAATCAGAGCTGGGGTCTAAGCAGATCTGCACCACCAACCGGCGATGCTCATATCCTGTGATGCTCACCACTAGTCACTGCCAACTTTCATCCTGCAAGCACGCCAAAAGAAATGTCTTGTTGATAATCAAAAGACCTCCAAAACCAACACCCAATCGCACCCTCGCAGCCGTGCCGCATCACGGCAGCCCAAACATGGCACCACAGTCACATAGATGCAACCAAAGAGCGGCACATCAACCCTCCACATCCCTTCACCAACCACGCTTCTGTGAATCAATCCCCCTCCCCCCTCCATGACCTTGGGAGCCGATCCATGATCCATCCCGCTTGGCCTGGACCACCAACCAACCCGTTCACCCCTTCTCAGCCGCGGCCAAATTTGGTCACGCCCACCAACCATCGCACGGGATCCTCTCCCGAGAAACCTGGGGACCCGCAGCGCAGCATGAACAAGGATCCCGCTGGCCTGTCTCCCGTCACAGCCAACCGAACCATCCTCCCCACCGCTGGCCCTGGCCGCAGGTCAATCCACATCGCGGGCCCCCTCCCCTGGAACAATGGAGAGAGAAAGAGAGAGTGTGAGAGGCAAAGAGGTTGTGTGGCTTCGGTATATCTACGAGGCAGACCCGCCATGCGACCACCCCTCCTCCGAGATTGTTTCGATCATGTTCCCCCTTCTCGTCCTTTTCGGAGCCGGTCCATCACTTTCTCTAAAACCCAACTTTTCGATTCTTGACGAAACAATTTATTTGAACGAGATACGAAAAAAAAAAAAAAAGAACCATGACGAGCTAGCATCGTCTTTTCCAGGCGAAAATCAAAAAGGAAAAAAAGGAAGAAACCAAAAAAACGTACCGAGTCTCACGAAACGAAACGAGAGCAAGAGAGAGCCACTGGTGGCGGACGGAGACGATCACAATTCCATTCATTCACTCACTCAATTCTCATCAACAACGACTTTCATTCAGCAACACACACCGACGACTTCACAAACTCGGACCTTTGTCGAGCCAGACACAGCCAAGCCATGGCATCAAACTGAACTTTCAAACTACTTTACAGTCTTTTCATTCATTTATACATACTTTTATTACACAAAATGCCTCCAACAGGCGCCTTTGCCCTCCTCGCCCTCCGCGCCACCGAAAACGCCGCCGCCGCCGCCTTCACATCACACACCAACTCAACCGACCAATTACTCAACACCACCGCAGCAGGAGGAGGAGGAGAAGAACCGGGCCACCGCGAGTGGAATGGCGGCTCCGTCGTGCCCGTTGCCGTCATCTCGGCCGTGCTGTCGACCGCCTTCGTGGCCATGCGTTTCTACACTCGCATCTACATCCTGCGCTCAGTCAAGTGGGAGGACTGGTTCATCCTCATGTCCCTCCTCTTCGCCATCGCCACGAGCGGTGGTATGATAGCACGTACGTTCAGCCTCCCATGTCAAATTCATGAGCCTTTCAACTAACAAGAACAACAGAACTCAACTACGGCCTGGGCCACCATCTACGCTCCGTCGGCGCCTCATTCCCCGTCTACATCCAAACAGGCATCCTCACGAATCTCTTCTACTCCATCTCCCTGACCCTCACCAAAATCTCCATCCTCCTCCTCTACATCCGCATCCTCACCTACGACCTCGTCCGCCTCCTCGGCAAGGTCCTCCTCGGCCTCGTCATCCTCACCCACACCTGGATCATCGCTTCCATCCTCACGACCTGCATCCCCCTCTCCGCCGCCTGGTCCTACGACCCCGCCAACCCCCCGCTCTACTGCCACCCCGTCCCCGTCTTCTGGCTCAACGCCGTCCTCCACATCCTCACCGACTTCATGATCTTCATGCTGCCCCTCCCCGTCATCTCCAGCATGAGCCTGCCCCGCAAGCAGAAGACGGGCCTCTACTTCGTCTTCTGCCTCGCCTTCCTCGTCTGCGCCATCTCCATCCTCCGCCTCGTCGCCGTCTTCCACGCCGACGAGTCCAACGCCCAGGTCGCCGACGTCACCTGGTCCGCCGTCCGCGTCGCCAACTGGACCTCCCTCGAGGTCCACATCGCCATCGTCACCGCCTGCCTGACCACCCTCAAGCCCCTCCTCAACGCCCTCTTCCCGAACCACGCCTGCAGCGCCACCGTCAACGACAGCCCGCTGCCGCTCAAGACGGCCAGCCCCGCCGAGGAGGCCCGCCGCCGCAAGGACTTTGAGGAGAACTTCTCCACGGGGGATGTTGATGGGTACAGGCGCCCGCTGACCATCGGCACGAAGTCGAACAGGCCAAAGGTCAGGCGGGACACGTTTGCGAGCCTCGTCGCGGACCGCAAGAGCACTCTGGAGCACTTGGAAGTCGCGACGCCGACGTCGGCAACGAAGCTGGCTGACAAGGAGGGCGAGGAGTTCAAGTTGCCCGAGGTCCAGCCGCCGTCACCCTTTGGCAGGTTTTCGAGCTGGACGCGGGGTTCGAGGTTGCAGATTCCGGGCGTGACAAGAGGTGCCAGTGTGAAGCACGAACGCTTTGGGTCAACAGCAACAACAAGAGGGAGGCACGAGCGGTTCCCGTCGAACGTCACCTGGGCTTCGACTCACCGACGGTATGAGTCTATTGATGAAGAGGTGCCACAGGTGCCTGGAAGGAGGCTGATTTAAGGCGGTATTTTGTACGATGGACGAGGCGTTGAGTGCTTTTGAGCGAACATGTATACCAAGCGAGTTTATGAGAGGCCATTGAGCCTTGGTTTGGATTTCAGCGCGGAATGCGCCATCATGTATATATAGCATCACAGTCGACGGCGTTGAAGGGACGAAAAGGTGGCCAGGGTAGCATGCTGATGTATACCCCTTCAGCGCGACACGCGGCTGTTTGTAGTAGTACGAATAATGACATTTTCTTGCGTCATCCTCAATCCCAGGATCGCTTGTGAATTTCCATGCATCCGTACACCGATTTGGTTTATAACAATCTGATATCTTGCGAACGATATGTCAGCATCATCGAGAATGCAGGCTACGGTGAGGATATGCTTACCTGCTTCGAAATAAAGCCCCCTTCCTCCACGTCTCTGGGCCAGACGACCCTTTCGTCTGCCTTTTTGGTTTTCATGGCCCGTCAAACTGACAGAGCCTCATCTGGTATCAATATTCTTGCTTAAGAAATGAGATCGGCCACGTTCATGGGCATCTCATCAATCTGGGTAGAGTAGTACACTGCAGTCGTTAGCATCCATGTATGAGTTAGGGCTCGGGCAATACTGACACTCAATGTCTCTCAAGATGCGCACATCCTCGCTAGTAACGAAGTTGATAGCGACACCCTTCCTTCCAAAGCGACCACTCCTACCAATGCGGTGAATGTAGTTCTCACGGTTGCTCGGCAGATCGTAGTTGATCACCAAGCTGACCTGCTGCACATCGATACCGCGAGCCCACACATCCGTGGAAATCAAAACACGGCTGTTACCCTGCCGGAAGTCCTGCATAATGCTGTCGCGCTCCTTCTGTGGCATGTCACCGTGCATACTGCTGACCGTAAAGTTGGCCTCGCGCATCTTGTCCGTCAGCCAATCGACCTTTCTGCGCGTGTTACAGAAGATAACGGCCTGCGTGATGGTGAGGGTGTCGTAGAGATCGCACAGCGTATCGAACTTCCAGTCCTCCTTCTCGACCGCGATGAAGTACTGCTTCAAGCCCTCGAGGGTCAACTCGTCACGCTTGACGAGGATGCGCACGGGGTCGGTCATGAACTTGGTCGTCATGTCGAGCACGTCGTACGGCAGGGTGGCGGAGACGACGACGACCTGCGTCGCGGGGGGCAGGTAGCGGTACACGTCGTAGATCTGCTCGCGGAAACCTCTGTTGAGCAGCTCGTCCGCCTCGTCGAGGACCAGCATCTTGATGTGGCGGGTGCGCAGGTGCCTGCGGCGGATCATGTCGGCGACGCGGCCGGGGGTGCCGGAGACGATGTGCTGGCCGTAGTCGAGCTTACGGATGTCCTCGCCGACGTTGGTGCCGCCGATGCAGGCGTGGCACTGGACGTTCATGTAGTCGCCGAGGGCCATGACGACGGACTGAATCTGGGTCGCGAGTTCGCGGGTCGGGGAGAGGACGAGGGCTTGGGTCTCGCGGACGGCCGTGTCGATGACTTGCAGCATGGAAATGGAAAAGGTCGCAGTCTTACCCGTGCCGGACTGGGCTTGGGCGATGGTGTCGCGACCCTTGCAGACCTGGACGATGGCGCGGGACTGGACGGCGGACGGGGACTCGTAGCCGTAGGCGTAGATGCCGCGGAGGAGGTTCTCTACGAGGTTATCGTCAGAAAATGATGAAATTGTTCGCAGCGATGATGGGGAGCCTTACCCTTCAGCGACATGGACTCGAAGGTCGGGTGGACGGTGACTTCCTTGGAGGTGGAGAACTCCATCCTCTCGTCCGCCTTACGGTCGATTCCGCTACCGCCTTCAGCCATGATGATCTCTTTTGTATTTTCGGGAAGGTGTTGAGTGGTTGGTGTTGCGACGTCGAGGTCGAGGGTCGTGATGTGCAAGTGCAGACAAGGCAAAGTCGAGGGCGAAATTTTAGAGGGGCGCGCCAAAAGCTCCAGCGCGCTCTGCTGCAGGCTGCGAGTCGCATACCAGACGACAGCTGTCTCGGGTCGGAACATCCTGCTGCCGGCCTGTCAAAAAGACCAGACGGAGCGTAAGGCACCTCGTTAATACAGTGCACCTAGCGCTTTCCGTACCAAAATTGGGGAGCTAAAGCAGGCCTTATTCAGTGGAACCGACAACACCAGGCACGCCGCGCCAGCCTTCCGCCGCGATTTTTCCAGAAGCTGCGAAAGCCGCTCCAAACACTCGATCTCGACAATCACCTACACATCTCTCTCTCCCTCCCCCAGTCTCCCTCCCCCGCCGCGCGTCGCCGACAGAAAACCCCATCGGACCGCGAAAATGGTCGGCATCCTCGAAGAACAGCGCTACATCCACGAGGACCTCGAGCGCCTCGAGCAGGGCATCGCAGACCGTATCGCGGACGAGCCGAAACACATCCGCGACCGCCTCAACCGTGACCACGAGGTCTCGCAGCTGCTCGACCAGATCCAGGCGCAGTCCGCCAAGCTGCTCGACATCTACGGCGACGCCGACGGCCAGCGCTCGCGCGAGATCCAGAGCATCGGCACCGGCGACCCGTTCGAGGAGTTCTACGCCCAGATCAAGGACGTCCGCGACCACCATGCCAAATACCCCAATGAGCAGGCCGAGAACTCGGAGCTGCGCTACCGCGTGAAGAAGGAGGGCGACGGCGAGATGATGCCCTACATCATCGACCGCATCTTCACCGGCGAGGAGGGCTTCGGCCGCTTCTTCGACCTGCACACCTGCCACGAGAGCTATCTCAACCTGCCCAACGTCAAGCGCCTGTCGTACCTGCAGTACCTCGAGGTCTTTGACAACTTCGCCCCCGGCTATGGCGGGCTGAAGCGCAGCGAGAAGCTGACGGACCAGTACTTCAAGTACGTCGGCGAGCTGGCGGGGTACCTTGAGTCCTTCATGCGCCGAACGCGGCCGCTCGAGAACCTGGACAAGGTCTTCCACGGCTTCGACAACGACTTCGAGACGGCGTGGGAGAAGGACGAGGTGCAGGGTTGGCAGGACGACGCCGCCGCCGCCGCCGCGAGGGAGAAGAGCAGCGCGGAGGCGGTCTGGTGCGAGGACTGCGAGAAGGAGTTCAAGAACGAGAACGTGTACAAGTCGCATCTCACTGGGCGGAAACACATCAAGGCCGCCGAGGCGCGGAAAGCACGGCAGGAGGAGGACGGCGGCGACGCCGCAGCAACATCAACAAATGGCAGCGGCGGCGTCAGAGTCTCCGCGACGAGGTTGAAGGAGCGCGCCGTCGCGGAGCGCGAGTACCGCGTCAAGCGCCTCGCGGCCGCCATGTCCACGGAGCGCGGCGACACTCGGGTCAACGTGGAGCGGAAGCAGGGCATGACGGAGCGCGAGCGCCAGCAGGAGCTCGAGAGCTACCTCAGCCTCTCGTCGGCGCCGCCCGGCGGCGGGGGCATGGTCGCGGGGGGCGACGACGAAGAAGGCGACGAGGACGGCGAGGACGGCGAGGAGAAGATCTACAACCCCCTCAAGCTGCCGCTCGCGTGGGACGGCAAGCCGATCCCGTTCTGGCTGTACCGCCTGCACGGCCTGGGCGTCGAGTTTCCCTGCGAGATCTGCGGCAACTTCGTGTACATGGGCCGGCGGGCGTTCGACAAGCACTTCAACGAGGCGCGGCACGTCCACGGCCTCAAGTGCCTCGGCATCACCAACACGGCCCTGTTCCGCGACATCACGAGCATCGACGAGGCGACGAACCTCAACGACAAGATCCAGCGCGAGACGAAGAAGACCAAGGTGGACGAGGGCAGTATTGTCCAGATGGAGGACGCGGAGGGCAACGTCATGCCCGAGAAGGTGTATTACGATTTGCAGAAGCAGGGTCTGCTGTAAAGCTGGTTCTAATCACGGTGAGAGCGGTCATGGGGAGAGCGGCGCACACGGCGAAGAAGCAAACTGTCTGCCTGGGCGATGCCCTGAGCTGCAGACAATTACGGAATCTGTAAATGTAGTAGACACAGCCGACATGGCTAATCTTTTTCGAAAAAGCATGAGATTGCACTGTAGAAGGTATAATGGAGTCAAAAAGGATACCACTTCATCAACGCACTTCGTTCGTCCCACAATCTGCCTGTGTTGGCGCCCGTAGATCAGTCCGAACCACAATCAAACTAGACAAGCATCTACCATCGACAACGTACCCAGCTGGGCGCTTTGCGACGACGCGATTCAGCTAGACCCGTAGATACAGCAAATTCCCACAAAAATCGGTTTCTAGATATATTCATACATGCACCCTTCTGATGAAAAAATCTCTTCAAAAGGTCGCTTTGATAACAAAAAAAACTCATCAATGTGGCAAAACTCAGAAACATGCGCTCTCCACCGCTGATGTCATACCAAAACCCCGACGTCAAAGCCCCCCCTTTCACAAGTTTGCAACACGGGGTTTTCACATGAAGTCGATTGAATGCAATCAAGTCCTGCGACGTCGGATGGAAGAAAGTGCTGCAAGTGACTAGATGATCACCAAATGGAAAAGGGGGACAGATGATGTAGTAAATCGCGCCATTCTTTTTGATATGGCTGCATCCGGATGGCTTTTCTCGCCAATCTCGGTTTTGTCTATGTTCTAGTTTCTATGTACAGTACCGCCGGGGTTTTCTTTTTAATGTCTTGATCCTGTACCAAGCCAAAAACACGCCCAAATGACTTTTTGTTGTAGTCTTTTTTCTGTTTCCCTGTATCCCAGTAGAAAGCAATCCCAAATGCCCAAATGCAGGGCTCGCTGTATGAATCACACAAAACCCGACCGTTTGTGCCCAAAACAAATGGAATGGTCCGTGGCCCTGTCGCCATTTTTCTTCCACATTAGGTATCTCTATGGTGTAATCGTCCCCTGTAGTAAAAAGGCTGTCTTTTGTGACGCCATCAAGTAATCGCTTGCTTTATCCGTTTTGATCGGATCTTCTTAATCCCGTGGGATCTCATTCGTAATCGTCAAAAGAAAAGGTGATCGAGGGTGCTTAATCCTCAAACAGGCCAGACATCTCCTCCAAGAGCTGGTCGGCGGTGGGGCGCTCAGCGGCGTCCATGCGCATGATGCGGTTGATGAAGTGCGAGGCGGTGCGGTAGTCGAGAGGCTCAACCTTGCGGCCGACGGTGAGAGCCTTGGCAGCCATGGCCTTGCCAGGACGGGCACGCTCGAGGTAGGTCTCGGGGATGGCACCAAAGCGGCGGGATTGCTGGCGGAGGACCTCGAAGATGTAGCTGCGGTCGTGGTAAGACGCGTTGGTCGGGCGGAAGGGGTTGTAGTCTCCGCCGTGGAGAAGGGCAATCATCATCGATCCAAAAGCCCAGATGTCGCTGGCAGTGCCCCAGGGAACCTCCATCAACACCTCGGGGCTGGTCCAGATGGGAGCACCGATCAGGAAACCCTTACGCGCGACATCGGAGTCGACGGAGTAGGAAGCGCCAAGGTCGCCGATCTGGACGTCGGAGAAGCGAAGGTCCGGGTCGGCTTCGGATTCGGAGGCGTAGTTGACGAGGATGTTGTCGGGCTTGATGTCGGTGTGGACGTAGCCATCCTTGTGAAGGGTGGACAGGCCGCGGAGGACAGCGCGGGCGACAAAACGGATCTCGCGGTTCGTGAGAGGCTTCTTGACAGTTGCCTTGAGAAGAGTGTCGTCCATGTGACGGAGGACAATCATGGGTGCGTCTTGCTGGATTTCGTCGATAACAGGGCGGAGGAAGGGGTTGCCCTGGAATTTGCGGAGGACATTATGCTCGTTCTGGGCGCCGGAAATGCCTTGAACGCCCTTAACGATGGACTTGTTGCCCAGGGGGTTTCTGATGAGACTTAGTTACTGAACGATACAATGATGTGTCGCAGGTGACATACGTAGCAATCCAAACACCTTCGCGGATCTTCTTCTGAATGGTGTACCTGCTAGCGTTTCCGAGCAGGATTTGGCCAATCTCGAGGGACGGGGTCCCGAAGGCGGCGAGACCTCTGGGGATCATTTTCGGAGATGTGTGTGAGAAAAGTCGTCGGAGTCTGGGAGTCTGCGGGGATTCAGAGTATCGAATGTTCGTAGTTCGTGATATTTCACTTCCTTATGTGACAGCTTCGAGTGGCTGTCTGAGAAGGACCAGGTCGATAATGGTCATTAGGTATATACCGGATCCGATTCGTAATGGAGAAAGGTCTAGCACGCGATTCCCGTCATCTAAAGGAACCTTGTCGAAAGAAGCCCTCGAACAAAAACAGGTCTATTAAAAAGACGGAGTCGTCGAAGAGGTTGAAGAGTCGAAAAGTTTGAGGTGAGTTGGTTGTCTGAGTAGAGCGACAGAGCTGGAGCAGGTAGAGTCGGAGGAGCAACGCTTCTTCTTTAACGGGCAGCCGGGTACTTTCCTGCGGTACCTGACCGACCTAAGGGCAGGGCGACGTGCAGGGGTGGCGGAGGCGTGGGTGTGGATGCGGTGTGGGTGGGGAGTGGACGCGGGAGTGGATGGGGGTCCTTTTAGCGTCAGCGGAAGGCAAAGTGAATTTCTGGGAACGGTACGTACCTTTAAGGGCGCTGAAATTGGAACACAAACACCACACACACACACAGCAAGGTAGAAGAGAACAGCCAGCAAAAGACAATGGAAGAAGCCCCAGCACTGGAGGGCAAGCCTTAGCGTTCGTTGGATTGGCAATGGAAGGTTGTGTGGCACCCAGAGCAGCAGTCCAGAGTCAGACTTGACTCCCCTGATTGCAGCAGGATTGGCAAGCCGGCTGCCGGAGTTAATTACTGAGTAGAATACGCCGGCCGCTGCAGTGAGTATGGCGGCGCCTTGCCTGACCGAACGAACATCCAGACCCAACACCTCGCTGTCCTGAGAATAGACGTCTCCCGCCTGCCGCGACGAGTGCCGGCTGGGCGCGGCTTGGCTGGCACTCAGCACTGGCTTCTTCTAGGTAGCTTTGGATCATGGACCAGCCATCGTCTTTGGGTATCAGCACTGGCATTGACACTGGCCGTGGCCATCGCCCGGAATAGTAGCTGGCAGCAGTTCAGCGAAAGAACCAGCGGCTGCCACGGGGCGTGCGCGACCGTCAGCGGTGAGGCAAATGAGTTCGCTCCGTTTAGTTTCAGTGGACTTGGGGGGGACACCAGTCATCCGGGTCCAGAATAATCAACAGCCCCCTCCGCTAGGAAAAAAAAAAAGAAGAAAAAAAGGATTTTTTTTCTAGTGCTCGTGTCGGACGGCACCCATGCCAAGGTACGTGCATGGTTCTAGTGATCGGACTGTGTGATGGAGGGTGGCCTATCGGTCTATCGCCGTGGCATTGGCCGTCGACAGCGGTCTAGATCGTCCTGCTGCCCGGCGGAAACACTTGCAACGCACAGTGTCGAGCTGTTCGCAGACAGCAGACGGTAAGCCATTGTTGGAAGGTCTGGAGCTGCTTCACCTTGGAAGAGGAGTCAAGACGAGTCCGACGAGCACTGATCTGCAAGGATGAACCACCGCGGGAGAAGCTTGCCGTAGGGGTCCCCTCCTCCTTTTCCAGGTACGCGCCCACCTCTGCAAGCTCTGCTCCAACCTGGACACCCACTCACCACACGAGGACACCATCAGCGGCCACAGGTTGATAAGGTGTGACTCCGTCAGCCGCCCTGGTTGGCTGGCACGTCGCTGTCACCGACAGACCGGACTGCTTCCGTTACGCTGAATGCCTGCTATGCCGGGGGCTGGACGTGTTCGGTGCATACCCGGATTTTGCGACTCGTTCTGCTGTTGCATTCGCTGCACCACCATCTGCTTCTAAAATGCCCGGGAGGGTGGTGTGCTTTTTTCGTCGGCTCCGGCTCCTATCTGCCAGACTGCCATTCCAGCTGCAGGCTGGGTTCCGTGATCTTTAGGTCCAGATAAGGTGACTGACTGGTCAAACGACGACAAAAGGAGGCTCTGGTGGACAGCGACCCGCGAATCGTGTTCCGGAAGCCGGCCACGTCCACAGCGGCCACAGTCATCCGCCATGGCTTGCATAGTTGGTAAGCCATGCTCCGCAAGCGTTACGCCAGTCAGTTGAGGAGGCTTTTTGGGGCGCTTTGCTGGGTGAACAGGCCAAAGGATGTGCTCGTTTGGCTGGTGCTTGATCTCCTTCGGGATTAGGAATAGAACAGCAAGCTCAGCTTGGCAGCATCTGCGTTCGCTTCTGCAGCTGCACTTGCACTCGCAATCTGCATGCCAGAGCCCTGGTGTGTCCACAGCAGCATTGTCCACAGCGGTGTCCGCATCGTCCAGTGTCTCAAACTCGGTCAAGAAAACCCCAGACTCAGAGTCAATCAAGCGTGGGGGGGCCGGCGTCGGAGGCGAACAATGGCGACATGGCTTGTAGGTCAGCTCCAGAGTCGGAATGCTGTCTCCACGGCACACCTCATTGATCGGCAAGCGAGAAGCGATACGCAGCGAGAATGCCAGTTGAAGGTGACAATCGCCCGTGCTCCAATCAATTGCGGAGGACTGGAGAGGATCGCATGCGGGTGAAGGTGGTTCTGCAGGGCAGTAGGCAAAACAAATGATGTGCGCTGGGACACCAGGATGCAGCTCCAGTGCCTATCGACGAGTTTGAGTCTGTTCCCTGGGGTCTGATCTCTGGGGCTGGCAGAAGAGAAAGAGGGGTCAGGAGTTGCACAGTCTGTCCCTTTGGTGCTCCGGCTCGTGTTCAGGCTGTTCTTCCGAGCTGACCTCTCGCTTCGGTCTGGTCGGGTCTCTCCAGTCCGTGTCTCTGGAAGCCTCGATCGGTGCGACCGGCGGTGGTGGTGGTGGTTGGTATGCGTAGTAAGTGCGGTCGGGCACTGTAGCCGGCCACAACTGCGTAAGCACCAGATCATCAGGGCAATGAACAGCCTGTTTCTATTTTGTGAAGACGAGTGAGGCACTGCACTGACGCCATGCTGGTGGTGCTGGGTAGGACAGCTTTCCATGCTTGGTAATAATGGACAGGATGGTGTGATCTGAATTCATCATCTTGATTCCTGAGAGGCGGCTCCGTGCCCTGCGTGACCTGATGAAGCTGAAGTGAATCTGATGCTGATGCTGACCTGACGCTGAGCCTGGTATGTCGGCTGGGCTCTCGACTCGTCTCGATGAGCTTCGTTCGATCACTTGGGCACTCTGTCTGTGGCATGCCATTATTGGATACTCGTCAGGTGTCTGTCTGGCGCGAGTCTCGTGCGTAATTTTGTTTAACAACAGACGGCAAGGGGGTCGCTGATGTGAAACCGGCATCGCGGGGTGCTTCCGCTTGGAGGTTGGACAAGAGCTTGAAGCTTGCACGCCTGGTGTTGCTTGGCCGGGTTGCTTCTATTTGCTGCTTTTGGGGGGTAATTGATGGTGATTGACTGCAGACGGGATGGTATGCTGTTCAGTCGGTGTGTCGGCGGTGTGCCAGCCAATTGGCAAGTGACGGGGTGGTGGTGCGGCGTGGGAGCTCCCTTGTCGTGACCCCCGTGCCCCCCAAGGTTTGCTCATCACGGGACGAAGTGTTGCAACATGGGAATTTTAAAATAAAATCATAAAAACATGGGGGAAATGGATGGGGCGGGGAATTCGGGGAAGACGAGGAACGAAGCCGGACCACGATGCCAACCCACGGGCAGTGGACACACCTGCCAACGGGAAGGCGTGTGGCGTGCCTTGGCCATGCGGCAGGCGGTAGCGGTCCTACCTTACCTTACTTGCCTAGCAGGTACCTGCCCTGCCGCAAGTCCCTACCTAGGTAGTAAGGTGAGGAAGGAAGCTGCTGCTGCACTCCTGCCCTCAGACTGATCCAGGCCAGGCTGGTCCTTCCTTCTCTCTGTGTCTCTCTTTCCACCATTGACTCTTTCCGTGGTTTGTGGCTTCCCCCCAAATTCTGCCCCTGCCCAAAATTGACCACCTGAACTGCCACAGCCCCCGAAAAAGAACTAGCGCCGTTCAACTCCCGACAGATGGTTCTATTTTGGATCCAATAGAAAACAAGGCCGTCACAAAACATTCCAACGGCAGCATTGCATTCCCTTCCCCGATTTTTCTCCCCTCTGACATTTCTCCCCCAAGAATTGCTTGTTTCCCCTATTTCGGTTTCTTTTCCCCTTTGATTCATCCTCATCTCACCCCCACGACAGCACCGAGGTCCCCTGCTTCGCCTCCTCTGTCATCCAGCGTGCCAGTCACTGTGTCTCGCTGCCACCCCGGCCTGCAGCTGCGTCGTCTTACCCCAAGCTCGAGATTCAAGACTCAGATGCGCACCTGACCATATCAAATTTGTCGGTCCCCCTGCCCGAGTGCGACCCCGACACCAGGGAATCCGAAAATCCAATTCCATCCCATTCCCCGGGGGCAGCTTTAGCTCTAGCTACCCGAGTCTCCGACGCCGACATCGCTAGGGCATTCGTACCTGCAGTGCTGCAGCACCTCTTTCCTTCTCCCACCGGACTGGCAGCTGCAACAGTCGCAAACCGGCTTTCACACCGCTCACCGCTCACCTTCGCTGTCACCTTACCTCCCTCACCTTACCGTCACCTGGCCATCGGCTTCATCTTCCCCGCGTCAGGCCCTGTTCGCCTCACCGCGAGCCACAAACAACACCACCAAGACCGACACGAGCACCACCGCCGTCGCTATTCACACCTCCTATGCTAGCACCAGCATAGGTAGCTCATCATCTGCATTACTTGCTCACCGGTCCCCGACCACGCCGACACACGCCCAAAACCGCGGCCACGTACGCTCCCCCAACTTACAGCTTATAGCCCGGAGTCTAGGCCCAGGCCTGTCCACTGCACAAGCGCGAGCACAACTCACTCATCCTCCCTCCAAAACACGTCGCACAATGTCCTGAGTCCTGACTCCGTCCCGTCTCCCCTGCCGAGTCATGCCCGTTCAGTCCAAGCCAATCCCCGCCCTTTACACGGTGTATATCCTCCGTTCCACCGTACGCCACGCGTCTCTCTACATTGGCTCGACTCCCAATCCCCCCCGCCGTCTGAAGCAGCACAATGGCGAGGCTCGCGGCGGTGCTGCTCGCACATCTCGTCTGAGCTTGCGGCCCTGGGAAATGGTTGGCCTGGTCTCCGGCTTTCCGGGTAGCATCGCTGCTTTGAAATTCGAGTGAGTAGACTTTCCCCCTCCCGTCCCGTTCGTCTCGCACGCTACTGCCGCTTATCATGCCTCCCTTCCCTTCGGACGAAGTCTCCCCGAGCCACCCCTCTAGCTTGCCTTTCACGATGCTCCCTTGCCTTATGATTGTGCCCGTGCTGATCAAAAGACAAACAGGTGGGCGTTGACCAATCCCCATCTCTCCTTGCACATACCTTCTGCGTCGCGAATCGCCGTTTCGACTGGAGTGAAGAAGAATGGCCACCCGCGCCGACCCCGCGCGAGCTTAGCCTCAATTCTCTCCAACCTGCAACTCTTATTAAGTGTTCCGAGCTTCTGTCGCTGGCCGCTGAAAGTCCACTTCTTCGCACGGGATGTACACTCGGCTTGGCAGACCGCCGCTGCGGCCTCGACACAACCCCTCCGGAACTCCCTTCCCGTCGTCACCGACTTCGGCCCCGCCCCCGCGGCATCTTCAGACGAAGAACCTATGCCTTGGGGAATCCATGCCTTGCCGCTGGACCACGCGCCTATGAAGGAATACGTGGAAAAGGGTCAGTCAATGACTTCGTTTGAGAGGGAGGGGAGCTGTGTTATTTGTAAAGAAGATCTGCCGCATGGCAAGGGCCTGGTTGCCATCTGTCCCAACGACGGATGCGAAGGGGCCGGCCATCTCTCATGTTGGGGTCGTCATTTCCTCCGCCGCGAAGAAGGCGCCCTCCAAGCCGTTGTCCCTATTCAGGGTCGTTGCCCCCAGTGTCGGGGTGAGGTGCGGTGGGTCGACATGATGAAAGAACTGACGTTACGGGAGAGGGGCACCAAGGAGATTGAAGCCCTTCTCAAGAAGAAAAGGAAGAGGGCGAAGAAGGCGTAAGCCGAATCTCCCACAGAAGAACTGTGAGAAATCATGAAAATCCTGGCCTTTCTGAGGCAGGTTTGCTTGCTTGAGTCGCAGCGTTGGCAATTTCTAGTGCTTCTCTTGGAACAGAAAACAGCTTGTTCGACTGCAAGTTTGCGGTTATGTTTGGCCTTGATGAACGCTTTGCTCTCAAGTTTGTTTTCAGATTCATTGCAGCACGCAGGAATAATTCACCACTCCGCTCTTGGCTTTGAATGTTTCGACGGAGCTCGCGATCCGGCCTCGATCATCGGCGCTCATGTTGATTCTAGTACGAGGCTGAACAGCTGCCCGCCATTTGTTGGCGCTGGAATGTACGGTCGGGGTTGCTAGAGGGAATCGAAACCCCCTTCCCGGCAGAGCTGACCGATTGTGCGGTGTAGATGATATCCAGCGCTCGATCGACAAGTGTCGCTCCCGCAAAGTCCGTCTATAGACAAGCTCGACAACGAAGTCAAGACGGCGGGGGATCTGCAACGTCGGTGAGCTCTGGCGCCACGGCTTAGGGTCTCCTGAAGCTAATGCTGCGAACACGGTAAACGCTGCCACTAGCTGGAATGCGAGTGACGATCGGCGTCCGAAAAGAACCATCTCCCGTAGAAATACAAATCAATACAATCAAGAATAAACTTCCACAAGATTCACACTTCCGGTTGACTGAGATGTGTCCTGGGAAGGGGAGGCTTTTCCCCGCGATTTTGGTGTCTTTGGTTCACCAATGTCTCTTTTCCCCATCTGGGGCAGTCTTGCTTCGTGATGTCTCGACGCTTTGGGTTATTGGTGAGAATGTTGGGTGACTCTCCGGATGCACATGATGTGAGTCCTTCGTCGACCCTCTTTCTGACACAAGTACCTGGAAATCATGAAGTATCGGACATGTTCAAGAATTATTTTGACGTACAAAGTGTTGTCTTGGTTTTGTCAGACGCCAGTGGTCTACCAGGCAATTGAAGTCCATGGATTGCTGTTGCTGGAAGTCATTGCATCCGGGGTAATGCACACTGACTGGTAGCGCAGCTGACTTCTCTCTTACAGGCCCGTTGCATCGATGGGGACTCTGTCGTGAGATGGTTCGAAGATAATACGCAGGCGATAGGGCAGACGAAGGATGAGGTCTGCGCCTGGTGGTGATGTCGTCTCGGTTTTGGTGGTAACCTGTTCCTGGGTACAGTTAGTTGGTTTCGCTGCTTGCAATGTATCAGCTTAAGGAAGCAAACTCACAAATTGGGAACGCTCAGTGAATTGCGGGTTTCCTAGTCATTCTATCCACCCAAAGATCTGGCTTTAATATGGTACTCGACACATTGAGAGGCCGACGTGCCCACTGGGGTGTGTCAATTGTTCGGGTCCCAGCAGTCAGCGCCATCGCGGTGATGAAGAATCTCGTCCGGGGAGGCCAGATATCTGATTTCAAACCGAGCATTCTAGACCTTTCGGGCTCCGGGAAAGCACAATTAAGTGCTGCACTCTCAAAGAAGCTTCTTAGCGATCGTCGATTTTTGTCTGCGCGTCGACGACACAATAGAAGGGTGGCTATAGGAGAGAATCTGATTCCCAGAAGCGTCACTTCCGAGATTCTATCTAGAATAATGACGAAGAGAATACACGCTTGACGACGTGGATGTAGGACAGTAGTTGATTCGGCATTTGGTGGTCATGCTCGTCACGGCATTTAGTCAGCTTTTGGGTAGACCCAAGGGCTCGAGTTGAACTTTTCGGTCACGCTTTTCACTGCCTATCATATTGCTGGCTGGTCAATGAAACACCTGTAAGCAGGCGTTTATAGATTCCTGGGTAATTTTCGTAATGTGATGAGGCCTCAAGTTTTCGGCGAGTGGTCAACCAAACCTACGACCGCACCCCCCTCTGCAACTGAAAGATCGGCAGCGGTCCCTGATTGCAATACGCCTAGGTCTTGGGTATAAATTTTGTATCAAGTATGCTTTTCAGTTGGTCAGAGCAGATGAAGGGGGACTCTTCCTTCTGATCGATTTCTCTCCTCGACCCCATAGCTCTTAAAAGCATGGCTACAACTACCGTGGCAGGCGTCAGAGGCAGATGCTGTCATCTTGAGGGCTGTGACTTGGGCTCTTCGTGCCCTCAATCACCTTGGACGGTGGCGGGCAACGCCTCCAGCGATTTGAGCGCGGGTCGTGACCATCCCTCTCAGCTGAAGTCCAAGGAAGAGGAGGAATAGCTTGTATTGTGTTCCTGTCATGCTTATCACGATGAAAGAGCATATTCGCGTACATTGTTTGTACAGAAGATCTAACACCTTGAGCGCCTTTTAATAATGGCGGAACGGATCACTAGTTGGTAACTCCGGGAAGCTATGTTTACTTGTTGCGGAGCTACTTATCTGCGATCAACGTTGCAGGGACAGAGACGGAACACTGCCATCCCTCCATGGACCCTACGAACTTGCTTATAAGCCATGCCGTGAGTTTAAGGGTGATTCTTCAACCAATTGTAATGAGAGATGTTCGTATGATAACCTAAGGATGAACAATGAGGACCGGTTGTATGACCAGGTTGCCAATCCCCCATCCCCCCTCCCACGCGAGTACGCGCAACCTTCGTGGTGCTTGTTCCGGGTGTCTTCCCGGTAGTATTCATGTCCCTGAAGGCCAAAGGACGACAATGCCCCTAGTCACGTCAATACCTTCAGGTCTTGAACGCTCTCGTGGGGCTCGCTGGTCGTCGCTCCGCCCCTCGTGCCGCACCTGCCGATATCAGCCTTGATAGCCGCATGAGTTCTCTGCCCTGATGTCTTACTCGACTGCTCTTCAATACATGGACCTCATGGGATATTTAAAGCCAATGCTTCTACCGACTACTACCTTTTCTTTTTCAACAACGGAAGTGAAAGAGCAACGGATTTCTCCGTAGAGGAGCCTCGCATCTCTACTGCCATGCCCTTGTCGTGCTTGAAGTACCTGTTCCGGATTCTCCGCAGTACTTCAAAGATAGTTTGAACGTCCATTGCGTATCATGGTCACAATGCACGGTGGGTTCTGATGACAGATAAGTGTTACACAAGAACAACGTAAATTTGCCTGCCTTTCCACTCAGAGTGTGTAGTGAGCTCTGGAAGGGAAGCTGGGTCCTAGCCACAGAATTTACAGGTATGTATCAGTTTCATCCTGGCTGTTGTGGTCATCAAAGCTAGACAACGCTCTTCGGGTGTTCATAACGCTCCGGGGGCGAACCTAGAGCATTGATAGACCCGGATGTACTATGCCGCTGGAAGCAAGCCAATACGTTTATCACGAGGTCTTCCGTGGCAGTGGAACTGCACGCTCTGCATTTGCCAGACCTCCAGATCGATTCTTCAAAGACTTGATACCAGTACGTGATGGAGAGGGTGAGACTCCTGAGACGTTACTAGGGCACATCAAGCCGAGAACTGCGGGCTATGCTTCGCGAATGTGGGCTTGACAACCTCTATGCCAGTCCCCTAATATGAAAGATAATATCCTAAAAGTCCTAGCGAACTTTCTCGCAAATAATGTCTTCCCTTGTCCCGCTCGTGATCTGGCGAAAGTTCACTTTCGAGTAATGTAATCGTTGCATCAGTACTCCTTGCATCAGACATATCCTCATATGAACACGGCAACAATGTCTGGCAGCTTTAGGCACTCTCTTCTAATGATTCAGCAGAAAATAAACATCTAATGATGCCTCTAGGGAAATGTCGTGGCAGCACGTGTGGCCGCGCCTTGTCCGACAAGCAGAGTAATGGCTTTTTAAGCTTAATTGTTTAACACATGTCTATCTTGAAGCATCCATTGATGAAAGTTTGAATAGTACTCTCATTGCGTCTTAAGTATGCATGAAGGCATGTATATGACAGTAGTTGACGGTCACACAAGAAAAACACCACGAACCAAAGGACCTGATATCGAAACCGACTCCCTCGCGGCCGATGACTAAGCCGGGCCAATTGGATGCTTGAGGGCCAGAGATGAGGTGCAGGCCAGGTGTGCTGCAAAGATGAGTCGCCCGCCCCCGCAAACAGGGCTTATCCTCGGCCTTGGACCGATCTGGGACGCTAGGCGGGTTTCTCCAACGTCATCCGGATGTGATTGGTTCGCTAAGCGATTGATAATGGCTAACCCCTGTCGAGTCAGTGACGGATATCAGATGCTCACTCGGTTTTTTTTGCTGCAGTTTTTTTCACCTGCGCGCGAGTGGCCCCCCCTGGCAAGGGAGACTGGAGGTGGTGGTCCGTGGCCACCCCGTGGCAGCGTGGACGCCTGGCACCACCACCTGGTCGGCCGCCCCCGCGAGCCTTGCTGTTGGTGATTTTGGTGGAGGGCGGAACATATTGAGATGCATCACTGCAGTCACTGTCACAATGCTGACCATTTTGTGAGCAGGCCATTCTGTATGGCAGTGAATGCTGCGTAATCTTCGGATTATTGTCGCACGCTTCCTGACTGTCGCCAATGTGTCCCAAACACCATGGCCTCATCATTTCCGCAATTGACTCCGGCAGGCAGGGCGGTATCCAGGATGATCGCACGAACGGCTTCGATGGTCGAGTCGGTGGCTCGGCCAGTGGCCGAATGAGCGTCGGACGATCAGCGCAACGACAGCCGGGGAACTGAACGACGACGGACTTCAGAGCGCGCACCTAGGAGGTGACCTGACCTCGCCGATGAGCCAGATGTGCGGCCGTGCGCCCATGGAAAACGATTCATGGAACCTCCGCTGCGACGTCGTCGGCTCTGAGTGCGGCGGGTGTTTGTGTGTGTGTGTGGTGTGTCTGATGTCGCATGTTCCAAGGTTGGATGTCAGCTTTTGGGGGCGGATGTACCGCGGTACCTGGGCGGATCGGGTGTTTTATGTATCTTCATACCCAGCCTGGGGCAATTGGGGACGGATCCCCAGGGTTGATTTGTCTTTAGGTAGAGGCGTTTTCAAAGGGAAACAGATAATCAGATACTTTGGAGGAGATGGATTATTTTGGCGTATGCACTAGGTGGGCTAAATGACGGCTCCCTTTGATACGAGGCCCTTTGAATTCAATGCTGCTAGCCTGGTCTGGCAGTTGGGACTCTTGTCTAGCTGGGTGATTTGCAAGCATAGCCCAGCATCTCAGAGGGGCTGTCAGGCCCATACTCTTTGGATTGTCAGTGAATTGTCAGTGGCAGCACCAAGTAGCAGTTGAAGATTTCCAGGTGAGGCTTCATCTGAGCCCGGGAGAGGGGAAGGGAGAGGGGAACACCACTCTGCAGTGGAGGAGGAGACTGAGGGGACTTGGTGGCTTCCCATGTGGACGTCATGAAGAAAGTATCGGGTACCTCTTCCCACTGGCGGAGTGGAGACTTGAAGTCCAGTGCGGACCCACTTGTAGTGGGATTTTGCACCGACAGACGTGAGCTGTCCCTTCCGTTCCGCGCCCATTTTTGCCTTCCTGCCTGCCCCGTCACCACCGTGAATGGAGGAGGTGCACACTGCACCAAACCAGCACCAGGTACCCGCACCCGCACCCGCCTGCCCTGTGTTTCTCCCACAGAGAGCCTCTGCACTGCACCTTCTCTGCGGCACCTGCACCTGCACTTGCTTTCTTCTGGCATGAGGAAAGAACTCCATTCTTTCCAGTCTGGTGCCTCTGCCTGCCTTGCCTTACTCATTCAGGTGCCCTTTCCCTCCCTTTTCCATTACCCTCTCCCGCACACACACACACAATCTCTCTTGCCTGGTGCTCTCTTTTTGTGCCTGTGCTTTTTGGCGCCTCACCTGTCCTGTCTGTAGTGTCCTTGCCTGACTTGTCTCCCGTAATCCATTGCCTTGCCTTGCCTGCCTTCAATGCCCACCCGGCCCGGCATCCATCCACATCCACATCCACTTCCATATCCGCACCTGCTCGCACTTGCACTTGCACCTGCACTGCACCTTCCCTCCGTCCACCCTTCCCTTCCCTTCCCATACCTTATCCACACATCCCATTTCCACCAACTCCTCTCCTCCCCCGGTTTCCCTCCTTCACACATACACCCATCCGACCTACATCTACACCAACACCAACACCACACCTTCATGACTCGGCCTGCCACCAAATCCGGCCTTTTCTCAAGGTGACCAACACATCCGCTCGCTCCCATTTCAATGATGCGCACTGCATCTTTTTGACAGTGAGCCACGTCAGTGAGTTGCCCCCAATATTGCCTGGTGCATCCCCCATGTGCTGGCGGTACCTCTGTTCCGCGCTGCATGCTCTTTAAGCTTTTCCGCCTGTGCCAAATATCTGACTTGCCTCGCTCTTCTACTGCAGACGCGATACTTTCCTCATACACCTCTGTGGTATACAATCGACTTGTGGCGTCCAAAATCCAGCATCCACCGGTTTTGCCGACTGTCTTGTCCGAAAGTCATCCTTCTTACTGGATCTGTAATGCGACACTCTCCCTAGCCCACACTTCTCCATTCGCTCGCATGATCACCTCCGGCACCCTCCGCCTGCCCGAGTACCTCTGACCCGCGACACCACCGAAATCCCTCGACTCCTCCAAACTCAACCAGATCGCCTCTGCGCCTGTTGAACAGGCCTCTGGCCACCTGATCCAACCATCATGGTGTCTGCTGCAGCAACCTCTGCTGCCAACGGCACCGGCAGCGCAAATGCCAGCTCCAGAGCCTCGCCAGCCGTCGGAACCACCACCGCCTCCGCCAAATCGAAGGCCGCCCAGGTCAACTCCAACGGTTACCACCCGACGAACCCCCAGATCCCCCTGAGTTCTATGCGAAGTACACCCCTCGATCTGACCTCGGTCGAGCGAAGAGGCCAAGCGACCGCGATCAAGGAGCCCACCAAGAAGAAGTCACGCCCCCACGGCCTCGAAGATGCGCCTACATACTGCCCGACCGAGGAGGAGTGGAAGGACCCGATGGAGTACATCAAGAAGATCTCCCCTGAGGCCCAGAACTACGGTCTGTGCAAGATCATTCCTCCCGACTCGTGGAACCCAGAGTTCGCGATTGACACCGAGGTGGGTTGGCAATTCTCTAGCATCGATTGAGGGCGCGCTGCGTTACCGGCCCCAAGACGACGCTCTTTTCATGAGACGACGGTGCTGACAAGAATTACAGAGGTTCCACTTCAGGACGAGGAAACAGGAGTTGAACTCGGTCGAAGGAAGTGAGTCGCCGCGCTTGCGCTCCTCCGAGGCGACACTGACAGATGCAGGCACTCGAGCGAACATCTCGTACCTCGACGCGCTCGCCAAGTTCCACAGACAACAAGGCAACAATCTGCACCGTCTTCCCTATGTCGACAAGAAGCCTCTCGATCTGTATAGACTCAAGAAGGCAGTCGAGGCTCGCGGCGGCTTTGATAAGGTATGCAAGCTGAAGAAGTGGGCTGAGATTGGTCGTGATCTGGGTTACAGCGGCAAGATCATGTCTTCTCTCTCCACGTCTCTCAAGAACTCATACCAGAGGTGGCTTTGCCCGTACGAGGAGTATCTCCGTCTCGCCAAGCCTGGTGTCCACCAACAGCTCGAGCTTGAGAACGGCGGCCCGTACACGCCTAGCCCGGCTGTGACTCCGATGAAGCGTTCCAATGTGAACACGCCTTCAAGTGCACGCGCCGACTCGCCCGCTCGTCATGCCTCAGACGCCCTTCAGGCGAGCATCAACGGGCTCAAGAAGGAGGCTGACCGTGACACTCCCATGTCAGATGCGCCGCCCGCGCCAACTCCGGCGCCGGTAACCTCAGGATTTAGAGCCATCAACTCTGGCGGCTTCACTGCTGTGAACTCGGGGTTTACAAGTGTCAACCGGCCCACGCCTCAGAATGATGCGACAAGCACGCCTCAAAAGTCCTTCAGCCCGCTTAATTCCGCCAAGAACACCCCAGAGTACAGGCCCTCCAGTCTTGGACCTGCTGCCCTGAAGCGCCAGAAGTCCTGCGACAGTCTCAACTCCGCTAAGAAGGACGACAGCGCGGACAAGGACGACGCGGATAGCGGGAGCAGGCGTAGCAAAAGACTTAAGAAAGGTGAGTGGCTTCCCCTCATTTCTGCACAACCCCCGATCGGCAATCGTCCCATGTCAGGCCTACGTGCCCAACGTGTGCTGCCGTCCCGGCAGGCTCCGAATGCAATCAGCTATCATAGCTGCATGCGCCGTGCAGGGGGTTTGCCGTGTACTACGATGAATCAACCCAACTGCGGCAGACTGCCCCGGGTTTTCCACCGTCTACTGAGCATTTATTGGCTGCGTATCCTATGCTAACACATTTCCTTACAGATACCGTTCCCACAGTGGCCGGATCTCACATGTCCCTGTTCCGCCCATCGGTTCCCAGGATCCCCCGAGATGAGGCAGCAGCCCCCGGCGAGGTAAGTTGCGATCAATCGTCCCAACTGTTGTTTCAAGGCACCGCTGACCCCCCAGCAGAAATGCGAGCAATGCGGCAAGGCTGAAGAAGGAGGTCCCCTGATTGTTTGCGAATCGTGCGACCACGCCTATCACGGCACGTGCCTCGATCCTCCCCTCAAGCACAAGCCCGAATCCGAGTGGAACTGCCCCAGATGCCTGGTTGGCGACGGCCAATACGGCTTCGAAGAGGGTGGTCTGTATTCTCTCAAGCAATTCCAGCAGAAGGCGGCAGACTTCAAGCAGGGCTACTTCGAGAAGAAGATGCCATTCGACCCTGTTCTCAGCTGCCACCGTCCCGTCACCGAAGAGGATGTTGAGACCGAATTCTGGCGTCTCGTTGCCGATATTGAGGAGACCGTCGAAGTCGAGTATGGTGCCGACATTCACTGCACGACTCATGGTTCTGGCTTTCCCACCGTCGAGAAGCAGCCCAACAATCCTTACTCGACGGATCCGTGGAATCTCAACCTGCTGCCTCTCCACCCCGAGAGTTTGTTCAGGCATATCAAGTCAGACATCTCCGGCATGACTGTGCCATGGGTTTATGTTGGCATGATCTTCTCTACTTTCTGCTGGCACAACGAGGACCACTACGCCTACTCCGCCAACTATCAGCACTTTGGTGCCACCAAGACATGGTACGGCATCCCGGGTGAAGACGCGGAGAAATTCGAGGCCGCCATGCGCGAAGCTGTGCCTGAGCTCTTCGAGACCCAACCCGACCTTCTCTTCCAGCTGGTCACTCTTTTGACTCCTGAGCAACTGAAGAAAGCTGGCGTTCGAGTGTACGCCGTGGATCAGCGCGCAGGACAGTTCGTCATCACGTTTCCTCAAGCATACCACGCCGGCTTCAACCATGGCTTCAACTTTAACGAGGCGGTCAATTTCGCTCCTTGCGATTGGGAGCCTTTTGGTCTTGCTGGCGTCGAGAGGCTTCAGGTGTTTCGCAGACAGCCCTGCTTCTCGCATGATGAGCTATTGTGGACTGCCGCTGAGGGCACGACTAACGGCGGCCTCAACATCCAGACTGCGAAATGGCTCGCACCAGCACTAGAACGAATTAAGAAGCGTGAGGTAGCGACCCGGTCCGAGTTCAACGCCAAACATCTGGAGGCCCAGCATCACAACTGTGCCCTTGTCGATGGCAAGGGTGAAGGCAGTTGCCCGTTGAAGATTGAGATCAACGACGAAGACGTGCCCGAGGAGGAGTACCAGTGCTCTTACTGCAAGGCCTTCTCCTACTTTTCCCGATTCAAGTGTCTGAAATCCGGCAAGATCCTTTGCCTTGCGCACGCGGGTTACCAACCATGCTGCGAGATGACTGAATCGCAACGCTTCAACGGCGAGAGGCATGCCCTCATTCTCAGGCAGACTGAAGAGGACATCGAATACGCCTATGAAAAGGTTTTGGAGAAGGCCCGCACGCCGGAGGCGTGGGAGGAGAAGTACAATGCACTTCTGGAAGAGGAGGCAACCCCTCCTCTCAAGACTCTGCGGACTCTTTTACACGAGGGTGAGAAAATACCCCATGAACTGCCCTCACTCCCTTTGCTTCGGGAATTCGTCGAACGATGCAATGATTGGGTGGACGAGGCCACCAACTACATAGTCCGGAAGCAGCAAAACAGGCGCAAGAGCGAAAAGTCCATCATCAACCGGAAGAACTCGCTGGACCAGAAAGAAAAAGACGCGCGAAATGTTTCCAACGTGTATCGGTTGCTCAGCGAGGCAGAGCAAATAGGATTCGACTGTCCTGAGATTACCCAGCTGAGGGAGCGGGCTGAGGCCATCGAGGCCTTCCAGAAGAACGCAGCTAAAGAACTGGAACAGATCCACAGCGCAAACGTCGCAAACATCGAAGATCTACTTGAGGAAGGCAAGACTTTCAACGTGGATATGCCCGAGATCGACAGCCTCTCCCGCGTGCTGGAACAGCTCAAGTGGAACGAAAAGGCTAGGAACAACAGAGGCTCTACCTTGAACCTGAACGAAGTTCGCGAGCTTATCGAAGAGGGCAAGGTCCTGGAAATCCCGCCGTACAATGACCACTTGGCGTACTACATCGACCAAATGAATGCGGGACAACAGTGGGAGAAAAAGGCAAGGGAGTTGATCAACGCCGAGGTTGTTCATTATCCTCAGCTGGAGGCCTTGTCGATGCAGGTCCAGCAACTTTTCCTGCCTGTCTCATCCGAGACCTTGGCTGCTGTTGACCAAATCCTCTACAAGCAGAGAGAGGCCCACAAGCAGATCGTCGACTTGACTAACCGATCGCGTGACCCCGACATCCGCAATCGTCCCAAGTACGCGGAAGTCGCAGAGATCATGCGCAAGTTGGATGAACTTAACTCAAAGCCCAATGGCACGCTTGATCTTGAACGCGAGCAGAAGCGCCACGAGGATTGGATGAGAGAGGGCAAGAAGTTGTTCGGCAAAACCAATGCGCCCCTTCACATTCTCAAGAGTCACATGGATTACGTCCTCGAGCGCAATCAAGACTGTTTTGACATTGTCAATGATAAACCCCGTATGCCCGCGGAACCTGCCTCGAGAGAAGCCAGCCCGGACGGCAAGGTTCACCGGTGGGAAGATCCTCGATTCCGCGAGGTCTTTTGCATCTGCCGAAAGATCGAAGCTGGCATGATGATCGAGTGTGAGCTCTGCCATGAATGGTAAGAATCCCGACTGTGACTCTTTTGATCAGTGCTAACACATTCAGGTACCACGGCAAGTGTCTCAAGATTGCCCGTGGCAAGGTCAAGGATGAAGACAAGTACACCTGTCCAATCTGCGACTGGCGAGTCAAGATTCCAAGAGACGCTGCGCGCCCCAAGCTGGAAGAGTTGCTCGTTTGGTCCGATAAGATTCCAAGCCTGCCCTTCCAGCCCGAGGAAGAGGAGGTTTTGCAGAAGATCATCGACAATGCCCAAGACTTCCGGAACCACATTGCTGGGTACTGCAATCCTGTTGTGTCGACCGAGTCGGAAGCGGACACCCAGCGATTCTACTTGCGCAAGATTGAAGGCGCCGAGATCCTCCTCGCCTATGAGACCAACTTCTTCAGGCAGGAGCTGCATAAGTGGTGTCCCGTCGCGCCAAACCCACCCCCCGTTCTGGAAGTGTCCAAGAGCACCCGAAAGCCTCGTCCTACGAAGCTGCAGAAACTCCTGGCCCAATACGGTGTGGACGACCCCGAAGACCTTCCGGAGAACATGAAGGCCAAGGCCGCCAGTCTGAAGCGCAAGGCTCAAAACGCCGAGGCCGCTGCTGCGGCAGCGGCAGCCGCTGCGGCCGCTTCTGCCTCTGGCGCAACCGTCATTCCCGGCCTCCATCAGTCGTATAATCGCAAGTCGGAGCACTCGTCAGCTACGCCTCCTGGCACTTCTCACGGCAGCGCACACCGTCAATCCATTGGCAGCAAAGACGACCCCATGGATATTGACAGCGGCCCGACACTTCACCCTGGTCTCTTTGGTGGCCGCGGCCCTCAGCTTGTTGGCGACAATGCATCAATGTCCCTTGAAGAGCGCCTGCTCCAAGGCCAGGAAGATGGTCTTAACTTGCACACCGAGGCTGGGAAGAGTAAGGCTCTCGAGATCCTGCGCCGCACCGAAGTTGGTCGCAAGCGGGCTGTGGAAATGTTCGGCCCCGACGTGTTCAAGGGCGACGTTGGCATGTTGAACGGCAGGGAGGATGCCCCTCGGTCACGAGAGGACGAGGTGGCCGTCAACAGGATGTTTGACGATTTGACGAACCAAGACGACGAGAAGAAGGAGTCCTTTGACGGACCGATCACAGCCGAAAGCCTTGAGAGCGAGCGAAATGGCATGGACGCCTTGCTCGACGGCGATTAGGATTTGCGCGTTGCTCCTCCCCCGCCTCCTTCGCGGGTGCAATACCCCCTCTCTGAGTGCTACCGCCCGGTATTTCGTTAGTGACGCACTGGACTGGCATTGGCGTCGGGTGGCATTTGTTATTCGGGAGTTTTTTGTTTCAGGCGGAGAAAATCTGTATGATCAGGAGTCCCAAGGGTACGGCATACCACTTTGCATTAGATTAAGAGGCGTTTGAGATGCAAGATGCATCAGTTAGTTGGCGAGCTTTAGTTGTTCTTTGAGTGCTCAGAAAAGTTCCGACATCGAAAAGTAATGCGTTATAATGGGACCTCAACTTGGCGGTCCCGAGAATTGACATTTTATTCTCCAGTTTATGCTTGACAGGATGATGTTCAATACTTTTGTGGCGGTGAAGAACCATCGATTGGCTTGGCTACCCTCGGTTGAACTCTAGCAGTTGCATCTGTTCAAGGCTTGCAAACGGGTGAAGGGTCGAAGATGCGGCAGGCCTTAGCGTACAAAGAGAAAAGACACAAATAAACAAGATAATGGTTGAAAACTGATAACGGAAAGCTGGGTGACTGCATCACGAAGAGGACAAAGGAGTTGACGGACGAAACTGGGCCGGTTTGCAAGGCTACCTGAGGCAACAATTGAGCACCGTCTTCAATAAACCAGCTGGGTTCAGTCGCCCGGCTAGCTCAATCGGTAGAGCGTGAGACTCTTAATCTCAAGGTTGTGGGTTCGACCCCCACGTCGGGCTCAATTCCCGTCAGCGATTGGCATTCAGCGTTCCTTTTTGGCACTTTTCTTGAGTTGCTTCCTCGGTGAGATTAAGTGAAGAATGAAGCTCTGAAGATATTTTTTTGCGCGCTGATGGTAGGTATAAAGGGAGGGATTTGAAGCAAGGCTTTAGAAGTACTGAGACGACAATCATCTCAATGCCATACCCCAGGACGAATGGAGAAAGTGGTGAGGGGTTAGGAGCATGGGATGAGACGCGTTAGGAACTCAGGAAGAGTTTCTTTAAGTAGTGACCGACGATGTGTGCTCCTTGCTCTTCTCTGTCCCGACCTGCCGGCGTCTCCTGTATATTCCGTGAGAAACAGGAGGGGCCGTGGGTGCGGTGGTGATGTCTGGATAGAGCACGCTGACGGGCCTTTGGTGGTATGCAGGTGGCCTCGTCGTGAAGGCTGGTCTGCGGCGTTGCCTAATGTTTCTCGAAAGAACGTGTCTTTTACACTAATCGTCTGAAGCAAGAAAAGCCTCGGGGAATGGGAGGGGAGTATATAGCATCACATAGAATGAGGTCGACCAAGCCGGAGGATAATGCTCATTTTGTCGGTCGGGACTTTTACGGCGTATGTAGCGCGCTGCTGTTGATGAGTATAAAAAAGCGGGACTGGTACTGGGCAGTGAGCTCTCCATTCTGCAGACAAAATGAAACAGGTTGGTGAATAGCATCTTGTTTTATGTGCGAGGCACCGGGCTAGAATTTCTGTCTGTGTGCGTTGGACAGTCGACGTTGTTCTTTCCCTCTGGCGATGGTGCTGCCTTCCGGCGCCGATGGTCATCGGCGCCCGCTACTTATTCCGACCACACGCAGTTCGATGTTGGTGAAGCCAGTGCGTACGATGCCGGGTTTGATTTTCCGCCTGGTGCGCTTGCGAACGACCCATAATCTGTGTAGACTTAGTCGATCAACTATCAGGTGAATCGATTTGAAGAGCAGGACAGCCCCGTCTTTAACGTTGGTTATCTGTAGTTCTGCTGTGTGCTCTTCGACCTCCAGCTGCCCGCCCTGGCTTCGGCCAGCGTACGACGCTATATAGGACGCGCGCATCTGATCCCTAAGGAACTCAACAACCAGAACAATGAACTCTATTGACTTGATAGTACGGATGGTAAAGTTCGTGCCTATGTGCCTGGATGGACGCAAGAAGCATCTGCTTCCTCGGCCGCCTACTTAGTCGGGTCGATGATGCTTTTAATGCGACCAGGTACTGGCGTCGTCCGCCATGGCTACCGTCCTTTGCATATTGCAAGTCATGGGGAACGTGGTAACAAAGTAGATCAAGCCAGGGAGTAGATGTCTGTCGAAATGCTCATCCACAGTGTTCCGCCTGACATCTCAAGTCTTCGCTCGAACGCCCCATGAAAAGCTCATAATCAAAATTTACCACTATCTGGCGTGCACAATTCGAGCTTGGGCACGACAGGTAGAATATTTATAAATAGTCATGGCATGGCGATGCGTTTCTCTGGTAGCGGCGGGTTCGTCGAACGGTAGCCACAGCCCATAATTTGATAGGAGCTCCGCGAGCGTGGTAGGTATTTCTACAGATCCGCCACCGGTGTTGAATGCCCGTCACAATGAAGCCGATGGTTCTTGCGATGCCACTGAATAGGATCGAAGACATCAGTTGCCATCCACAAAGTCGATGTTCATCGCGAGCGATACTTCCTCCAGAGATGTCCGGAAGCCATGCTCGCGACAGGTCTACCACCGGCAGTGCTCTTTCCCGTTTATCCGGCCCGGAATACGAGACAGGCGACGATAGCTGCGACTTCGCGCCGGAGAATCGGTGCTCTTGGATTATGGATAAATCATTTTCCTGGTGCAAGGGTCGGTAAATTCGGACATGGCATTTCGGACGTCGCGAAGGACGACACGGGGAGAGCTTATTGGGTTGGTCTGAGGGCAGACAAATGTCCCGAGTGCAAGTGATTTTATACGTATTGCCTGCGAACCTCTTCGTCGTCGTTCGGAGACGCGTTGGATCTAGCGCCTGCCGTACGCTGTCCTAAAATTCCCGTGGGCAAACATGGCACGAGGTAATCGCGACAAGCGCAAGCAGTGATCGTTGACAAGGATCGCATACCGCCGACGACTCGGCTACAGCATGGAGCGCACATCACAATAAGGTCATCAGGCGAAAGTATGTAGATACCCATAAATGAAACGGTTTCCAGACGGGATTCAACCAGAACCGAGATCAACGAAAGGATCCATTCCCAGAATTACTCTCTGGTCCCCCCATAGCCCAAAGGCTTACCAACAGCGTCTTTCATCAGCTCCAACCCTTCCCAAGGGAAGAGCCATCGCCATTAGGTGTACTGCGGCGGGCGGCCATTATCTATCTGAGGAGAGAAAAAGAAGAAGAAAGGGAAAAGAACTTCTCCAGGTCGCCGGCGTTTTGAGGCACTGCCAGAATTTTTTCGGATGGCCCGTGCTTCGATGCGTGCTTAGCTAAGAGCGATCCACCCGCCTTGAGAACCTTCCGATGGCCAGGGATCACGTGGGCACTGCAGCTTAGGAAGTAGTCTGCGCTGATTGGTCGATCGCAGCCGAAAAGCCGAGGGGATTCCCGTGTCTGGTCGGGTTCCACTGGAGCGCCTGGCTGCTGCTGCCATTGAATCCTTGGGTGTGTGTCTGTGGGAAAGCTTGACATCAACACTTTTTTGCAACCTCACCCACGCCGAGCCGCTCCAATCCCCCGCGAAACGAACCACCCGCGACCGCGACCCGAACTCCGATCTTTAGAATAACGAAACGACTCGAGTACATTCAGCCAACATGATTGCGCAGCGGGTGGGCGTGTCGGCCCTGCGCCGAGGTGCGTTTACATCATTGAAGTTCCCTACGGGGTAGTTCGAGAGGAACGGGAAACGCTGACGATGGCAATTGGCATAACAGCGGCAGGAAAGCCTTCCGTCTTCTTCAACTCTCAGATCCCCAAGGCCGTCGTCGCCTCCAGCATGTCCACGGCGCAGATCCGGTACGCAAACTACTCCCCCGTCGACAATCCCTCGAAACTATTCCCTCAACCTGAGCCTGGAACCTTAAAACCTCCAAGACATCATACATGTGATTCCCACGAACCACGATGCTAACCTCCCTCCCCAACAGCCCCGTCGCAACCGCCAAGGTCTCCGTCGCCGACGGCAACGAGATCCTCGCCAAGCAGCGCCTGCACCGCCCCATCTCCCCGCACCTGACAATCTACAAGATGGAGCAGACGTGGTTCGGCGCCTCCATCTGGACGCGCATCACCGGCGGCGGCCTCTCCGCCGCCTTCTACGTCTACTTCGGCACCTACCTCGTCGCGCCGCTGCTCGGCTGGCACGTCGAGGCCGCCTCCCTCGTCTCCGCCGCCGCCGCGGCGCCCGTCGCCCTCAAGGCCGGCCTCAAGTTCCTCGTCGCCTGGCCCTTCACCTTCCACTTCTTCAACGGCATCCGCCACCTGACGTACGACTTCGCGCTCGGCTTCGCCAAGCCTGAGATCAACAAGTGGGGCTGGGTTATCTGGTCCACGTCGCTTGTGTCGGCGCTCGGTCTGGCTTTTGCGTGGTAGAGGGGGGTTGATTGCTTAGGTATGGGGTTTGGGAAGAGCGGATGGAGAGTGGGTAATCGGCGACGAGGAGAGAGACACTGGGGAGAGGAAAGTGTATCTGTGTGTTGATGGTGGGAGACGGCGATTGGAGTTCTGATCGGATGGCACTCTGCTGGAAGATTGTCTGGCGCAAGGCCCTCCCCCCTCGGCTTAAGGCGGGGGGATTGTATAGACTGGAAGCTGTAAAATGAGTTCCCTTGAGTATCAAACAAGTTAATCCATTGTTCCCGTTCACAAAACATGCAAGTATTAGTGGCACGCAATCAGCTCCGAAGTTCGGAGGGTGAGAGCAGCAGGACGGACGTGGAGAGACCTGTGATCAATTATCTACATCAGGTCGCAAACTAAAGTGGTATGCCTCCTAATCCTGTTTTACCATGTCCAGCCCAAACGCCGATGCGCCTCCCAGATATTTAATCACTCGAATGTACCCTCACATTGATCTCGGGGTCATCGGTTGACCGCACACCACATATCGATCCTATTCGATGTTTCGGGCATCCAGGATCTGCCGGATCACCCTCGAGTTTCCTGAGCTGAGCACGCGAGCGCCAAGAATGGGGCCGATAAACTCGTTGAGCTCGGTGGCGTAGTTGTCGACGCTGCCGTTCACCCCGTTGACGGGAGTCTTGTCGCTCTCGGCCATGGTGCTGATCGCTTTCAGAATGCCACCGACCAGCATCTCAAAGTCGATCCCCTCGCCCTTCTCCTTCAACGGCTGGAGGATGTTGTCGTGGTACGCCCTCAGACACTTAAGCACAAGCACCCGCACCGCCTCAGGACCGCCAGCTGACGCGACACCAGAAATGGCGCCAAAGTGCGCAGCGGGAGGCTTATCCGGGTCCATGAAGAACTTCAGACACGTGCGCACGAGCTTGGGTCTGAGGAGGTTGTTGGAGGCCGAGTACTTCCGCGCGATCTCGCCGAGCAGCGATGCCGAGAACTCGCGTAGCTTGTACTGTTCCTTCACCGCATCAGAGCCGTCCTCGGCGCCGATCTTGCGGCTGAGGATGCAGGTCAACACGGGGGCGGCGATGGAGTTGGCGTAGGGGTCGAGGAAGAGCTTCTTGTTTTGGATGAGGGCCAGCGTCAGCTCCATGGACTGGCGGAGGATGAAGACATCGTCGAGGCGGTGGGTGACTTGGTTCGCGACGAAGTTGATAAAGTAGGGGATCAGCTGGTGCAGACCGGGGTCGTCGCGGACGGAGGCAAGAGCGGCCTGGCGGAGACGCCCAACTTCCTCGTCCGGGTTGTCGTCAAGGATAGCGTTCTGGACCTTTTCGAAGTAGAGGATGAGTTCCTTAGAAACAACGTGCTTGACGGCGGGTCGGAAAGAGATGGAGTCGTTGCCGGCAAGGGCGGCCAGGGCGGGGTTAGCACCGGGGCCCTTGGGGACGAGTTCTTGTGATCGGGATTCGGCTGTCGTCGGGTTCTGGGGGATGGATGGTTGTACGCCTTCGATTGCGAGCCAGTGGGCTGTAATTACAGAGTAAGCTGGAGTCGGCACATATACAAAGAGGAAGGCGCACCTGTAAAGCTCATGTCGCGCGGCACCTTGGGCAGGGGCGCGTTGATGAGCTTCTCGAAATCGACCTCCTCGTCCTCAATGTAGAACAGCGGTTGGCCGGGGCCGAGGCTAGCCTCGCCGAATCGCAGCGGACGCGTCGAGTCGTATCCGTACAAAGGTTCGATGTTAAGAACTTTGAGGGCGGTACTGATGTCGTTGACGGTCAGAGTGGTACGGCGGGCAGCGCGCATGAAGCGCAGGGCCTCGACGAGGACCTGGCCGATTCGGTACTCGACATCCTGGGTGAGGCAGCGCAGAGCGTCGTCGTTGAGGTTCGGGATGCCGACGGACTCGGCGACGTCTTTGACGTTGTCGGGATTCCACAGGAGCTTTGGCGTGTCTTGGGCCGCCATCGCGTCGCTTGTTTTGGGGTGGTTCGACGGGTGGTGAGGTTGCGACGAAGCGCCGTTCGAGATGCGGAATTGAAGTTGGACGCGAGGCTGAAAAGTTGGGGTACCTTCCACTGACGAGGTGTGGTGGAGACCCCTAGCTGCGGAAGCTACAGTGGACGGGGTACCCTACACTTGACGTGGAAGTGCCTGACGGGGTCGCACCTGCCCAAAGTTCCTGCATGTTTAGTGGGTAATCTGCATTCACGACTCAATTTTGATAATGGAAAGCTCATGCTGGCAACACAGCTCTGCCTTCTCACCATTCAAATGGGACTTTCTGATTCATCAATGTATCTCCCGGCGAGGATGAATTCCGTCGCATTTCTTTGCTCGATATTGGGTGTCGCGCACCAGGCCAGATGGACAACAAGGTCGGGCATCCGTACACTTGCCGTCGACACCCTCGGCAATGGGCTCGAGACTCGGGTTTCTCACACGCTGCTCTTTCATTTGAAGATGTGATGGGATTTGTCATGAAGTCATTCTACCCAAATATGGAAGATTGATCCATATCATGAGAACATCGGATCAGCCTTCATGGCAAAGCCAACTAAGGTATGTATGGCATCTGTGGAGAACATGGGGCTTGGGGCTTGCGGCACCGAGACCAAGATGACCAAAAAGTCGGGTCATTGCAGCTCGGAATCGCTCGAAAAGAACGTTTGGGTGTTTTCTCTGCTTTAACGACTCCTAAGTAATATCTCTGCTATGCCAAAAAGGGCAGTTCAAGGTCACCTGGCCGTCAAGTAAAGGGGGGCTTAGCTGGGCTTCTTGAGCCTCAACTCCGCAAACCAGTTTATGGGTTGTCTGCATCTGACCAAGACTGTTTGACAAGATACGAGGCGGTTTGCAAGAGCCATGGCCAATGATAACCGAACTTGTATGACACGGTACGACCTATACCTGATGAAGCACCAGGCTTCGATGGCTGGATATTATAAGGATTTCGGCCCCGTGGATCATGATACCGTCTACGTCTCTGATTTCCCCATTATCAACATAATCAATCAGCTCCTCCTTTCATCGTCGTCAACCATGAGGGTCACTTCTTTGGCCGCCAGGGCCGATTCCAACGACCCCAAGGATTCCAAGAATTCCAAAGGAGGCAAAAAGGGCAGCTCGGCGGGAGTCAAGTCAGCCGGCGATGGTCTTCCTTCAAACGCCAAACCAGCGGGTCAGTACCAGTCTAGCTATGACAAATGGATGGGCCAGGGAAACATTGCCTTATATGATACCTTATCTGGCGGCACATCTGGCACAGAAGAGCTTCCTCCTATTCCGGCGGAGTGGATCATCGCCCCGAAGAGCAACAACAGCGTGTTAGACGGCCGATGCCCAACCATAGACCAAACCACCAACTCTTTTCTTATCTCAGATGCCGTGTCTGGATTCGTCGCAATTTTCATCTGCTGCAGGCCGATTCTCAAGAAGATTACTTTTGGATTCTTCGGCAAACTTCCTAACAAAGACTCTCGATGTTGCAGCTCTGTGTGGTACTCATGGCTGGTAAGCTTCTTGATGACGTTTCTAGGGAATCTCTTCGCCAGTCTCGTCGTTAAACGCACCGATGGATACGACCACTTGTATTTCGCAACTATCTTTGCGTTGTATACGTCCCGTCCTCGCATAAACTTGGCTCTTGTGGCGCTGCTCCGAGTTTTTATTACCGTACCAACGAGTGACTGGTCCAGCTATATGGCAGCTCAGAAGGAGAAGGAGAGGGAGAAGGAGAAAGAGAAAGAACAAGGTACAAAGCCCTCCAGTCCTCGCGTAAACTTGGGCCATGAGTTTCTGTTCCAATTCTTTGTTACTATGCAACCGAGAAATTGGTCCAGCTACCTGCCAACCAATAAGGGAAAGGAGAAAGAAGAACATAGTACGGGGCCCTCCGGACTTTTGCTCGCAGCTGCAGACAATAGCGGCGATGAAAGTGCCTCTGATACAGACGACACCATGGAACCATTGGAGAGGGAATACGTCTATCTCGACTTTTACCGCAGTACCTTTGTAGCTGAGATGGTACTCAACATCATCGCTGCTGTCTTTGTGGGGGACACCTGGAAGCGTTTTCCCAATGAGGACATCAAAAAGCATATGAAGTTCCAAGTGTCCTCGATGTATTATGCACCAATCGTCTTGGCCGTCACTGCCGTGTTCGCCATACCATTGTGGTGGAGAAGAAACAAACGTGTGGACCAGATATCCTTAAGGGGACTGTTTGGAGTTGGGCTTTTTGCCACTGCGTACGGAATACCCTGGGTCTATTGGTGCGGGTTCTTACAACTTCCCGGGTCATTGTAAGTTCCCCGACTGCGTTCTTAGTCTGCTTCAGCTCGTACAGATTAAACGGTAGTCGAAGGCTAGGGAATATGAGCTGATATTACCCTAGATGGTGTCCGCCCAAGCTTCCTATCCAGACAAGCGTCTGGACCGCCTTCTCCGTCATTGGTAGGTGTCCACTATCCAGGATATTTTGCCGGAGTAAATATTGACGAATATAGGAAACCTTTTGGCCTTGTGATACATAAGCTCGACCAGCGTCCAAAACGACCCGAGGTCGCCATTGTGAGCCATGTGGAAGGTTGACGGTGTATCGATGACATCTCAAAATGTTTGAAGAAGAAAAGGAGTACTAAGTTGAAGGCTCTGGGTATCTTATCTAAATGCTGTCAAAAAAACACGGTCACAATCATGAAGCTCTATACTCTCCGCTCTCCATCAGTTATGTTCAACCCCTCTTCGCGACTCCTTGACCTCGGCCCAACCAGGTCATCCATGCTGACCCCTTTGTCCTCGCCCTGTCCAACCTTTTCATGCATATGCAGCCTTTCCAGTCCCATGATGGTCCAGACCACAACCCCAAGAATAGCAAACTCCATCAAGACAGTCATGCCAAGATACGTCGCCGTATCCCCCTTCACAGCGCTAAACTTATCGTCTCCAGTACTGACGTACGATATCGTATACGCAATGCGGACGACCATGAATGGGAAAGAGGCCCCAAAGCCAATCATGGACCTCTTCTCGCCTTCGGGAACCAATTTCCACTTCTGCGCCAGCCAGACGTAAAGAAGGACCCCCCAGAAATAGAGCGCGGCAAAGAGGCCCACCCCAGCCTTGGTCAGCGACCCGGGCGCCATGGCGTTTTCCTTCTTCTTGCTGGCGACGACATAGTCGGCGATGGATATAGCGAGGCCGGCCCAGCAGATGAGCTCCGGGATGCGGAAGTGCCAGGGCGTGAGGACCTGGACGAAGTGGTTTCTGGAAACAGTCCCTAGTCAGCCCCCAAGCCAAGGGTTGTCATTCGCCAAGGGCAGACGAGCAACTTACACTCTTTTCAACAGGTCCAACAACACAAATGTGAGAAGTACCAGACCCAAGGATTCGCAGACAAAAATGGTCGCCCAGAGACCCGTCGAGCTGTTGAACATGGTGCCGAGCATGCAGCCCGCGCCGACGATGCGTATCGTTGAGATGAAGGAGATTCCGAACCAGCCCATCCTCTTTTGGAATTTGAAGAGGATGCCGAAGACGAGGAAGACGGAGAAGACGGCGATTTGAGCGATTGCGACGCCGTCGCGGAAGCGGAACGCGCGCTCTGCCATTGTGTGTGACTTTGGTGTAAGTGAAGAACCGTCTATGTATTTCTAGGGGATCGAGAATGATGTTTACGTATGTGTCGGCAATGTAATGTTTCCAATCAATCGTGGTTTCTTCATGTAAAATGCTAACGAGAAGTAAACCATGCTCCAAGTTATTCAAGAACCGATCGCCTGGACGGGAGACCTCCCATCACTGCCACTCGGAGGGGCAGATCGGGTGTGGACCCCTTGATCCTTCGGCGCCCGGAGGCAGCTTGTGCCCCACAGAATTGGATTAAGCGAGTGCGAACGCCGGGGTTTCGGGTGCGAGAGCGTGTATCTCGTCCAATGAGACCGCCGCGGGGGATCTGTCGGACAGCGGACTGAATCCTGCACCTCAGCCTTGCTGACGAGATCTGCGTGGCTGTTATTGTACCAAGTCTTGGCCCAGTAGGCATGAGGAAGTCCCGTAAGATTGGGTGCGTTGTGATGTTGCCAAGTCCTACTTTAGGCGCCAAAGCCCCACTAGCTGGCAATGGCTGCGGTGATGAACAAATTGATCGAGAGTAGGCGGAGGCAGCATAAAAACTCGAACCCTTATTGGAGATACGACTAATAGTTGAGCTGAGAGGGAATAGAAAACGAAACAGTAAATTCAGACTGTGTGGCAGGGTTTGGTCCTCAAGAGCAATGCCTCCCTCAAGTCTATTCTCCTGTCATCGCAAGTTTGAGATGAACCTTCATCCGAATGAAACTACAAATCCATCTACATCGTGAACCAAACACACGAACAGTCGTTTGCCTGGCGATCTCTGCTGGATTAAGCATAATGCGCAGTAAACTGTGGCAGCAGGCCCCGAGTGTCACTGTCCAGCCCCGAATGCCCAGCCAGGGCGCCACGCGCTGCATGCTCAACTCAGCTAATGCGGTGGCACTTTAAGCTTGTTGCCTGTTAATCCCGTCACAGCCACACTCGCAATCTTCTTGTCATTAGTGGCGGTGAGAATGTGCCTTCGCACCAGCTTAACTGGAGCTGGCAATGCTTACTGACGGCGAGTTAACTCGCCGAATCCTTGCCCGATACAGCTCCAAGCCGCACACGGCAATCCCGGCACCTGTCCCGGGACCGATCCAGGCCCCACCCAACAAGTCTTCGGAGGACCGAAGAATCTTTTTCATCTCGGTCCTCGGTGCTAATCCTATTAGTGCTGTTGGGATTTTCGAGAAAACAGGAACGTTCCTTTCGTCTTAGCCTGATTGAAGGGACCCTAGTTACCATAGCGAATTTGAAACACTGGCTACACGAGTCTTTTTTCCTTCTGTCCCCATTCGCCCTGATGGCTTGCCCCGCATTCACTTCTCGCCGACGCATGCAACCTCGAAATGAAGCCATCCATCCAGCCCCGCCATGCCCTGCCCTACCCACCCACACGCCGCCTAACATTCATATTCTTCATTTCCGCCGCAGACCTCAACAATCGCTGGTTTCGTGGTGTAGTTGGTTATCACGTCAGTCTAACACACTGAAGGTCTCCGGTTCAAGTCCGGGCGAAATCAACCCTTGGGCGAATGGGTTAGTGGTATAATACTCGCTTAGCATGTGAGTGGTCCAGGGTTCGATTCCCTGTTCGTCCAGATCTTTTGCTTTTGAGTGTAAAAGAAGCTTTTCTAAGCTGTTCTCTTCGTTTTTGACACTTGGGAGAAGGCTTCGGACGCTTGGATGGCTGCGGTGTGGCATTTTTTGCCCGGGTGGACCTACTGCAGTATCCCCGAAAACGCCGGTCAGCAGGCCCGCTCCCGCCCGGCCCCTCCTAACTCTCATCAGCGTTCGCGGGAGAGGTTGTCTTCTCTCTTCTGGAACGAGATCAATAGATTTCGGCATGGACTTTGAGATTTTGTTTTGCAGAATCATATGACAATCCCACCGCCAAAGACGTTGAATATCGAAAATTTTGACATCATGCTTGGCGATGTATGGGAACCCAGTGACGTCTGGACCGGCATCTCCGACCAGAGCCGGAGGAAGAAGCTGCAAAACAAGCTCAATCAGCGTGCTTACCGTTAGTGAATACCAGAACGTCGTCGTTTTCACATTTCTTACTCCAAAGCAGGTAGAAGAAGGAAACAACCCATCGTAGACTGCGATGACCACGACCTGTCGCTGTCAGCTCCAGGCCAAGACAGTATCTTACCAACGCTCCTCGGCGGATGTGCGCTCATAAGATGCCCACAAAGGCTTTCTCTTGCCCAAAGCCGCGCCAAAGAATTATACGAGGGCTACTCACTCCACGCGTCGCGGCCCTCGGCACTGCACGTCCTCGTCCGCCTGCGCGTCCTCGCAGCCCTAGCCCACAACGCCGCCGCCATGGGGTTTCCCCCGCAAGGCCTCTGCCGCGATGACTTCATTTCTCCATACAATTTGAGCGGACCTCTCGAGCTAGAGAACTTTGATTTGACGACGCCCGGCCGCGAGAGCCTTCGTCCGACGCACCTCCAGAGGACAGTCCTTCACCACCCCTGGATCGACCTCTTCCCGTTCCCCGTCTTCCGAGACGACGTGCTGCTTGCGATGGAGTCTGGGTTGGTGGATGACGATCAGCTGTGTGCTGATATCCTCGAGGTGAAGGATGAAGACTTGGCTGGCAGGCCGTCGCTCATCGTCTGGGGCCAGTCGTGGGATTGTATGGCGTGGGAGGCGAACGAGGCCTTCTTTCGGAAATGGGGGTTCTTGACGCGGGGGTGCCCTGAGATGCTGGAGGCGACTAATTATTGGAGATCTAGGCGAGGGGAAAGAAGAATCGTGTGTGAAGTATGACGTATGTCTTATCATAGGCTGAAGGTGAAGAAATATGTGCCATGTTACGAGCGGGTAAACAATGCAACTGCAAACGCCGTCTTTTGCACGCTGGGCTACTTAAGGCCAAGACAGTAACAAGTCGGCCAAGCTGAGGCGAGTAAGTTCCATGATCTCAAGGTTCTCATAAGATACAAGTCGTTCTAGTGACGGGACACCCATGTCCCGGGATGTCAGCAACCTTCCTTATCTCCAGATGCGGGGCCGGGGCGGCGGGACGGCGCTAATGCGCTTGGATTATTTTGTGGGCCACCCGGAGCTGGCCCCGGACATCGATCTGTGCTCGCAGCATCCGGGTGTAATGCGTAGATGCCGTCAAGTTTCGTACCGAGACCGAGTCAACGGCCACGAAGGTCTGAACGAAGCTGGTCACCATGTATAAATATGAAGCACTGGAGGAACCCTTCTATCCTGGAGCTTCGTCTTTCATCCAGCCGCTCTTCAAAGCACTCTGATCTACTTTGCAGACAAACTCAAGATTACACTCGAAATCTCACAATGACGGAACCATCAATGAAATACGTCCGGTAAATACTCTCACGACCTTCTTCACAGTGAGAAAATCACTAATAGGTCGCGTCCTTCCAGCGTGGGCAAGTCCGGCCTCAAGGTGTCCCAGATCATCCTCGGCTGCATGAGCTTCGGCGACAAGAACTGGCAACCATGGCTCCTCGACCAGGCCGAGGCTCTCCCCATCCTCAAGCACGCCTTCGACCGGGGCATCAACGCCTGGGACGTTGCCGACACCTACTCGAACGGCCGGTCCGAGGAGATCGTCGGCGCCGCCATCCGGGAGTACAACATCCCGCGCTCGAAGCTCGTTGTCATGTCCAAGTGCTTCCAGTTCGTCGACGACGCGCGGGGCCCCATCGACCCGGCCACCCTGACCAGCAACGACGGCCCGCGCGTCAACCAGGTCGGGCTGTCGCGGAAGCACATCCTCGACGCCGTGGACCGCAGCGTCGAGAGGCTGGGGACGCATATCGACGTGCTGCAGATCCATCGCATGGATCGGGATGTGTCGCCGGAGGAGATTATGAAGGCGCTGAATGATGTTGTGGAGAGTGGGAAAGTGCGGTATATTGGTGCTAGTTCGGTCAGTCTTCACATCTCTACTTACCTGGACAATCTCCAACCATCCATTGTGGCAATCGCTGACTAGCAGATAAACAGATGGCAGCATGGGAGTTCCAGATGCTCCAGAACGTCGCGAAGCAGAACGGCTGGCACCAGATCATCTCCATGCAAGGCCTCTACAACCTCCTCTACCGCGAGGAGGAGCGCGAGATGAACCCGTACTGCAACGCCGCCAGCGTCGGCCTCTTCCCGTGGTCGCCCCTCGCCGCCGGCGTCCTCGCGCACCCGTGGACCGACCGCTCCGACCCCAGAGAGCAGAAGGACCCGTTCCTCCAGATGCTCTTCCGCGGCGTCGAGAACGGCGCCGACAGGGCGATTGTCGGACGGGTGGAGGAGCTCGCAGCAAAGAAGGGGGTCGCGATGGCCCAGATTGCGCAGGCGTGGCTGATTTCGAAGGGGTGCATGCCGGTTTGCGGGCTGGAGACGCGGGAGAGGATTGACCAGGCCCTCGGGGCGTTGGAGGTGAAGTTGAGCGAGGAGGAGGTGCAGTATCTTGAAGAAATGTATGTTCCGAAATTGCCCATGCCGTTTTAGAAGTGGAGGAGGTCTGGAGCGGTAAGCTGTGGCTTGGAATAAGCACTGGCTCGGCTAGATCTGATCGATGTCCTTTGAACGAGATCGACTTGGCACTCGAAGAATTCTTAACAACCACAATGGGCGAAATTTTACAACCGCCACAAATACAGGAGGCCCAGGTCCCACCAGCTCAGATGTCTTGGGGACGTGTATGTTCATGCTTGAAGATGAGGGGTTACCAATTACCGAATGCACGATCAACTGAAAAAAGAAACAACCCTTCCAGCTACCAGGAAGATCATTTGGCGCTATCTCTAGCGTGGCCAAGGAAGTGACACACTTCTCCAAATGCAGCCGACCATTCGCCCGCTTAGATACGATCCCGTCCCAAAGCAATGAGTCGATGACAGTCTGGAACCCGGGCTCCGGTTGGGCTAACAGCAGCTCCTCGGCTGCAAATGGCTGATGGGAATATGGCATTCTGACGCCATGGCGTCGACCAGTAGCCCGTCTGCTCCCTGGAGATGCTAGGTGGCAGCCATCGTTGCGGTCGCATTTCAGCCGCACGATGCCATCGCGACCCTCATAAACTGATGCAGAGCTCGACTTTTCGGTTACTAATTACGTGGTTTTAGACCTTTGGAGACTCTCAAAGCTTGGGATAGACAAGATCAGCGATTTGACAGTCATGGAGAGTTCGAGTGCGCAGGGCGGGGCCGACGGCCGGGTCGCACCGGCGTGGGACGGCGATGCGCCGTCTGAGTACCCGGCGGGACAAGACGACGTGCCACGAACGAGCATAACGTCTTTCACGGAGCAGGACGAGGTGGAATCTACGCATGTGCCGAGTACGTCTGCGTCGTCTGTCGAGCTCAGCATCGACTCGGACATGAGCGACGCCGACTCGGCTCTAGGGATTGATGGGGGACGGGCTTCGTCGTCTGCGTCGGTCGCTTCGAGTCTTTACCGCTTCGTCGAGGAGTTTGGTCGGACGTATCATAGGTATAAGGAAGGGAGTAAGTGTCGTTCGATCTTATCGATGTGGGAATGCCCGCTGACGTTGAGAAGAGTACTTTCTCCCCAACGATGAGGTATGACAAGTCTCGGCTGAGAACATCTCCATCTTCATCACGCCGACTTCTGACATGCGATATGCTGCAGCAAGAGCAAGGCCGTCTAGACCTGCAACACGCCATCGCCCTCCGCATTCTCGACGGGAACCTCGGGCTGGCGCCCGTGGACAAGCCGCACCGGGTGCTCGACATCGGCACGGGGACAGGGATCTGGGCCATCGAGTTCGCCGACCAGAACCCCGAGTCGGAGGTGCTCGGGAGCGATTTGAGCCCGATCCAGCCCGAGTACGTGCCCGCAAACTGCCGCTTCGAGATCGACGACGCCGAGGACGAGTGGACGTACGGGCAAAAGTTCGACTACGTCCACGGCCGCTACATGTGCACGTCCATCTTTGACTTTCCCAAGCTGTTTGGCCAGATCTACGACAGCCTCAACCCGGGCGGCTGGGTCGAGTTCCAGGAGACGGTGATTGACTTCCAGGCCGTCGACGAGACGCTGGAGGGCACGGCACTTCGGCGGTGGAACGACCACCTGCTGGAGGGCATCCGCCGGGCCGGGCGCGATGCGTTGTCGCCGTTTGGGTTCGCGGCGAAGATGATTGACGCGGGTTTCAAGAACGTCCAGCAGAGGAAATTCGCGGTGCCGTCTACGCCGTGGGCCCGGGGGCGGAACCAGAAGATTCTCGGCGCGATGCAGATGACCAACAACCTCGAGGGCGTTCAGGGCATCACGATGAAGATCTTTACGCAGGTGCTGGGCTGGACCCGGGAGGAAGCTGAACTGCTGCTGGTTGATGTGCGAAGGGATATGGCGGATAGGAACATCCACGCATATCTCACGATGTGAGTTTTTCTTTCCGATAACCTCGCGGTAACGAGCTGACCATATGAAGTATGGCTGTCTGGGGCCAAAAGCCGCACGAAGGGGAAGAGAATGCCGCCACGTCGTGATTTGAGTAGCCCGGAAGAATGTTTTAATCGTTGTGTATATCCAGCACGGAGGTTGAAGTTACGCTTTCGTCGCATCTTGTTGGTGTTGAACTCCGCCAGTTGCGGAGTTCATCTTGTTCGTTCTCGGGTCGCGATTCCCGTTGTGATAGCTGTCATCCGAAGAGTATCTAGATGAAATGTATGCACGACACGAATCATGCCCTGATGATCGTGAGAAAAGCGAGGGAGACCACTGAGAGCGAGTAACATGATCCCGCAATAACGGTAATATTACACTGCGCAATGCATGCTTGCTTAGAAAAGAGAACAAAGATGCCGAGGCCGTTGTGCTAAAGATCCACACTTGATGGCGGCCTTGAAACCGATAATGATGGTCTCCCCGTGCCAAGTGTTCCGATGGATCGGCGAATGCGTGCCGGGAGCGGCATCAAATCCGCGGGGGAACGGAACATGGGCTGCTTTTCGAAGAATTTCTAGGCCACAGATCGTCGGCGTTATGACGAGCCGCCCCATCGGCTTTAATCCTCGTGTTCCTCTCCCAGTTCCCTCTTCTGGACTCCCCCTCCGAGGTCCCCCACTCGCTCTCGCCGGTCCATCCACTCGGCGTCCTCCTCCCGCCCCCAGGTCCCTGGCTCTCCGGATGGCAGATTGCTGGTTACGGCAAGGCCATGGCAGGGCATGGAAGCAGCCGGAGAGTTTAATCGTCCGCATGCTTTGTAAAACGGGGTGTGGAGTTCGCCCCGGCAACCCGCTGTGGCATTGATGACTGAAGAAATTTTGCAAACCCGCGCTTGTGTTGTTTCTGGAATCGGTGGAGACCTACTGGCTGATGAGCGAGTCAATCATGCTCCATGGCCCGACACATGTCACTGTCTCTGCCATCTGGACCACGGAGAGACGCCAAGTGGGAAAAGGAAAATACATCGGTGTGACGTCAAGCTGACCAATTGCATGGCGGGGTGAAGCTCTCTTCCATGCCATGCCACTCTTACCAACACCTTAGAAGCTCCCCCTGACGTTGGTGGGGTAAGCTGGAGAGCGCGGAATTCTACCGTGATGGCCAGACCACCATTCGAAACTGGATCGATGATTACGGGGGCGGGGGAATGCGAGTACAAAAGAGCTTGACACCCCGCGATGGAGGGCATGTAGCTATTCTAATAATCCAGCAATATCTACTCTCTTACGCTTTGATACCCATCGATACCCCTCTACACTCAATTCCTTTGTTTCAACCCTCTCAAACAAACCAAAACAACCGTCAAAATGGTCGCTAAGAAGGTCCTCGTCGTTCTCACCTCTTGCGACAAGATCCCCAAGACTGGCAAGCCCATTGGCTGGTACCTGGTAAGCTCAAACCCAACATCATCTTTTTCAACGCAATCATAGCTGACTCTCTCCCCTCCAGCCTGAGCTCGCCCACCCCTACGATGTCCTCAAGGAGGCCGGCGTCGAGATGACCTTCGCCTCCCCCAAGGGCGGCGTCGCGCCCCTCGACCAGGTCTCCGTCCAGATGTTCGGCGAAGACCCCTCCTCCAAGAACTTCCTCGAGAACCACAAGGAGATCTGGGAGAACACCAGGCCGCTGTCCGAGTTCGTCGGCAAGGCCTCCGAGTTCGACGCCATCTTCTACCCGGGTGGCCACGGCCCCATGTTCGACCTCGCCTTCGACGACGAGTCGCTCAAGCTCGTCGCCGACTTTGCCGGCCAGAACAAGCCCGTCGCCGCCGTCTGCCACGGCCCCGGCGCCATCGTCAACGCCAAGACCCACGACGGCGAGTACCTGATCAAGGGCAAGAACGTCACCGGCTTCTCCAACACCGAGGAGGACCAGGCCGGCTTCACCCCCGAGATGAACTTTTTGCTTGAGGACCGCATGAAGGAGGTTGGCGGAAACTACGCCATCGCCGACGCCCCCTGGGGCGAGAAGGTCATTACTGATGGTGTTGTCATCACCGGCCAGAACCCCGCTTCTGCCCACGGTGTCGGCAAGGCCATTGTCAAGGCTCTTGGTCTGTAAGGGATGATTGTATGATATGATGACGACAAAAAGGTTACGAGGGATACAAAGTAATACCAAATTCAAAGCGATTCTGATCATTATTTGGCGCCTGGTGAAGGGCTGTTCTGAAACATGTGACTACTGTGATGCCACCTGAAGATACACTCGTGCGATACATGAGCCTGGGGCTTCGTCCCCCTCACTCCAATTCCTGAATTTCCATCTCCCCAATGTCAATGTTCCGTCGCGGTATCGTCCACTGATCCATATTAGTGGTCATCGACACGCCGTCCGCGAACATCTCCATCGCCTCCTCCGCATCCAACACCTCAAACGCCATCCGCTGTGTATTTCCCATGTAGTTCGTGTCCACCACGCGAAAATCGAGAAATACAACTTCGCCAGCTTGTTGATTCAGTCCCATGCGCTCAATGTATCGCTTCGAGATGCTCGGCCTCGAGCTGTGCATCTCAGCAGTGACATGCACCGAACCCCTGGTGCCGTGCATGGAGACGATCCCATTCGGCATGAAAATCTGCAACTGGACGCGGTCCTTGCAGACGGACTCGCTCCAGTGAAAGAGGAAGCAGTCGAGGATGTAGTACTTGTGATAGCCGAGGTCCCTGGGGTCGTGGCCTGCGCCTCTGAGTTGCGACACGATGTCGTCCCAGCAGCGGAGGGGAATGCGGTTCCTGACACACATGAGAGCGAACTCTTCGAGCTGTTCTTTGTAGTCGAATAGGCGGGGGCCACAGCCGCCGCGACGGATCGGATACTGTACATCGCGAGACGACCTGGGTGTTCTGTTGTGGAACTGGCAGTAGTATCGGAGGTACTCGTCGATGATCTTTCCTCTGTGGTGGTCGAAGAACTCGGGGTATGTGAAGTCGCCGAGCTCTGGCACGGCGTCTTTCCAGCTGCGAGGCATGGGGCGGATCTCTGCTTGCATGACGGCCTCGCATATGCCACGTGAGATCCGCGACATGATGTAG